AGAGACTTTAGATTTTGCAATTTATTTAATTTAGAATCGTGGAGTAGTAGAGACAATGTGTGAATAAATAGAAAGAAAGAAAAATAAAATAACAGAATTTTCAAATGACTTTGTATTTAAGTTTAATTAAGTAGTAAGTAAATATATGACAGCAATAGAAGTAATAATAATTATTATTATTATAGTTTCTATTTCATTTATTAACTACTCCTATGGAATATTTATTAGATGAGGATTAGAAACCATAATTAATGAGTAAGAGGATTGTTTAGAATAAAGATTAATCTAATATACAAAGTAGAATTAAATAGAATGAAGATAAATCTAACATTACATCTCCAAAGGAATCTTAATAGATAAATAATTAATAAAGTTAATAATAATAGAAGGTGAACTTTAAATGTTTAGCACATAATTAGGAAGTAAAATAGATATAAAAATAGTAAGGTGTTAGCTATTTGTGTAAAATAGGATTGCCAACATAAAGATAGAAAAATGTGTGCAGATTGTTTAATAGATACAAAATGTGTAGATAGAATGAAGATGAGTGAATTTAGTGCAAGATTAAGTAGAATATTGAATAAGGAAATTATTGAATAATTGGCTATACCTTGGGATGATTTAAGTATACATAAAGGAATTGAAAAGTTATTTAGTACAGCTGGAGAAAATGTTAAAAATTTATTAACAGAATATTCTCTATCTGTTAAAGAAATGTTTGTTAAATATCATTTAATAGAGGAGTCTACACCTAAAGAATTAAGGGGATAATTTACAAAAGAATACTTTGATCAATTTATTCATATGATGACTGTATAGTATATTATTAAAATTACTATTTTAGAAAAATAGCATCAAATAATCCTGCTGTTATTTTAGGAATAAAATTTATTAATAATAAATAATTAATAGATAATATGTTAAGTGCAATTGTTAAAACTGAATAAGTGTTACCAAAAAAGGCTGATAAATTATAACATAAACTTGTTAGTATTAGTTAATTGTTTTTGGAAAAGATATAAAATCTAATGGATTTGTATAAATAACATGGTGAAATTGAAGCCATTTAAAAATAATATCAATTATTAAATAATGAACCATTTTGTTTAGAAGAAAGCATATATAAAATTAAATAAGATGGCAAGAGTTTGAGTGAATGGGAACCCTTTCACTTTTTTAAACCATCTGATAAAAATATAATAGATGTTTGTTTTATTAATGAAAATTTAGCAGCTATTGCAATTATTGATGGAACTATTATAATCTATAATGTTAATTTAAAAAAATAAACTCAAATTTTAAAACATGGAATATTTGTATTTTCTTTAAGAGCCTTTTAATTTAATGGATAATCAGTATTACTATCTAGTGGATATTCTCCATAAACAGGTAATTCATTATGTAGTTGGGATTTAAAAACTTTAAAACCAACATTTATTGTATCATAAGCTCATAATAATTCTATTAGAAAAATAAAATATTTACATGTTAATCCTCAATTCTCATAAAACTTCTTTACTAATAGTACAACAACTGCTTAGTTAAGTAGTCAAGTATCATAGACTGGAAGCATGAATAGTATATTTTTAGATATTGATGAATAAATACTATCCTGTTCTGATGATGGAATTATTAAATTATGGAAATTAGATACTAATTTAAAAATTGTTGAAGAATAAATATTAAAATAAGGACAATAAGTATTAGATTTCACTTTATTAAATGGATGTATTCTAGTTTCTGCAAATAATGATAAAACTGTATCATTATCATTACCATTTTCAAATATTAATCCTTTTTAATATATAAATGATGATTGTCTTGTTTATGCTGTCTCACCTATAGATTAATTAATTTCAAAAAAGAAATAATCAATCTAATAGAAATTTATTACAGGAAATGAAAAAGGAATAGCTAAAATATTTTAATGGTAAAATGGAAGGGCTGTAATTATGAAATAGCTTAATTTACATGAAGATAAAATTACTAAAATTTCTATGTATTGCTTCATAATACATTAGGTTATAACCAGGATTTATAGCTAGTGTAAGCAACGATAAATCAATAAGTTTAACTTTAATATAATAAGCCAAAGTACTTACTAAAATAGAGAAACATGAATATGGAATAGTTTCATTTGCTTACCTCAAGGCAAATGGATTTATGATAACAGCTGATTAGGGAGGAAATGCTATACTTTGGAGATGATTATTAATTATTAAAATCTATAAATTAATCTACTAAAATCTTTGAAAAGATATTCAAATATTATTTATACTTACTTCTTTAATATTATATTTTTTTTTTATTTAATTCAATATATATAATTATTTATCATATTATTTGTAATATAAATAAATGAAAAACATATGTATATTGAATAATAATATTCATAAGACAAAAATGAGAATAGGAATATTCTAAGATGTTACTTTCTCTTTTTTGTTGATATATTTGTTTATTTATTAAAATTATTTGTTTATTAACTTATATGAGTGACTAACTAAATTTTAATTTAAAACTCTATAGAGAAAGACTAACTGATAAGTATTCGAGAAATAATTCAAATTCAATTATAGGATAAGACAATTTATTAAGCAATCAACGAAAATCATTTAAAAAAAAGTAATTCTTAATGGAATTGTAGTGCTCCAACTCTTGATTCCATATCAAGTAGATTATAGAATCATAGCAGTAATAAACTAAAAACAGATTCACGTGTTTGCTCTCCAAAAAATTTATCATCGCCTGTAACTCTTAATGGAATGCAATAAAAGTAAAAATAAAATTTATTTCAGAATTAAATCAATAACAACATCACCTTAGCAATTTGTTAATAATAATTTTGGACATCCCATAAGTAGTCCTAAATCTGTTGTTACACACTTTTAAGGATTTTATTAATCTCCAAGAGCATAAACTGATCGCAATGAAATTTAATAAATAAAAAGATATAACTCAAATAATGATATTACGGAGATGATACCCTTCCATGATTTAGTTAATATGAGAAATAAACTAGAAAATTATGATATTAATGCAGCTCATATATCACCAACTTATCTAAGTGAAATAGTAAAATTGGCACATGTTATTAATACACAATTATAGAAAAAATGATAATGTAAAATAAATATATCTATTTAAATAATATTATTAAATGTCAGCTAAAGAATTGTTAATTCAACTTTTTGCTTTGCCTAAAGGAGAAATCATATTCCAAGACTATTCTTGTGCATTAAAAAGCTTAATCTCAAAGTATGGTAGGATTTTTATAGCAGAAAATCACATATGCTTTTATGCCAATTTGGCTGGCAGTAAGATCAATTTGGTTTTTAAACTTAATGATATATAAAGAATAGAAAGTAAGAATAAAAATGATATTGAAATTACTTTAAATAATAATAAGGTTTATTGTTTTACTAGTTTTTAAAATAAAGATCATGTATTCAATTTTATGAATTCATTATTATAAGGTTAACCATTAAGTACTTTTAGTGATTCATAAGTAAATACTGAATCATCTAATAATGATTAATCAATAATAGATAATACTGATGTTGAAATTTAATTTTTGAAATCAGAATCGTCAACTGATTAAGAAATTTGCAAATTCACATTCCCTTTTTCATTAGATAAATTCTTTGATTTTTTCATAGCTGATAATGCTTCTTTGTATTCAGTATATGATCATCGTTAAAATGAAAAAGACACTGATATGAATATAACCAAATGGACAGTTAATGAAGATATTTAAGATATGTATTAAAGAGAAATGAAACATGTTATGAAACTTACTGGAGTACCCTTTAAAGATAAAACAAGAATGCATAAATTATTCACTTACAAAAGAGATCAGCAAAAATTAATATATACTTGTACAACACATACTTTAGATGTGCCATATGGAAATTGTTTTTAAGCAGAAGAAAAATGGGAAGTTACTTAACCAGAAGATAATAAATGTCTACTTAGAGTATTTGTGTCAGTTGTATTTACTAAATCTACTATAATGAAAAATACTATTATAAATAGAACTATGGCAGGATATAAAGAGGATTATGAAAAATGGATTAATAATGTAAAAATTAGATTAGAAGCTTAAGCAAAATAATCTAAATCATCAGTCTCTTATTCAACTCATGAATATGAAGAGTATAAATTTATTAATAATTCTTTAGATCAATGAAATTAGATAATGAAAATATATTTAGCAAAATTCTTAAAAATTCAAATTCTGATCTATCAAATTAAAAAGAAAAAAGTGGATTACCTTCAATTATTACTTAAAAAGAAGCTTGTTTTGTATTGTTAATTACAATAATGATTATAATTATGTTAATCTAAATAGGAATGATGAGTAATCAGTCAACAAGACTTGAATAATTAGAATAGATAATTTTGCAAAATCAGTAATAAAGATTTTAATTATTGAATGATTAATTATGAGTTGTTATTTCAACTAATATTATTATAATAATTATATATAATTTATACATCTTTTTTAATTCTTAATATATAAAAATAATCATCTTATTTTATAAAATTTCACAATAAATTCTATAGTTAATTCAATTATATAATCATTTCTATTTATTTTTAATAATTTTTGATCACTTAAATTCTATTAATTAATAATTCTTCAAATTTTGAATAATCTAACTAATATATAAGGACTATCATATATTATTATCATTCATTAGAATATTTAAACCTTATATAGTGTGTAATTTATAATTAAATTAATTGAAAGCAGAAAATAAGTTAATAGAAATATTATAATAGTATTCAGTATTTAAATTAATTTATATTATTTTTCTTTTGATATTAATAATCTAAACAATTCCTAATCTTATTTAAGGTTTCAAAATATTTGAATCCTATTTTTACAAAATCTAATTTATTGTTTTAGTTACATTAAATTTTTAGAAAAGGGATTTTATGATAATAGTAAAAGTTTTGATTAAATATTTATTATAAACAAAATAAGTTATATCAAGATGGAAGAATAAAAGATCAATCTCATAAATATAGCATAGCCTTAAATTCCAACTATTTTTACATGTACCAAAAGTACACTTATTGTTGATTTACATTAATATATTATTAACAATTATGGTAATGGGAAAATTGACATATATTTTACAAAAAATTAACCTTTCTCAGGTAATTTAAATTTATATTTATAAAAACAACTAAAAGGAACTTCAGTATATTATAACATTGATTTATCATAAAAATCAATACATTCATCATACGGGAAAACTATTTAAGGTAATTAAAACTATCTATATAATAAGGAAAAGAACAACAGTCACAATCTAAATCTGTTTTTACACCTTAATATTCTAATTTAGTTGACTAAATATGTTAAACTGATGAAATATTATTATCAATCAATTAAAGTAAATAAATGTAATATATTATAATTAAATTAGGAATCAAGACTAGAATTTATAATAAATTGAATCATAATAATAACAAATTTAAGAATTAAAGGCTAAATTAGATGAAAAAGATGAATAAATGAGAGTTGTTATAAAAGACCACTATATTTAATAAAAAGACTTACAGAGTTAGCTTTTAAAGAGTGAGGAACTCATCTAAAAGTAAATTGGTTAAATTAATACTTTGGAATATTAATTAAAGTTAAAATAGAATTAAAGATAACTAGATTAATAATAAATAGATACTTTATAAAATAAAATAGAAGAACTTAAGACTGAAAACTAGGCTAAAAATGAATAAATTAATTAATTAATTAAATAAAATGATACTACTTTATAAAAGAAAGTAGATACAGACGAAGTTTAATAAGAATTAATATTACCATAAAACAAACCAGATTTATTTGAATTTAATGATCAAGAGACTGTTGAAACTTATGCAAATAAATGTGGACATAGCATAGAAAAGAATATATTAGAATAATTATTAGGTAAAGCAATAAAGAATAAAGAGATTGCAAAATGTTAAATTTGCTATTCTCATTTTTCATCTAAACTTTGTAACGAAATTGGTACTATAGGTAAAAATTACTTATAAATGAAATCCGGTATAGAATTACCAAACATATATAAGAGTTGTTAGGCAATTAAAAATTCACATTTAAATTTGATATCTTGTGAAAACACTAATTGTAAGTTTTTTTGTTTTTGGAAAATAACTCATCAAAAATAATATGATGATGATTATAGTTTTTGTCCTTGTTGCTTAACATAATCTGTTAGGAATCCAAAAGGAGCATTATTCTATACTCATACTTGAAAGAAATAAAATTTATTTTATATCATAAAATGCACATATATATATTTATTATTGTTATCAAGTATTAATTACATAAATAAAAATTAATAATAACTATCTGTTAATGAATATAAACTATTGCAGTCCTAATTTCTAATTTGAGAATAGGCCTCCTCTCAAAGATTACACATCTAATGTTGACAATATTAAATAAGCTAAAAATAGAATAGCAGAGTTACAAAACATAATCCATGAATTAAATAAATCTAATGGAAAAAGATCTATCTCTCCGTTAGCAAAAAGTCCTGTTAAAGTCAATATTCCTATTGAGTATCATGGTACTTCCAAAAAGTAAAGTCCAAGATTTTAAACTCCTGAAACAAAAACAAGAGAAATAAGAATTGTAAGTGAAAATGTCAAAATGTAAACTGAAAATATTCTTGAACAAGGAATCTTGTAAGGAGTGTTGCCTGAAAATTTAATAGAAAAATCAATTGACAATTACATTCTATCAAAAGTACTTGGATTAGGATCATATGCTATTGTAAGATTGGCATAAAAAGGATCATAATATTGTGCTATTAAAACATATGAAAAGTCTAAAATTAATGATTAACAAAAGCGTAAAAATGTATGTAGAGAAGTGAAAATATTATCAAAATTAAGACATCCAAATATCATCAAATTTGTAGTAGCTTGTGAAACTCAAGTATAATTACATGTTATTATGGAATATTACAGTGCAACTTCACTAAATTCTTTCATTAAATAACAACCATAAAAGAAGCTTGATGAAAATGAAGCTAAATATATATTCATCTAAATTGTAGATGCCTTAAGATATTGTCATCATAAAAGTGTAGTTCATAGAGATCTTAAATTAGAGAATATTCTTATTGATCCATTGAATAATAAAATTAAGATTATTGATTTTGGGTAAAATAATTCTTATTCCTTATTATAGATTTTCAATAGCTATTGACCCTTCAAGTAGACTTAACATATTTTGTGGTACTCCATCATATATGGCACCTGAAATAGTTAATAAATAAACGTATAGTTTTCCAGCTGATGTTTGGGCTTTGGGCATATTGCTTTATAAAATGACTACAGGATAATTTCCATTTCGAGGTAATGATGATAAAGATTTATATAAATCAATCAATAGTGGAAAAATAGAATATCCTTAATATATGTCTATCCAATTAAGAAATTTAATCAAGAAAATTTTGAATACTAACTAGAATGAACGACCCCCACTCAAGGAGGTAGCTTTAGATGAATGGCTTTAATGATTTTAATATATTTATTATTTAATATACTAATTATCATATTCATATGACTTCTAAAATTATTAAATTCAAATCAGAACTTTGGTTTGGTCTTATTATTTTTATAACCTAAATTATATTTTATGCTTTTATAAATAAAAATAAATTTTAGAATATTAATAAATATCTACTTAAATTACTAATTAAGGTTCATTTTTAGTTTATCTAAATCTCTAAGGTTAATATATAAAAATATTTTTTGTATCATTTATCCAAAATTATTCTACTTTATATTCCCAATTTTTTATGAGAAATACATTATTAGAAATGTGCTATAAGATTGAATTAAATTGAGCTTAATATAAGTATTGATTTAATCATAGTATAAGTTCTTTGAATTTTTATTAATCTTTGTAGATTAAAATGAGTTTAAGCAGCATTATTCAATTTTTGGAGAAACTATATATGTTACTATTTAATAGATAGTTTAAATTGCTATAAATATATGGCATTTATTTATTATTTAGGATTTAACTTAGCCATTAACAGTTCTTCGGTTTTTTGCTATCTATATAAATAGAATGCATATGTTAAATTAACTATATTTTATTTACGTCAAATATTATATTTTATGGCAAAGGTTCACAAATAAAAAGGATATAGATTGGAGAATACAATTTCTAAGAAAGGTTTTCTTGAATTAAGAAAAATGCTTGGAATGCCTTAATTTGAATTCGTGCATGAAAATAGTAATTTAATGAAAATCTAAGCATTACAATTAAATATTGATGATGATGAAAAATGGATTAAAAAATATGTAATATTTAGACTTATTTATTTAGAAACCAATACCCGAAGCCAGATTATAAAAATATCTATTACATTGTTAGTACATCGATAAATCTATTATTACTTCTTTAAATAAGGTTGATTGTTTTCTAAATCAATAAGGAAATATTAAACATATGGTATAAAACAAAGAAGAAGAAAAATAAAAAAAATAGAATAGTTTAAGTACTGAAGTTTAGTATTCTAATAAAATTGCTTGAATAGAATATGAGTATTATTTATATTTGCCTCTGAACTAACATAAATTTTATTTCTTTATGTCTATCCCTCAGTTTTTAAATGTATTTTTTATTTAAATATTAGTTACCATTTATTAGAACATCTATTCTCTCATTCCATTTATTCTATAATAATATATTTCAATTTTCTATTTGATAAATTCTTTGATTAAACAATTATTCTATAGAGGTTGTACAACTTAAAATAATATTTTAATTACAGATAATTCTTTAATCTACTTCTAATATTGAATATGATAAAAATGCCTTTATAGTATTTGATTTTAATCAATAAATATAAAATTGTACAATTATTCGACCAATTTTAATTTTGATAACAGAATTTTTCAATAGATCCTTTTATAGATAGAACTACTTTAATATAAGAAAAATGAATTTTACATTGTTTCTTAATATAATTAAAATAGAATAATAAATAAATAAGTACGCTTAGAATTAGTATTAAATATGGATTTATTAAAAAAAATACAATTTATATTTAAAGATTACATTTATATAAATAATTCTAAATATTTCTATAAATTTTACTATTCAATCTTTAATTTTTTTCAAGAAGAATACATCATTTTTTCTTCGCAGTACTTTTAGTTAAGATTATTTACCTTATCATACAAGTATTGGAAGACTAATGCATCCAAAAGTATAAAAATTAATCTGTTATTCTTAATATTAATATGATATATATATAGGTTTAAAATCAATTCATTAAAATTAATCAAATAATTAATAAAGCTTCCAATTATCTTTGATTGTATCAATACTAATTACTAGGGTTTCTATCTTGGACCTTTATATAAATAAACTTCAATTGGTTTTGATATATCAATCAAACATTTAAATATAATGAAGTAATAAAATATAAGGAAATATACATATCCAGTATATATTTTAGAACAGATTTATTAAATGCTTTGATAATTTTTGTTATAACAAATAAATAAGTGTTGAATTAAATCAATATAGATTAAAAAAATATAAAATAATATATTTGATAGGTTGAATTCCTATGATGAATAGATATTCAAAGGTAGATGACACTATTAAAACCGTTTTTCGAATACTCATATCCTTATACTTTTCATATTTATACCCATAGATTGAAATAATTAAATAAAAATACAGTTATTAATATAATGAGTGAATATTAATTAGTATTAAGAACTCTAAGCTTGCAATAATAATTAAGTAACAGAATTCTGATTAAATTAAATGTATAAATAATATTATTAATAATAATAATAATTTTCATTGATGGAATTGGTAATTATTTGTACTATTCATCTACCAATTATTTAGAGTAAATAATTTGGATTTGAACTACATTAAATAACATTTGATATTACATTCTATTTGTACTTGATCCAGAATAACTTCTTATTAAAAAATTAATTTTAATGTTTTAAGTTTGGCAAAGCATATTTTAGTCTGCACTTATAACAATAAGAACAATACTATGACTAGGAATGATTTTCTATTTACTTAGACTTATATAATATTCATATGATGATATATTGATTTGTTTTTTATTTAATTAAGCATTAAATGAAGTTGAATTCATATCATTTGATGTATTAAATACATATGAGTATTATTTGGATTTTATTAATTATATTTAAAATTATGGATGATGTTTATGCTTCAGAAATAAGATAGCGATATCATTCTTCTATGACTTATTAAGAATACTTAGATACTTATGATAAACCTCCTCCTAAACCTTAAATTAGGTATTCTGCTAACTTATTAATTTAAGACCAAAAGAAACCCCTTAATTACTCGAACCATTAATATTAGAAGGACATAAAGGTCCTAAAATTTAATAATAAAAATTGACTGTTTATTCTCCTGATGATGTAATTTTTGAGGAATCTGAGAATGATGAAAAACCCAAAGCTCTCAATCATATATAATGTTAAAAAGCATTAAAAGAATATGTATATAAATTTTAAACTTAAGAATATTAGAATTAGAAGCTAGAGCGAGAATCTTGGATTTTCAGTATTTCGATTTTTACAATAAAAGAAAAATAAATTCACATGATTCATTAATTTTTAAACATTGATTTCTTTCAACACTTCTGTAAAATTGATTGCCTACTAACAACATTATTTTTTACAATTCTCAATAAATTAAATTTGTCATTTCTTAGTATATTAATGATTTCCTTGGCTAAATATGATACAAACTTATCAAGTATAATAATTAAAGTAGTAATTTTCAAATTTTAAAAATAGGTATAAATTGATATTAATCTCTTCTATTTATATATTGCATTAATCTCTTTAGATAATTTAAATGATATACTGAATAATTCACATAAATTAATTGAATTATTCAATTAAAAAGTATTTATTTTTAATAAAATTTGAACATTCAAATTTGTAAACCTTCTTAAATCTATTAGAAATAAGTCTTAATAATAAATATAATAATTAAATAAAATTTAGTTATATAATTATTATTTTAAATAGAGATTTCTTTTATTATTTAAATCATCTCAATCTCCTTCATTTTCTGAGTCTTCTCCTAAAACTCTTTCTAATTCTGACTTAACTTTCTTTAATTGATGATTTTAAGGAATGAAAGAATTCACTCTTGCAAGTTTCTTATCTTTTTCTTTTTCTTTTTCTTTCTCTTTTTCATTCTTTTCTAATTTTTAATTAATTAAATTATTATTATTTATTAATTAAACCATTATGTTTATTATAGTTATAGTTAAACCACTACATGAATAAAATATTTTGCTAATTTTTTTATTCAATCCAAATAATTTTAATCTTCTTAATAACATCACAATTCTAAGAGATGTTACTATAAAATTTAATTATTTAATTCTTCTTTTCTATCTACTATTAATTAAACTATTAGCACATTAAACTGCTATTGCATCTTCATAAATTAATTTATCAGGTATTTCCTTTACTTCTTTAACTAAATCCATTTCTTTATCATATATAATCTTATAATCAAAAAATGATTTTAATAATTTAAGTAAAGCTTTTGCTAATGAAAATGAATCTTTATATCCTTTTATTGTTGATTTAGCTTTCAAAGAAACAATTTCACTATAAATATATTCACATTACTTACTTTAGAACACCAATATTAATACCCCAAATAATGTGATCCATTATATAATAAAAGAAATTGCATACATGCATAATAGATGTTGTGATTTTATAATATTTAGGTTTATTTTTAGCATGGATGTTACTCAAACATCTTATAGAATCAAAGAATTTTAAGAATTTGAATATCTTTCTACCATTTTTCATAGACTCTCTAATTCGAGATGCTATTTTTTTAGAAAACATATCTGATGATGCTGCTTAAATTTCAGGAATATTTGAAAATTTAATGCAAGCTTCATATAAATCTGCTAAATACTAAATTAAACAACAAATTTTATCTCTCCCCTTTGTTGTTTACATAAATAAGGACACTATTGAAACCTTTTCATATTAACAATAATATCAGTACTTTTCTTGCAACATATTATCCAGCCACAATTGTATTGTTTGCTCTATGTTAAATTGCTACATTGAAATAATCAGCTAAGTCCTTAACAGAAGCAATGCTTCTTTTCATATAATGTTTAATAATATTAATTAAAAATTTAAATTATGTAATTTTAATGACATTCTATCTTTATATTGAATACTATGTTATTCCCTAAAAATTAAACATAAATATTATTCAATTAAATAATTAAAGCATTATTTTAGTCATTTGAAATACAATATCTAATTAAAATAGAATAATCTTTCATTAAATTTAAATATATATCATAAATTTAAATTCCAATAATAAAAATAATCTATCCTAATTGACATTCTATTTCATATCAAAATATCTATCTAATATAAATCAAAAAAAAGAACTATATAAATTTATCATTATATTAAGTCTTCTAAAGTATAAATATATGTTTGAATTATATATAAATATGTGATGATGAATTATTTTCATCATAATGTAATTGAAACTAGTTTAATGTGATTACTTACTTAAAGGTTTTATTCAATTAAATATCAAATATATAAAAAATTTTTTGTAATCTTTACGAATTGAATTATCATTCTTATTTTAGATGATTAATACATAGTTTATAATATTACAATAAATAAATAAATTGATAAAAATGCATTAATTGGGAAAATCTGGAAAATCGAAGAGTTTTAAGGATTATTCAATACTAAAAAAAGTATAATCACTATCAAAACATGATGATACAGAGACAGATTAAATTAGTATATTAAAATAGAAAAGTTTTGATTTAACTACTAGAAGAAATAGCTCAATATTAGCATAGGAATTGATTAATGAATCAAGTTAAATTCATAGAATAACATATATTCAAGAGTATATTAAATATTAATAATCTTAGTCCCAATCAATATATAGGAATGAATTTATTATAATAAAAGATTTGGGAGAGGATATAGAAATGTTCATAAAAATATATTGTATTTAATATTTATCTATATTATAGGATGAATAAAGCAATTTATCAATTATTGTATTGAAACCAGATCAAGAATTTGAGTTTGTATTCAACATATCTAAATTGTCTTGTTTTTCCAAAATTAAACAATTAACCAAGAGTTTATCAACTCATTTCTATGGACTAACAAAGATTTGTAATTTATTAATAATGAATTTATAGAATTATAAGACCCTTATTTATCAATGCTAATAGGAAAAATCAAAACATAAAAATTAGATAATGATATGAGATTATTTGAGTTGTTAAATATCATAATGAATGGCAAGAAGCTATTGGTCTTGTAAAGTAATATGTATAATGATCTTTGAGTGTAAATTTTTGTTTGTTTACTTTTTATTGATAATTTTATTGAATTAATACATGTATATATATATATATATAAGTTTTTTAAATTAAAAAAGTTCAGAATTCTTCATCATCAGTTTCTTAACCAGAATCACAACTCAATGTTTCATTTTCCCAAGGGTCAACTTTCTTTGAATGAATCTATATAATTTAAGGTCTAGTTTGAACAGTCATTACAACAGAGTTTTGATCCAAATTATAATCATTCCCAAGGTTAAAGTATTCCTCATAATCAAAATCCATTTATTCTATTGGATATTGAATTTCATTATCATTATCAGAATCAACTTATTATTAATCTTCAGATTCTATTTCAATAACATTTTATTTAAAATTTTAACTCTATTTTATAAGTTACCTTAAATAACCCATTTTATGATTATATAACTATTCAATTGGTTAGATTTCTTTTGCTTTTCTTTATATTTTATTATAGTATACTTTATCAATTAATAATAATCTTCTAATGTTTTTTTAGGAATTCCAACTTCTTCAGCTGCTTATTAAAGTGATAATTTTTTAAGATTTCCTTAATTATCAAGTTTACCATTTTAAAATAAATTTCTCCATTCTTCTACTTTTTCAACAGCCATTTATACTGAACGTTCTTTTACTCTTTTAAACATTGCAGAAATTTTTCTTTATCTTTATTACATTTTTAATTAATTAATTTAATTTAAACATATAAAAGAAATTTAATACTAAAAATTTGTATATATATAATCAAAAAGTATATAATAATATAAAGTATATCAAAATAATTAATAAGAGTCTTCAAAGTAATTCTATTAATTTTTTGTATGGTTTGCTTCTAATTAATCATAATATGAATGATCACTATATTATCCAATAGTTTCAATTTGACTACATGAAGTAATTTATCCATGAACATAATATTCTTATTTATCAGCTATTTATTTCATTCTATTTAAATGAGATTCATGTTTTTATTATGAAGGTATTTTTAGTTAATTGAGAGTTGATTCAATTAAATTTGGATCATAAGAGGATTAAGCTAATGCAATTATTGGTTTTGGACATAGTGATAAATTTGAAAATGGAGTATAGTTTTCTTTTTATGAAACAAAGTATTATTATCCTCTTTTAGAAATTCTAACTTTTGTGGACATTTACAAATATAACAAAGATTGTTAACAGATATTTTTAATATTAAATTTTATTGAATAAATCTATCTATCTATCAATTATATATAGTAAACAACATTAATATTACTATTTTAATATAAAATTCCAATAAACTCTATTTACAAAATTAACATACTTATAGTAAACATCATTTTTCTATATTTTTATCATCTTCTACTCTTAAATATTCTCCTAAATCTGCTTAATTAAATACTACAACAGTAGTTGGATCTAAATCTTTGCATTATAATGTTGATCTTGATGCTACACCAAAACCTAAAGGATTCTCTTATAATGAGAATAATATAACATTAGCATACTATGGAATATTTTCAGACATTTTTGCTAAATGTGCTAAAAAAGGACTAATATACTTATTTACCCTTAATAACATGATTTCCATATAGAAAAGATTATTCTCCACTTGATTTTAACCAAACTTTATGTTTAGCATATTTGGCTAAAATCTCTAAACAAGTGATATTCAATCTAAATTTTTTTGTTTTTGTAAATTTTCCAAAATATGTTCCAACACTAAAATAAATTTAATATTATATATACTGTAATAATTCATCTTTTCCAACATTGGTTGCCCAATTTGCAATTTATAAAGACATATAATATACTTTATTTTTGATCAATCTAAATACATGAGGATCTTCTTCATTTTCAATTAATAATTTTATATTTGCTCCAATATATTCTCCTAATTTTTCAAAAAATATTTTTGTTTCTTCTTCATTTAATTACCTCATAATAAATTATTTAATAAATTAATTATACAAATACATTATTTGCTAATTATATCAAAATTCTTAGAAAATTATAATTATTTATATATATTTTTTAAGTAAAGATTTATAATTAAATAATATAAATTGTTATCAAATCAAAGAACCTTTTTGATAAAGTTTTTCATATTTTAAATTCATTGAAAAGTTTGTCCAATTCTTAAAAATGTCTTTGTATCAAATACAATGATTATTTATATCTACCCATATAAAATTATTAATTTAATGAATCATATTAAACACATTTTTCAACACATTTTTAATCCTAATCTAAATGCTCATATATATATTCTATTTAATTATATATATTAATAATTACATTTATATTGTTATTATACATTTAATCTTTAATTATTTTCAATATTATTTATTGGCATAATATTCTTAATTTCTTTTGTTATTTCTTCTATCTATAATTTTACAATGTCATAATCTTTCTCTAAATTCTTTTAAACATTTCTTACCATTTCTAATTTACTTAACACATCAGCATATCTCTTTTCCTTTGCTTTTTTTTTCCTTTCAAGTTCATCAATTTCTCTTTCTAAATCTTCCTAATTTTTCAATTATTATTCTAATTTTATTTATAATCTTGTATATTAAAGTTGTAATTCTTCCAAAGCATTTTTTCTTAGTTCTGGAGAAAAGTTCAAACCATTAAAATATACTTCTGTTGGACTTGAATATTATTTAATATTTTAATCTAACACATTTACTAGATCATACAATTTTTCATTATGTATTTCTACTTATTTTGTACCAGCAGGTTTAAATAATTATCTTAACTTTTTTGCTTGATCTTAATCTTTTCTATAATACTCACTTAAATCTTCTTCTTCTCCAAGTGATTTTTGATATTTGATTTTCTCAATCAAATTAATTTATTCTTCATTAGATTATTCTATCATTTATTTCAACTTATTTAAATTAAAAATCTTCTTATTTAAAATTGTAGAATCTTATTCATTTATTTGATATTCTATTATTAATGATTTTAACATTCTTTCTTCATTATTAAGATTTTCTAGATCATTTTTCTTTTCCATATAAAATTCATGTAATTGATTTCTTCTATTTAATAAATTATTCATATAATCAGCTATTTAACTATCATTATTGATTGTTGAATTAAATTTATTTAGAAAATTTTCAAGATCTTAATTCAATGATAATTAGAGACATTTATCTACTTAAATCTAAAATTCATTGTGTTATTTAATCAATTTGTCTAAATTTAATCGCGAAAAATAATCTAAAGCTAAATTAAGTTAAGCTAATTCTGATTAGATTGGTAACCAATTTTGAACAGTTTCTAGACCAAATTAATCAGTGTCATTGTAAACAATATCATAATCTAAAAAGTAATTAATTTCGAATTCATTCACTTCAACTTCAAAAATTTCTAAGCTGTTATTATCAATAGTTTTTTATGGAGGATTAAGAGCAACAAAGATACAAATCATTAGAAATATACTTAAGCAATTTGTCTTATTGACTAAAGAATCAGTTCTTATCATTTTTTTTTAATTTAATATTAAATTATAGTTGTTTACTAAATATTTAATATTGCTAATCTAGTTCATATAATTATTTATAAATATCTTTTAATATTGCATGAATATTTTTATTGAATTTACATATTTATTCATAACAAAATAATTACATTTCAATCAGTNTTCTCTAAATTCTTTTAAACATTTCTTACCATTTCTAATTTACTTAACACATCAGCATATCTCTTTTCCTTTGCTTTTTTTTTCCTTTCAAGTTCATCAATTTCTCTTTCTAAATCTTCCTAATTTTTCAATTATTATTCTAATTTTATTTATAATCTTGTATATTAAAGTTGTAATTCTTCCAAAGCATTTTTTCTTAGTTCTGGAGAAAAGTTCAAACCATTAAAATATACTTCTGTTGGACTTGAATATTATTTAATATTTTAATCTAACACATTTACTAGATCATACAATTTTTCATTATGTATTTCTACTTATTTTGTACCAGCAGGTTTAAATAATTATCTTAACTTTTTTGCTTGATCTTAATCTTTTCTATAATACTCACTTAAATCTTCTTCTTCTCCAAGTGATTTTTGATATTTGATTTTCTCAATCAAATTAATTTATTCTTCATTAGATTATTCTATCATTTATTTCAACTTATTTAAATTAAAAATCTTCTTATTTAAAATTGTAGAATCTTATTCATTTATTTGATATTCTATTATTAATGATTTTAACATTCTTTCTTCATTATTAAGATTTTCTAGATCATTTTTCTTTTCCATATAAAATTCATGTAATTGATTTCTTCTATTTAATAAATTATTCATATAATCAGCTATTTAACTATCATTATTGATTGTTGAATTAAATTTATTTAGAAAATTTTCAAGATCTTAATTCAATGATAATTAGAGACATTTATCTACTTAAATCTAAAATTCATTGTGTTATTTAATCAATTTGTCTAAATTTAATCGCGAAAAATAATCTAAAGCTAAATTAAGTTAAGCTAATTCTGATTAGATTGGTAACCAATTTTGAACAGTTTCTAGACCAAATTAATCAGTGTCATTGTAAACAATATCATAATCTAAAAAGTAATTAATTTCGAATTCATTCACTTCAACTTCAAAAATTTCTAAGCTGTTATTATCAATAGTTTTTTATGGAGGATTAAGAGCAACAAAGATACAAATCATTAGAAATATACTTAAGCAATTTGTCTTATTGACTAAAGAATCAGTTCTTATCATTTTTTTTTAATTTAATATTAAATTATAGTTGTTTACTAAATATTTAATATTGCTAATCTAGTTCATATAATTATTTATAAATATCTTTTAATATTGCATGAATATTTTTATTGAATTTACATATTTATTCATAACAAAATAATTACATTTCAATCAGTAAATATTATTGAATTAATATTTCATTTTGTTGATATTAAGTAATTATATTATAAGAAAAGTATATATAATAATAAATTTATAATATAATATATTGTCTAATTTATACTTTAACAATTAAATAGCATTGTTTTCAAAATGCTTAATTATTAATTGCAGTTATGAAAAGCATTTTTATTTCTTTGATTTTTTGAATAAAAGTATAAATATTGCCCTTGTATTTATTTAAAATAAAAATTAGATGAATCTTTGGGTTTGAAATAATTTTATTGAAATATTCTAAAATAGCTTGTTAATCACGTGTAAATTCGAGAAAATAGAGTCCCTAATAGAGAATCTATTTATATTTAAGTTCTATAATTTTAATTAAAAATGTATAGATTCTAAAAATTGAATTATTTTCTTCTTAAAAAATGATTTTATTATAAAAATTAAGCTGATAATAAATTTCATCTAAAATTGATTGGTCTCTTTGTAAATGTATAAGTTATTTTTTAATTTTAAAAGGTTAAACTTTTTTCCTTTAACTTTATGATCTATATTTATCAACAGCTATATTTTATATTTTAATCAAATATAGTTAAGAAAATGTAAAACATTTGAGAAGCTATATTTTATTATAAAATTATTACAATGTATTTTTGCTACAAATAATGTGTAAAAGGAGAAATCGAATTGATAATAGATTTATATAAAATAGTATTTTGAAATTAGTTATGTTATTTTTTATAATATAATATAATATAAATTAGATAGATTACTTTTGGAATGAGTACATCTCATTAGTTTAACACTTAAATTATTTTATTATCATAATATTGCATTAAATCTGTTTTATTAAATGGATAAGTCTGAGAGGCAATCATTAAGAGGAACAGTCACAACTTTGAGATCATCTAGAGGGGCTGTATTTGTGAACCAGGATGGATCATATGCATATAGTTTAAAGAATGTTTATTTTAGTTTGTCCAATGAAAAATGAATCAATAATATAAAATGAGAAGGTAATTTAAGAGCCACAATAAATCATATTACCAATGTTTGGAAATGATGAACAAGCATTTTATATTAACACTTAAGATTTACCAGATTTTGTTGATGAAGTTTTAGACACTTATATAACACGTTCAAGAGTTTTTCTTGTTTTTATGTGTATATAGTTAATAATTGAAATCATCTTTGATTCAATGGTTTGGATAAATTAGGATAAAATAGAATAACAAGTAAGTGTTTCAGAATTTAAATAAGCTAGCTAGCTCTAAATTATAATAAAGTTCCTTTAATTGATATCCATTAAATGATAATCTTATGTTTTTGCATTAACATTTTATACTAATGCATATATTATGCATCAGGTATTACAGGTGCATGGCGTAAATCTTATAAAATCCTTGATGCCTTTGCAAATTTATCATTTTTCGGAATGTTTTTACAAATATTTTTATCTTACACTTATCAGTAATTTATATATTAAAATATAGATTCGATATATTAGTATTTACATTTAGAGTGGTATCATGCATGTATGCTAAGTTTCTGAGTCACTTGATTCTCAGTTTGATTCTGTTACCTCATTGAAATTTATTATTAATATAAAAACCTTATTAAACAAGACTAATTAGACTTGTATTTTATTAAATTATATAATATAATTGAGATTTATAAAATAAATATAGCAAATTAATAGAAATCAAATAAAATATTATCAAATAATAAATTTGGTAGAATAATGTTTCAAAAAAATATAGATAGATCATTAAGATTGTTCAAATTATTCCAATCCTGTTAGATGAATGTTATTATCAACACTTATAGCATCTACTAATTGTAAAATATTATTATTATATATCTCCCTCAAAACAATTTAACCATCTTCTTAAGGCATTTCAAAAACTTTTGTATTTGGACATTATTCATCATCAACAGTAATTTTAAATAAACTAATAATAATATATTATTATTTTTACTCATCTTCATAGAAAACCTCAATATAATACAATTTATCATCTATTTTTTTATTTTATTTATAAAGAATTATTTTTTTTGATTATTAATTATTTGGTGTATAATTTGTCTAAGTTGGTAAACAACCCATAAAACTACTCTCTTTTATATTACATTATATTTACTTGAAAGATCAACACTCTTTTATCTATTAGAACTTTGAATTCTAGATCTTTTTAGTGGATATTCAGCTATTTATTAAACTAATTATTATTATTATGATGTTTGTTTCAAAATAATTTTCGTATTGTAATTAGGTTTTTTAGTAACTAATCTATTCATTAATCTTTAATTTTCAATAGTAATTCTGACCAACTCTTTTTTCCTTTTTTCCTTATTGAGTGATTATTTCCTATTAACTGATTAAGATTAATTAAAATTAGAAGTAGTCATATTATTATTATTCTACCAATTAGATGTAGCCCTTTTACGTTCATTATCTAGTTATATATTGAAATATTACTCATTATATTTTGAATCTTTTCTAATAAGATACGATTTTCTCTTTCAATTTCAGTAAATCTCTCTTCTTATAATTAGAGTTTCTTATTTTAGTTTTATGATAACCTTTCCATTTAAGTTCTAACTGTTAATTGTTTTTAAGTAATATACTTAAAGGATGTGCTATTTATAAATTGTGTTTATGAATTTATCTTAATCGTTCTTTTTCATAATTATAACATATTTTATTTCCTTTAATAAGATCTCTATCCATTTAATATTTAATATAATAAAAAAATTATTTTGTTTCACATTATATTACAAGAACAACATTGTGAGTTTTATTAATCAATTTCTTGAAACTGTTCGTGTATTCGATATTCTACTATAATAATAGATTACCTTTCATTTTAGAATTATTATAAAACTCTTTGGAATTATTATCAATACTAAAATATTCAGATTCTTTGACACTTTAAGTACGTTTAGTAAAATATGGTCTTTAATTAGACTGAAATTCATCATTTGGTTAATTGATTTAAGCTCTAGTATTTATTGGAGGCCAAAAAGTAGTTAAATTTGGATGTTGACCTCCATATTTGATTTCGATTTCTTCAGCTGGAATTAATTCCTATAATTTATAGAAATCTGTAGATTTAAGGAAATTAATTTTGGAAGCAGTTTCAGGGTGAATGATTTCTATTATTAAGATTGGAAATACTTTCAATTAATTTCCATGATGAATTAAAAAAGAAGGAAGGATTCAAAATAAACATTTTATGCAATGAACTAGTGTAGTTGATTGAAAAGAATTCATTAATCATATTGAGAGTGGAGAATGGGAAATCAAATAATCCACTACCACCACTATCCAATATTACTATCCAATTTTCAACATAACCACGAGTATACATAAACTTAGTTACTATATTTCCAATAGCTGTTGCTGCATTTAAAAGAGTGGGTACATGAACTTTATTTTTCGAAATCATATGCAATTATATATAAACAACAGGTCGGTATTGATGATCTCTTCCAAATTAATATATGTAGCCTTATTTCTAAATTGAATATTTATTAATTTAAACTAAATATTATTCAGCCTCTGGTGACAAGACTTGATAATTTTCATCATTAATCCATTCCAAATGTTTTTGTAACCTTTAAATACATTTACTGATTTCAAAACCTCCTGAATAACAATATTTAAGAGTTAATTCTTGGCACCAACTAAAACTTTAATATAATATTACTCAGGAGGTAATGTTAATTTATGTTATACTATACTTGCCATTAACTCTTTAATTTTTTATTTTTCATATTCATCAAATTCTTAGTGAAAGAATATTTTTCTAACATGATTTTTCCCTTCTCCATGCTTTATATAAAATGCTATTAGATAACATATGATAATTTACTATCATGTTTTATTTAATAAACATCAGCTGGAGGTCGCAAATAACTAAAATCAATCATATTATATTAATTTTTTATATAAAATAAATTCTTAACATATTCTCAAAATGCGTATGGTTTATTTTTCTTCTATTTTTTTTCTTTATATTTTCCTTACAATTTTCCAATATCCTTTTCAAAATTGCTATTGTAAATTCTAGAAAGTTCTTTCATATCTAAATTACTAAAATTCTGTTAATCTTCTATTTCTTTTTCATCCTAACTTGAAGGTAAATCATGATCAAACAATATTGTAGTCCATCCCTTTGACTTTATTTACCCTGGCCTAACATAATGTCCACGAAAAGTCCTTAATTTTTATTTTTCTGTTGGAGTTATTCTTGCATGTGCCAATTTATTACATACTTTATGAACAGATTTTGAAACTACATCATATCCTTATAAAACATGATCATTTTCAACATTTTATTCCACATCTTATAAATTCTCTTATAATTCTTTATCATGTTAATCCTTTTACTTTTTTGATGCCTTCTTAATTAACATAGAATATTCTTAATTTTCTTATAAAGCTTGACATAAATTATATAATTGATATTTTGATTGCCAATCAGATTCTAAAATGATCTTCTAATATATTTCTGTCTTCTTATTCAATTCTATTGAATTCTTCAATAAAGGATGAGCCAATATCACTAATTCCTTGTAATAACTTATACTAATCTATTTTAATTCATTAACATAATCCAAAAAAAACATTATTCTTCTAAATTACCATCTCTTTAAAAAATTTTTGTATGTATCATAATTCTCATAATTTTCCCTTTTATCAAATTCTCTATGAATTTTAGCATGCAATAATAATAATTACTCTAATTTTATTGCACATTATTTTAATTCCTAAAATATTGGATCATCTCCAATATCATTTATATCAACTGCTCTTAACATTATATGAATAGAAACATAAGATAAACGATAATTATCTTCATCTAACCTTCTATATCTTGTCTTTTTATCATGTATATACATCTCCGAAAATAATTTTATTGCTCCTCTTAACCATTTAGATATTGTTTTTGTATATCTTCCTAAATACATTCTAATAATATTTTTATATATATACCTAACTCCTGTTTGTTATGTAAAACTCTATAAACCTCCTTTGTTATTCCCTCTACATTTAATACCTGTTTCATATAAAACCTTTGTTTATTCCTCACTTAAATTCTCTTTATATCCAGTCAATGTTTCCCATCTCTTTCTTAACTTATATGTTTAGTTCACTTAGATTCCAGTTGTCTCAAAATAGACTCTAGCAACTTTTGTCCAATGTCTACAATTTTCTCCACCATGAGCATCAACTATTTATAAAAATTCTTTTTTAAACTACTAATCTTCATGAAACCCTCTTGTCATTTTTATTTTTGATATAGTAGCTCCAAAATTATCCTTTAAAAAAATTATCTCTAAATTTTACAATGATTTCTCAACTCAGCATTTATAATTCATATAACTAATCATATATTATTATCTATTAGAATCATTAATTCATTTAATCAAGAATTTTTCATTTAAATAAAAAATTTTCATTTAAATAAACATTTTCAATATTTAGACTTCTTTTTATATATATTAATAATTAAAATTCTTACTTTATTAAAAAGTATTTAATTTCTTATCGTTTTTTATGAGCTTTCAATTCTCTAATAACAAAAATAAAATTAAAAGTCTGTGTTATTATTAAGGAATAGATATTATTAAAATGTTAAGAAAACTTATAAATACTGAGTTTGAATAGGAATATTAAGATACTAAAATTAAAGGAATTGTAATTTCATCAAGCAATTTTAGAAAAAGTATGGAATCTTCTAATTTAAGTTATGAACGTTGTTCAGAAAATTGAAAAAATTTAATAAGACTATTAAGCTGCTATAGTACTTGAAGCCTAATATAGAAACTATTCAGTCAACATTTATTGCCATTGGAAGATAAAGAAAATGCTTTAAATATAATAATTGAAAAGTTTTTTATAAAGAAGCTTTTAGACATTTAATTAAATAAGAAATAAACTATCAAATCAATAATCCTTACTTTGATGAAGTATTTAAAGACTTTTTAAATAATTTTTCATTTTAACAATACAGAGAATATTTTTAATAAGAATTAATTAAGCTTTAATTTAAATTTGGATTAAAATTGTATGATTTACAATTAACAAATAATATTGAATATCCTGAGTTTCTTATCATGAATATATCCTAAGAATTTATAAGGAATGTTACATAATCTGATGATTCTTTTAAAATCAAGATGAAAATAATTTTGAGTACTTTGTTAGATTAATGTTAAGATATAGAAAATGAAAAATTGAATAACAGGAAAAATATCATTAGACTCTTAATAAGAAGATTTTGATTTTAATGTTTATTTAATATAAGTTCAACTTATATAATTCATTTAACTTTAATAAAATTATTTTTTGTGTTTCATCTAAGCTTTAATAAATTAAAACAATTTTTCAGATATCATTAAGTATTTGAGACTCAAGTATTGTATCATTAGAAGATGGCTTAAGTCTTTAATAATGATTAATTAAATTATTAAGACAAATTACTTAATTCTTCATTCTATTTTCATAAATCATTCTTTAAATTAATTCTTTTTTAGATCTAGATAATTTATTGATCTTTTTATTTATTGGTTTAAGAAGTTTAATAAATAGCAGATAGGATTGGAATAATAGAATTTAAACTACATTATGACTTTGAACATTTTTATTTTTAAATAGTTTATCAATGTCTTCAATGATGCTGTTATAATCGCCAATTTAAAAGCAAAACTCTATATTGTTTGAACGTAGTTATAGTTCTTAAATATAGTTCTTCTCATAAATAAAATCAAGATTACTAAAAATCATAAGTATGATTTCTATATTAATACGATATAAATAAATTAAAAAAAAGATGTATCAATATTGTAATCTCCAAAGACAAACATCGTATGAAAACACTCATTTGCTATTACATAACTTAGATGATGTTAATAGTGCTATTTTATTGATTAAATTACAGGATTAAAACTTATCATAGACCATTATTAATATCTTAAAATCCAAATTAGGAGATAAAGACTTTGAATTCTACAATACTTAATCAGAAATAATTGATATTAATAGGATTAATAGAGTCAACCTTTCAAATAGAAAAATTTATTTCTAAGAGATAAACTATTATATGAAAAACAGAGATGAAATATCTTAATAAATAGATGTTTTTACTTAAAAATATTATAAGATAAGTAGGTAAGAAGGTTAAATTCAAGAATTATAATAATTAAAACATGAAAAATAATAAATAGAATAATAAAATTAGGAATTGGAAAAATAAATATCATAAATTAGAACTTAATCTTAAGATGATTTACTATTAAATTTGGTATTGCAGAATGAAATATCAAATTTAATGAAAGAAATGTAAAATTAAGAGTAAAATATATTATAAATCTAATTTAGGCAATTAATTAAAAAATATGAAGAGGAATGTCTTAAATTAAAGAATGAAAATAGTACATTATAAAATTCACTTAGAGAAGCTAATTTTAACCTATAAACACATATAGATCTATTAAATAAAGAAAAAAATAATAAAATTCAACCTAAAATAAGAATTTAAAATAGAAATATAGAACCTAAAAATGATTAGGTTTCAATCTAAAATTCATAACTATTCTAATCTAATTACAAAAAATAGATTAATTACAGAAATAAATGTGGCCACTATTTAGATATTTCTAAAATACAATAATAAGTATATTTTGCAATTAAAGTTAATAAAATAGCTTAATGCACTAGATGTTAAGCTTCTTTATCATCCAAACTATGTTTATTGGTTTAAGAATATGGAAGATCATATTTAGAAATAAAAAATTAAATAGAACTTAGCAAGCTTTAATAAAATTTATAAATGAAGTTAAAAAATCATGAAAAACTAATAAAATGTCCAAACAATAAGTGTCAATTCTTTTGGATTTGTTAGAATAACTAGAAAGTATAATTTGGATCGTTTACACAATAAAAAAATGGATTTTGCTATATTTGTGGAGAATATTTTGTAATTAACTCTTAAATACAAGATACATTTGATTCACAATAAAATTTTTTTGATTTTGAAGACTTTAAAGATAGGAGAATGTTTATGAGTTCTAATGAGATGGATGCTCTTTTATATGGTAGTCAAATAAATGAAAAAAAATAACAAACTCATTTCTGATACTTGATTTGCTTTTATAATAAATGAAACATAAATATTCATTTTTAATAAAGAGGCATCATTAATTTCTTTTATTTTCCATCAATATTATTTAATAAAATAAAAAAAATTTCACTTGCTAATTATTCTACTTTTTAATTTAATCCCAAATTTTATTCTTTATTCTAAAATATTCTCCATCTAATCCATAGTATAATTATCTCAGAGAAAACTTCAATTAACTTTCTCTTAACATATCAGTCATATTCATTCTTTCATTCATCTAAATAATTTGATGGATTAAATTTTTTATCCAACATATTTTATTTGTCCATAAAAATAGATATTTTTTTTCTCTAACCTTTATGCTTTTTAATTATCTTTGAACAATTAAAATTTCAAATTATTTCTAAATTTGATAGCATTAGTAAAAATTGAGATTACCAATCAAAATTTCCACATAGTTTTATTTATAATATAAAAATTATAATATGGATAGATTCAAGATTATCAAAGTATAATTACTAAATTGAATAGTTTAAAGGACGCTTAAAACATCAATATTTTGCTGTTTAATATCTTCAAGGATAAAAATAAAATTATTGAAATAAAATTAATCAAAATCTTATTTTTTATATTTTTTTTAAGTTTAAACTAAACAAAGCTGTTAATATAATAATTAAACTGTAACTCTTTTTTTATATAGGATCATATATGAATAACTATTCTTCTATCCATTCAAGAGGATATCGCTTATCATCTGTCTTTATACTTTTATTCCTACTAAATTCTTAGAAAATTTGGTATCTATACATAATATTATAGGCATTCAGCAAATCTAATAAGTTTGCTATTTATCCTCTAATGCTTCCTTTTAATAAACATTTAATTCTGCTATTATCTAATTAAGGTGTAAGGAGTAACCTAAATTATAAACAAAACCAATATAAGAAGATCTACTTGTACAAATTTCTTTAAATATTAGTACAAAGAAGAATCAATCCATTTTATAAATTACTCATAATCATAATAGGCCTAAATTTACCAATAAGAGGGATTTAAGGATGCCATCAGTTGGATAAGCCTCAAACTGCATTGTTCTCATTCAAGTATGTTGCTAGTCTTTTTATTCTACTAGATAATTTGAGAATGCCATCTTATTAATGGCAAAGTTATTTACAGTTTCATAATATATTCTTAGATTTTTTGGATTCTTCATATATTTAAAGTTGATTATTCTTTCTAGATCTTAATTAGATCTTCTATAGATAAAGATGTTAGTTGTTTTTAATAGCATAACTATCATCATCTATTTAAATAATATTCTTAAATGTTCTTTCTTTTTTTAAAGATTTTCGATATGATAGACTTGACCAATTTAATTAATTATCAAAAAACTAAATATGTATATTTAATTTTGGCTATCTATTTTTAAAAATATTTAAGTTTAATAATTTTAAGGATTTATAAACTTCAGACTACTATAAGGATTATTATTATCTCTTAATTCATGTCAATATAATTATTGTTGCTTGATATAAAATATACATAGCTGTAATTATTGGCTGAATGTAATTTGCAGGTTTTTCCATATTTTTTTTGAAATCTAATTTATTTCAGTTTCATCTTATATTTTATGATATATTATTAAAATAGTAATTTATTCATCTTTATCTAGTATGAAGGGTTTATTTATTTTATCAAAATTCAAATTTCATCTCTATTAAATTAAAAATCACAATGTATTTCTAATAAGATAATTATTGTGCATTTGAAATACTCTTTATTATATTAAATATTTGTGGATTTTAATCGTTCACTTCTTCTATTTTTTCATATGAAATCACAGTTTTTATAATAAATTGATTATAAAAATAATAATCGATAAGTTTAGAATAAGTTGAATCAAATTATTTAGATAAATAAAAATATGTAAACGTCTTTTAAATAATTCATGATTATAATGGTTCATTAATAAAATTTAATTTAGTTGGATCTGGTTCTATATCGTGTTTCTTTAAGATATCTAATAACTCTTTTTTCTATCTTTCGAGTTCATATATTCTTTTATTAAAATGTGTGTTGATTTCGAACATATCTTAATACTTCTTCTCCAATATATCAAATTGTACTTGTACCTCTTTGACTCTATTTTACTAAGATCATAATAAAGTTACTTCATATTGAANCTAAATTATAAACAAAACCAATATAAGAAGATCTACTTGTACAAATTTCTTTAAATATTAGTACAAAGAAGAATCAATCCATTTTATAAATTACTCATAATCATAATAGGCCTAAATTTACCAATAAGAGGGATTTAAGGATGCCATCAGTTGGATAAGCCTCAAACTGCATTGTTCTCATTCAAGTATGTTGCTAGTCTTTTTATTCTACTAGATAATTTGAGAATGCCATCTTATTAATGGCAAAGTTATTTACAGTTTCATAATATATTCTTAGATTTTTTGGATTCTTCATATATTTAAAGTTGATTATTCTTTCTAGATCTTAATTAGATCTTCTATAGATAAAGATGTTAGTTGTTTTTAATAGCATAACTATCATCATCTATTTAAATAATATTCTTAAATGTTCTTTCTTTTTTTAAAGATTTTCGATATGATAGACTTGACCAATTTAATTAATTATCAAAAAACTAAATATGTATATTTAATTTTGGCTATCTATTTTTAAAAATATTTAAGTTTAATAATTTTAAGGATTTATAAACTTCAGACTACTATAAGGATTATTATTATCTCTTAATTCATGTCAATATAATTATTGTTGCTTGATATAAAATATACATAGCTGTAATTATTGGCTGAATGTAATTTGCAGGTTTTTCCATATTTTTTTTGAAATCTAATTTATTTCAGTTTCATCTTATATTTTATGATATATTATTAAAATAGTAATTTATTCATCTTTATCTAGTATGAAGGGTTTATTTATTTTATCAAAATTCAAATTTCATCTCTATTAAATTAAAAATCACAATGTATTTCTAATAAGATAATTATTGTGCATTTGAAATACTCTTTATTATATTAAATATTTGTGGATTTTAATCGTTCACTTCTTCTATTTTTTCATATGAAATCACAGTTTTTATAATAAATTGATTATAAAAATAATAATCGATAAGTTTAGAATAAGTTGAATCAAATTATTTAGATAAATAAAAATATGTAAACGTCTTTTAAATAATTCATGATTATAATGGTTCATTAATAAAATTTAATTTAGTTGGATCTGGTTCTATATCGTGTTTCTTTAAGATATCTAATAACTCTTTTTTCTATCTTTCGAGTTCATATATTCTTTTATTAAAATGTGTGTTGATTTCGAACATATCTTAATACTTCTTCTCCAATATATCAAATTGTACTTGTACCTCTTTGACTCTATTTTACTAAGATCATAATAAAGTTACTTCATATTGAACTTAGTCTTTTTGGATTGTAATTTCTTTATTCAAAACTTGAATTTCATCCATATTCTATCTTTTAGCTTCTAAAACTTTGTTAATAATAGATTCCTTTTACTTTATCACTTCTTATAGTTCTTTATTCTTTTATTTATTTAATATTATAATACTTTTTATTTAGATCTTCCTAACATATCAACTAATTTTTAGACTTAATCTTCTGATTATTCTTTACTTTTCAAAGCTTTTTCTCTAATTTAACTTTCCATTTTAAATAATGAACTGTATGTATCTATATCTTTTTTAATTTACAAAAACTCATCTAATAATTTGGCTGTCTATTACTCAATATCCTTTTATTTAGGAAAGAATATATTGTTATATCTATGGTTTTCTTCTTCAACATCTTTTAATTTTTCTCTTAGATTTTATATTAAACTGAGACTTCCTTTTGAATTAGCCATTAATTCATCAATTTCTCTAGTTTTTCTAGATAAATTAACTTCTAATTCTTCAATTACTTATTATAATCTTTTAATTTCAACAAATTCATTAGATCTTTTAGTAACTTTCAATTCATTTAATTATTTATTTAATTTTTCATTTTCTTCTACTAATATTTCAATTTATTATCTTAAACTTTAAACTTATTTTGAATTATTTGTAACCTACTTTAATGCAGCTGGATCTGTTGATAAATTACAATAATTTAATAAACTAGTAATCAAATCATCATAAGTTTCTTTTAATAAATTAAAAAATATTCCTATTGAATAACTTTCTTCTTTAGATTCTAATTAATATCTCCAAACACCTGGAATTGTTTCATTCATAAAATCAATTTCTTTAAACTCTAATTTTTCACTAACTATTTGTCCTTTTGTTTATTTAGATTCAATATTATTTAACAAAGCTTTAATTTGAGCATGAACAAATGGTTCATTTCTTATATTCATATCTTTCCATAAGAGTAGCTTTCTATGTAATAATGCTTTAACAAATTGTATGATTAGATTATCTCTAAGATTCAAAGTTTTAAAGAGTAATACAAAATAATTTGTATCAGGAGTCAATTAATCCTTTATTGATTCTATAAACTTAACTTTTTAATACAGAATCTTTTCCCAAAAAGGATCAGGATTAGTAATTTTATCTTTCAAACCCATAGTATTTCTTGCAATATTTATTAATTCAGATAATTCATAATTGATTAAATCTAGAAATCTTAAGAAATATCTTTTCTATTCCTATAATTTTTCAGCCCCATCTTTCACTTGAATAGAAGATGGATTCATATTTTAGATATATTCTTACTAATTTCTAATTGCAGGTGCCAATTGATCAAATGCAACCTTCATTTTTTCTATATTTTCTGATATGTTCTTCTTCTCATTTATTCCTTGTCTGGCATATGAAATTTATTGAACTATTGGTTTTATTGATTGCATTATATAAATTATTTTATTATTTAAATATGTTAATTAAATAAATAAGGATATCGTAAGAGATTCCTTTTAATTATTAAAATTAAATATTCTTTATATTATTTGAAAGAATTGATTTTGATTAAGAATTACTAATCTCTTTAATCATTTTAAAAAACAAATATATATAATAAATTAATATTTTTATATTTTTTCAAGAATGTTTAGAAGATTTTTGAATATAGCTACTCTCCCTTTAATCAAATATAAGAAACCTATATTAGCTGCCAGTTTTATTAGTTTAACATCGTTCTATTGCATTGAAGACAAAAATATATTAGAAGCAAGGAAAAAAATAGAATAAGACATTTTAAAGATGAAATCTTAATTTGGATCTGAAGCAGATAATTATCCAGAAGTAAAGTAATTATATAGTACTATTAAGTAAATAGGTATGGAACTAAGGGAAATAGATATTCAATCACATTCATAGCAGATTAAAGAAAATGTGATATATTTGCACTATTAGTCAATATATTGAGTTAATTATAAAAGTTAGATGGTAGCTTTAAAATAAAAGAAGTTCATTCTACATTTGAGAATTAAATATATAGTTTGTAAATAGATTTTGAAGAAAGTGTAGGAAATCCAAAGAGTAAAATAAAAACTTAAGGAACAATCTATATTTATGGAGAAATGACAAATGAAAAACCATCAATTTAAATAATATTAGAAAAAACAGATCAATTTTCAAACACAGATTTAGAAGCATTTATGGCTTGTTATATAGAAGCAAATCGACCAAGGTCTATGGTTCATCCTAAAAATTTTTAAAGCAATCAATAAATTCAAGAAGAAATTAAACATCAGCAAGAAATAAAGACTGAAAAAACATTATAAGAATTAGAGAAGACAGGTGTAACTATATTTTTACCTGATAGTAAGGAGAAGAATTTAGATTGGAATTATTTAGCAGGATATGAAAAGTAAAAAAGGGATATTGAAGATACAGTATTACTGGCTTTATAATATCCAGAAATCTATGAATCTCTTACAGCCTTAACAAGAGTTAAAAATGAACCAAATAGACCTAAAGCTATATTATTTGAAGGTCCACCAGGAACAGGTAAAACAACAACAGCAAGAATTATGGCTTAATAAGTTTAAATACCATTGGTTTATTTACCTATAGAGAGTTTTATGTCTAAATGGTATGGAGAAAGTGAGAGACAATTTGCAGATATTTGGAAGAGTTGTTAAAAATTAGGAAGAGTGATAATTTTTATTGATGAAATAGATGCTATTGCATAATAAAGAGGAGGAGAAATGCATGAAGTATCAAGAAGAATTTTATCTACTCTTTTAAGAAAGATTGATTCATTTGAAAGTAATACAAATGTACTATTGATATGTGCAACCAATAGAAAATAAGATCTTGATGCTGCTATGTTAAGTAGAATAGATTTATCTGTTAAATTTGATTTACCAGATCATTAGGCAAGATAAGAAATATTTTAAAGATATGCTAAACATCTTACTGATAAAGAAAGAGATATACTTAGTCAATTAAGTAATGGAATGAGTGGAAGAAATATATCAGATATATGTAAAGATGCTGAAAGAAGATGGGCAGCAAAGTTAATAAGAAAAGAAGTTACTGAGTAATTACCATCATTGGCATAATATAAAGAGACTTTAACTTAAAGACTAAATAACTTTGCTTGAGTGTTTAATATATTATTATTATTTTTAATATTTTATAATGTCTTAAAACAATAATCGTTAATTATAGGCTAGACCAAATAGAAAAACTGAATAATCTTTTGATTTCTTCAAAAATACTAAAGTCTCAACCTGTAGTTATATCAAAAGGAAAGGAGATGATTTCATTGCAATTCCATTTTACTATAAACCAAATTAAAGAAATCTAGATTATTTGAAGTATAACATATACAGTATTTGAAATAGTAAATCCATGTATTCTACATCAACCAATCATGATGCTTATAATAATAAAAGAAGATGCTTTTCTAGTATGAGAAACAAACCATTATCTCAATACAACCCTTTAGCACATAGAAGCAGATTGGCAGATTAAAGTTTAAGGATTTCATAAAACAATTTTTGCCAAATTGAAATAGGAGATAGGTTATAAAAAATACTAATCTTAGAAATTAAAGAATGACTAAGCATTATGTAACTTAATATCAGAATCATTTGGGTAATTTCGGAGAAACAACCCCTTGTTCAAATCCTTAAATTTTAGCAGAGAGAGCCAAATGGAATCATAGACTAAAGGATAAATGATTTAATATTATATTTAACAAAGATTTACTCTATATACACTTAAGAATCTAATTAAAAAGTATTAAATGAACATTTATCATTTTAATCATCAATAAATTAAATTTCCTTTTAGGATATTCAATCGAAAAATAATGAAACATAAATATCCAATAAAATGAATTTTATTATATTAATAAATAAAAATGTAAGGCACTTAGAAGAATAGAGAGGATAATAATTCATCTAGAAGTAGAAGTGAATCTCCTTTAAGTCAGGAAGAATAAGAAAGAAGAAAGAAATTACCAGTTTATGAAAGAACATTAGAAGAAAAAATAATGAGTAAAAAAATCAAGGCTGTTGAAAAGGATAGATTAATTAAAGTGTTTAATGCACTAATTCAATTAGAGCCTAAAAGAATTGAATAAGAAATGGATGGGAATAAGACTACAGATGGTGATACTAAACTAGGAAAATAAAAAAGAAAGAAATCCAATGAACCAAAATTTTCAGCTAAAGCTATTTATGCAATGATGAAAAAGTTAAAATATACTCCTGTTGGTGATGAAGTAGAAAGAATGATATGGGAAATAGATGAAGATTTGGATGAATAAATTAGTTGGTATGAATTTCAATTAATGTTCAAAAGATGCATTAAAGATACTTCTTATCTAGAACCAAGGTATATTATTAATTAAATTAAAGAGGTTTATTTAACTTTGTACAATTTTTAATGTATGCTTATGACAAAGAAGCTATAAAAAATACTATAACTGTCGAAGACACTTTGGAATTATTATATGTGAGATGTGGTAGATAAAATCTAGATGGAGAAATATTCAAAATATTTGGTTAAGATGAAAAGACAGCTGATGGATAAGAAAAAGAAATTACATATTCTGATTATTTAGTTTAGATGAAAAAAAAAGACTTTAACAATTGGACTGAATTAGAAAATAAGAAAAAGAAATATGATCCTTCTAAAGAATAAATCCTTAATAAAAAAGATTGATATATTTATTATCTAGAAATAATCATTCATTTCTATAATTATATATAATTATTATTTATAAATAGTAAATTTTATTCATCCTTAGATAATTGTATCTCAAACATTAATTATTACTAATTATTTTGTTAAAAATTGTATATTAAAAAAGAGATCTTACTATTTTCCAAACTTCTTATGATATATTTTAATAAATTATTTATATACAAATAATTATAAAAATTCCAATTATGTAATATTTTATATTTTAAGATCAATATAACAAGCTGATGATTAAAAATATATAATAAAATTAGAATATTACAATATTAGAATATTTCTTAATTGCTTTATGGGTACGATATATAAAAATTATTTAATTAATTAGCAAAATAACTATATTGAAGCAAATATCTCTAAATTATGCTAGTTTTTGAAATATTATACTTAATTTCTAATTTGGATTTAAAATAACTATTTAATTCTCATCAATATATATATAGTAGATGATTTTAAGAAATATTTCATTAAAAATATAGAGATAAACAAAAAATAGAAATAAGTCAAAATTAATTCTTTTAAATTGAAAAATATCATTGAATTATAAACAGATATAGAATATATCTAATTCTCAAACATAATTGACTATTCCAATTAAAATTACATCTTAAAATATTTAATGAATTGATTAAAATCCAATTTGTATTATAATATCAATTGCAAATATACAACTTATAATTAATTTCATAGATGATATTCTAAATAATTATTATTAAATATACTTATTCATTAAACAATATCCTGCAAATATATGAGCAAATCCATATAAAGATCTTACTTTCAAAGCTAAAGCAACAAATTATTAAAGGTTTTTCATTCCTAATTAACGAATTGATCTATCATAATGCAATTATGTCCAAGGGTCTGTCAATAAAGCAATTCCATAAATGGCAATGTAAATTCCTATTAGAAAAACTCCTAAACCTTTCATAATTTATATAGAAACCCTAAATATTAAATATTTTATTTAATAAACAAAATTCTTATAATTATTTTAATTGATTATTGTAAAGACAGAAAATCTCTCAAATGTATAAAAAATATGATTAAATGATTTATGTGTCATACTAATTTTAAAAAGTTTAATAAAAATGAAAAAAGATAATTTAATCTATTTCTGATATTTTTCAAATTACTATTATAAACGTAAAGTTTAAATTTAATCAATAATATGATTAAGGACGTTATTAAGTATTTTAAGGTATATTTTAGATGGGTCTTTTAGACAAATTTTGTGCATCTAATGCTTAATGATGAAGTTATTCATTTTCTTTTTTTAATTTTTCATTTTCTAATTTGAGTTCTGAAATTTATTTTTCCAAATAATTTATTTGTACATTTAGAGCCTTTACCTCACCTTCACCTTATGCCCGAATAACTTATCTATCTCCATCTGCTTTTGCTATTTTTTCTCTTAAATTCATGCATTCTTTATTCATATCATCATATTTTAATTAAAAGTGATAAAGCTTTTCTTCTGCTAATCTTCTCTATTTTTAACTATCTATATTATTAATAATAACAATACTTTATTCTTCTATCTTAGCTTATTCTAAATCTCTTTATAATTATTCAACTTATTTGAGTGTTCTTTATAAGTGATAATCTTATATTGCATTAGTATTTTCAACTCTATCCTCTTACTTTTTGAACTTCCTATAACTTTATGTTGTATATGTTGTAGATGATGGATAATACATAAGGATCGTTAATTTTATTATTATAATCAACTGTATATATATATATATATTTAATGTTTTGAATATTTTATTTTAAAGTATAATAATAGATTAAAGGATAATAATATAAGGATAAAAATATTACATAATAAATAAAATAAATTGATATTGAATTTAAAAATAAGATTAATTATGATTATAGAGTAATATATTTATTATTAGAATATCATTATTATATTGTTGATAGTTCTATTTAATTCTAAAACTATTTAGAATTAAATATAACTATATATATTCTTAATCTCAATTTAATTTTACTTTTTTCAGCTAATAATACTTGAAAATACATTTAAATGTGCCCATTTCAATTTTAAAGAATTTTTAATTTCTTAAATTTATATAGATATAATTGAATGAGTGATTGTAGATAATTATAAATACAATAAATATGCTCAATATTCAACTTTGACTAAAATAGCTTTAATTACAAGTTGAGTTTTCTTCTTCATATTATATATGATCATCTATTTATGAATTAGTATCAGTCTAAGGTTTTTCATCAAAGCCTTTTCTATATTTTGATAATAGTCTAGCATATGGTCTTTGTTTTTCGAGCTCATTTTGTAAGATTATGATAGACTAAATATATTTTATTTTTGAATCTTCTTTAACCTTATTGCTATTTTAAATACAGTTCTTTATATCATCAGAGTATAGGAATTTTAACCAAGCTTATCTGATTTATATGTATTTTTTGCTTTTAGAATTATGAATCAACTTAAGATCTCCTAATTCAAACTTCTTTTAATTTGATATCTTATTGTTTTTTAATTTCTCCAATGTTTCTCTAACACAACTTATATTTTCATCCTTTTAAAAGATAGTCCAAATATAGAATTAATTCATAAAGAATGGCACAATTCTTCTTAAAAAATCTGGAGTTACTTCAGCAGTATCGTTTTATTCTTAGGGTTGAATCATTGATAGAAGCATCAAATAAGTTTAAGTATCAATCTTAATCACAACTTCTGAAGGCTAGATATCAATTATTTTAATGTAGTTCATTGAATTTATTTATGAATTTAAAAAAAAATTTTAATTAATTTATATTAACAAAGGATTGGTGGATTCTCCCAATGAATAATATAAAAGTAATTATATAAGAAATCTAGAATTTCTATTAATAAAATATAGATTTGAAAATTTAATTATTTGAACTTTATATTCATCTCAATCTGCTCTTCAATAATTGCTTAAGCATATATCCAACACAGAATTTTGAAATTTTAAAACAAAAATTTTCTGGATGTAGACATTCATTAACTTAATACCATCTTTATTATAATAATTTAAAACACTCTCTCTTTCATTGTATTCTTAAATATGTTATAGATCTATATAAAAAGTTAACAACTCTTCTAATAAAAACTACTCTTTTCAAAAAGAAGAATGCACACTGAAATTCCACTAAATTTATATTCTATAATGTAGTTGTTTAAAAAATTTCATTAAAGAAAGAAGAGTCTTTTATGAATGTATAGTGTAGGTATAAGGCTTAATCCTTTGTTAAAGAAAGAAAGAAACTTTTGACTTTATTTAAAGGTAGAAGTTAAAAGTAATATTAGAGAGCAATTTTAAATAAAATAGTTTAAGGATTAATACTTAAAATTGAGTAAAGTATTTAGAATTAATTCAATTGAATCTAACAATAGATATTTTATATTCTAATCAATTTAAGACTCTGTAGCATTGTCATATATATATAATTTAATATAATTGGATAGCAATCCAATTAGTTTATATTTATAAAAGAATAATAATGATAATTTAAATAAATACTCTATCATTTAATTCAATAATATACTCTTTTCAGTTAATAACTATGTAAATAATGCAAATAAATTAATTTATATATATTGCTGCTTTTTAACCTCATTTAATTATTCAAATTTATTTTATATTTTTATATTCATATAACTGATCATTAATCATAATTATTCTATTTTCTTTTGTTAAATTTAAGTGATTCTTTTTATTCTTTTTTATATTTGAATTGATAATTCAAATTATTAAGTATTTAGATTAATTATTAAAAAATAATAAAAATTAATTAATTTACATATAACTTACATAAAAAATTCTTCATTATATTACATACAATGCTATTCTATATTCGGTTGTATCAATTAAAGAAGTTTGATTCCCAATTCTTCTACCTCCTTATGGATGATCCACCCAAATACTAAATCTATTTTGATCTAATGGATCATAATTATCTGCTAATTGAAGATGAACTTTCTCGTTCGGTGCAAATCCAATTGAAATTCTTGGTACAAAATACCAATACAAATTATCACCTGATCTACTTTTTCTAGCTTTATCTCTACTTGTTGTAATTGTAAAAATTTCATATACATAATCACATGCCATTAATACAAAATGACTTGGTTTTTTAACAGAAATACCTCCAAAACAAGCTATTCCAGTTGAACTGAATGAATCAGTCAAATTAGCAATTTAATCAAGAGTTAAAGATTTATTTAAATATTAATCTAAATATATTTTAAAACCTTATAACAATACTATTGGATAATCTAATTCAATTTTTCCTAATAAATACTTTTGAGCATTGAAAAACTATTTATTTAATAAAATTCTATTATCAACATATTCTCTAACTTCTTAGATTGTATTATTAAAATTAAAATTTATTTATTTAATATCCTCATCAACCTTATTAAATTTCTCTATTAATATTACATTATTATTATTATCTTAATTAAAATTATTGGATTATTTTATTATTTATACATTATTCATATTAGAAATCTAATTTTAAGAAATTGATACTTATTCTTTCAAATTAGAAAGTTCTTAAGATAGTATGTTTATAGTTTAATTCTAAAATAATTATATTTCTTTAAATTATTTCTACAACTCTATGATTTCTACTTTTAATTATTAATTGTATAATTTTAAATATTCAATTTCATTCATTAATTTACGATCTAATGTGTTTTTAATTTCTTCAATTTTTATTATATTTTCTTATTAAAACTCAGACAATTATTCTTTAATTTAATTTATATCTGATTCAAACATAAGTGATTCCTTTATCTGAATTTATTTTTAATCCTTTGATGTTAAAATTGAGAATTAATTACTTATCATTATAAGAATTGCAATAATAAAAGTATATTTAAATAACTTATTTGATGCATATGGATTTTCTAATTTCTTTAATCTATCATCAGCTTGATTTATTTTATCTTCTTAACTAATAGAATAATATATTTCTTACTTTGCAAACATTTTTTATAAATCAATACCCTTTTTAGCTAAATTTGTTCTAATCCTATCAAAAACTTAATTTTGTTTATTAATTATATCATTATGAAATTTTTCATCATTTCTTTTATACAAATCCAAGATAAATTTATTTGTTTAATTATTATATTACTTTGTTTCATTCAACAATCTTTAATGATATCCTATTTCATTTATAAACATTTAAATTTGAGTATCAACATCAGCTTTTGCTTATTTTAAGAAGTTTTAATCATGAAACGGAAATTTTTCAATTTTTTATATTTATTCTTTCTGAAAATCAAAGCATTTTTATTATACATCTTATAGAAAATTTAATCTTGTTTGATATTTCTATTCTAAATGATTTTATAATTCTTTTAATTCTATAAAATCATCCAAATGACGAACAGTTTTAGTATTTTTAAATTTCTGAATTCCTTTTTAATTAGTATGTTACAATGTTAAACATTTATGACATACCAATTAAAATCTTTTAGCTTAAATACATTCAATGTTTGTGCAAATAAAACTCCTATTAAGATGTGTTAATTTACACATCTCTTAATCTTCATCTTTGATTTACATTTTGAAAAATTAAAAATTATAAAGTAATAAAAATAGATTAAGTTTAAATTCTAAGCAGAATTAAATTAAATATAAACTATTTAAGAGAATGAGTATATATAGATATATTTTAGTAGTACTTAAATAATATATATGATTAATAATTTTCTTATATTTCATAAATTAAGAATAATAATTATTATTATAAATAAACTTTAATAAATTATTATATAAATATTACATATTGTAAAACTACCCTAATTAAAACAGATCAATAGAAATTATACTACTAAACAAACAGTATTTAAGTATTAGATACCATGAATAGATATTTTTAAAGTGATCATATATATATTTTATGTAAATATAATGTATAAAATTAAAAGAGATAAATAATTATAATTGTTACATTAATAAAAGTAGACTTAAAATATATTATTTACATTTACAATAATAGTTTTAGAATTAATCATAAAATTATATCAAAGTTGCAAAAAAAATTGAATTGAAAAGTTTGATATTTAAATTTTATTTTAGAGAATCAATCATAATTATATTTAAACATTACAATACTTTAACAAATATATTTGAAATTAAACAAGAATAGTTAATCAAATTTTATAAATACATATTAACAAAAGAATTATAAACTATCAATTTAATGGATATTATAGAATAAGATCGATATACTAATAATTTATTATATATATAATCTATAATTTTTCTATTTAAATATTAATTTTATCCTCCTCGTTCATAAAATATGNTATCCTATTTCATTTATAAACATTTAAATTTGAGTATCAACATCAGCTTTTGCTTATTTTAAGAAGTTTTAATCATGAAACGGAAATTTTTCAATTTTTTATATTTATTCTTTCTGAAAATCAAAGCATTTTTATTATACATCTTATAGAAAATTTAATCTTGTTTGATATTTCTATTCTAAATGATTTTATAATTCTTTTAATTCTATAAAATCATCCAAATGACGAACAGTTTTAGTATTTTTAAATTTCTGAATTCCTTTTTAATTAGTATGTTACAATGTTAAACATTTATGACATACCAATTAAAATCTTTTAGCTTAAATACATTCAATGTTTGTGCAAATAAAACTCCTATTAAGATGTGTTAATTTACACATCTCTTAATCTTCATCTTTGATTTACATTTTGAAAAATTAAAAATTATAAAGTAATAAAAATAGATTAAGTTTAAATTCTAAGCAGAATTAAATTAAATATAAACTATTTAAGAGAATGAGTATATATAGATATATTTTAGTAGTACTTAAATAATATATATGATTAATAATTTTCTTATATTTCATAAATTAAGAATAATAATTATTATTATAAATAAACTTTAATAAATTATTATATAAATATTACATATTGTAAAACTACCCTAATTAAAACAGATCAATAGAAATTATACTACTAAACAAACAGTATTTAAGTATTAGATACCATGAATAGATATTTTTAAAGTGATCATATATATATTTTATGTAAATATAATGTATAAAATTAAAAGAGATAAATAATTATAATTGTTACATTAATAAAAGTAGACTTAAAATATATTATTTACATTTACAATAATAGTTTTAGAATTAATCATAAAATTATATCAAAGTTGCAAAAAAAATTGAATTGAAAAGTTTGATATTTAAATTTTATTTTAGAGAATCAATCATAATTATATTTAAACATTACAATACTTTAACAAATATATTTGAAATTAAACAAGAATAGTTAATCAAATTTTATAAATACATATTAACAAAAGAATTATAAACTATCAATTTAATGGATATTATAGAATAAGATCGATATACTAATAATTTATTATATATATAATCTATAATTTTTCTATTTAAATATTAATTTTATCCTCCTCGTTCATAAAATATGATATTATTAAAATGAATTAAAACTAATAATCTTTTTAAAAATCAAATTTATAATTATCATTCAATGAAAAATATTTGAGTGATTATAAATGATTTTAATGTGCATTAGGGATTCTTGAATTTTTATTAACTAGTATGAATCCTAGATACAATTATCCAAAGAGATCTGTTTCCAGTGTAGATAGATAATAAATACTTAAAGCTTTAGGAAGTAATCCTTCAGATAAACATATTGAATATATGGCATAAGAATATGATCTTAAGACACGTACAATAAAGTCTTGGATAAAATAACAATATTAAAATTAAAGCAAAGCATCTGAATCAGAAGAAGATTATTAAAGTAATCGCAAAAAAACTAAGGCAGATAAAGATCTTATAGATTTTGAAAGAAATTTTAATTAAAACTCTGATGCTTATCATTATGAAATCACAAGTATGGATCTCTTAAAGAATGATAAATTATTGATTTAATAAGAATCTGCAAAACCTTAATAAAAAGTAAATTCAACATCATAATAAACAAATAAGGCCTTGAATAGTGAAGATTTTTTTTCAATGAAAATTGATAAACAAATATAATAGTCCTAAAAATTTTCACTCTAAAATTTTGATGCCCTTTTATTATTATTAGATTAGGATGATGAAATACACCATTTAGTATCCTTACTTAGAAATCAAGAAAGATAGATTGAAGAATTAAAAAAAACTTAATCAGAAATTTTAGAGTATATGTGTTCACATTTAACAAAGAAACCAAAAAAGATTTGATTTATATATTATAATAATATTTTAAGATTTATATCAAATATAAACCTAATGAAAATATGGAGAAATTGTAAAAAATTAATCATAAGCTTTATTAAATACAATTATATCCATTTTTCCATTAGAAGTTGAATTTATTTAAAATACGATTATAATGAGTGGTAATAATAAAAAAGATTGTATGTCTCTAAACTGATTTAATATAAGTCCTTATGAATAGGAAATTTATGCCCAATTTAGATTTACTTTTGCCAAATATCTTCAACACAGATATATGATAATTTCTGTGTTGCTTTTTTATTGGCTTTATTATCTACATAGTGGAAATAGAAAATTTAAACAAAAATAAACCAAGTGATTTGCAAATCATAAGCCCCCTTGTGTTTATAGGTTAGTATAACTAGCTTATATTTATTGGATGTCTTAAGAAAGTCAGGCCATTCTAATCAAATCAAGAAAACAATCTAATAATTAGTAATTTAACTCAAATTTAAGAAATTTAACTCCACCCCTAGACATTCTTGTCTCCACAACAGTCTTAATCTGAGGAGTGAAAATTTCATTAAACATCAACTACACTTTCTTAATGTAGTCTGTTAAATTACAATCCTTAGTGGAATTCTTAATTCTCTTCTTAGGGCAACAGACAATTCTCAGACCAGCATATTATGCCGACACTTTCTGTCCCAAAAGAAAGGAGGACTTTAACCCCAGGGTTTGTTTATGTAATTGCTTACATTCGTGTATATGTGCCCCGATGACTAAGCAATTTGCAAAATCTTTTGTTTATTTTTATTTAAATTATTGAAAAATAATCACAAGTTAATTTAGTCAAATAATATAGATATAATTATTTGAAAGCTTTTAAATTAATTATTTGATATAACTTGTATAGTCTTATTTAATAATAATTGGACTGATTATATTTATAATTTTTATTATAACAGACAAATATGTATAAAGTTCTTATTGCACTTAAATCATTATAACAATTCAAGTGTTCAGTGACAATGGGAGGAAAGACTAAAGTAGTAACCTTACCTTAGACAGAAGGTTTAACATTTAATGTAAAGTATTGTAATTAACATATAATAAGTTAATTGAGTTCAATCCAATTAAAATATAATGATGAAATCTTTAAAATTTAAATGAATGAGGATATCACAGAAACAACAGGAGAATATAAGTTTACAAATGTAAGTGGATAATATTATATTGTATTGATACAAGATATTGAAAAACCATCTAAATTAAATATAAAATAAAATGCATAAACATCAGAATCTCCACTTAGAAAAAATGAAACAGAAAGAAGTTTAACTGCTAGTACAAAAAAATTTAGTTTTAAGACTCCTACAAATAGATAGAAATCTGAATCAAATTAAAAATTAATATAATCATTTGTTTTAGGAGATAATTTAATGGAATAATTAAAATAAGAGAATAAAGAACTCAAATAAAGAGTAATTGAACTTGAAAATTAGATTGTAATATTATAATAGGAATAAAATAAATAAAAAAATGAGAATGTTGAATAACCTAAATAAGAATCATCATAAAATGACTTTAGAATTGATTTTTAAAATTTATTAAAATTATAGTAAAGATAAGCTCAAGAAAATAAACAATTACTAAAACAATTAATGGATTTAGATGTTAACTATTAAGATTTATTAGATAAGAAATCTTTAGTTGATTAAGAAGTGACAAAATTAAAATAAACTATCAGTTAGTTTGATTGTTAAATAACATAATTAAAAAGCAGATTAACATAATTTGAAATAGATGGATTAAGTTAAAACATTTAATTAAACTTATAAATTGCATAACCAATAGAGAATGATGAGATAATTGATAACTTAATTAAATAAATATTAAAAATGAGAGCAACTGGATCTTAATACATTCCAATAAAAGAAGATAAATTAGACTCAAAATTAGCATAAGTAATTGCTAAAGATCATACTCAATAATATTAATTTATTAGATTAAAATAGGGTTTATATTTAATAGGTGAAGAATAATATCAATTATTTATGTAAGAAAATAAGATAATGATTACTACTGAAGAAGGTGTATTATCACTATAAGATTTTATTAAAAGTAGAAAAAGAGTAAAATCAGTAAATGTTCGTAAACCTTGAGATTATTTATTACTTTAAATATATTATTATAAATCATATCACTTAGTTTTATGATATTATTTTTTTAGTATAATTAATAATAAATTTAAATATAAATTTACAAATAGAAAATATAGATTATTGTTATTACTATTTAATATTATAAAGAAATAGGATAATTTAAGAAATCATTAAGTATTTTGAAAATAAATTATATAAAGTAGGATTTAAATATTTAATAAATATTTAATGATATATATAATAAAATTTAAATTAGAAAAGAAAATTTAACATAATTAGATTTAAAGAATAAAAGTTGGATTAAACTTATAATGATAATTATTAAACGAAGTTTTCATTCTTCAATTTATACTCTATCTATATAATAACCTTAAATTATTCTATTGCGATGTTCAATTTAATTAGCAAAAACAAAACTGAATTCTCCTGTGTAAGTGGCATCTAAGAATTTCATTGTATCTTCTGAAACCATAATTCTACCAATTTATGAATTTTATTCCATCTTCTTCGCTATCGCAACATCTGATCCATAAATATCATATCTCACAATATCTGTTCCTACTATTCCACCAATTATATTCCCAGTATGTATTCCTATTCTCATATTGATATCAGGATATTGAATATTTTTCTTAAGTAAATTTACTATATCAAGTAATTAAAAACCAAGATTGACAACATTATATGCTTCTTCTTCTCTTATTCCATTATTAGCATCTAAGACTCCTAAAACAACATAACTATCACCAATTGAATACAATTTATAAACATTATTTTCAGTACAAGCTACATCAAACTTATTAAAAAGGGAACTTAACATTTATAATACTTATTAAGCATCAACACTAGTAGAATATTTAGTAAATCCTGCTATATCTGCATATAGGATAGTGGCATTTTCAAATACATCAGGTATAGTATCTTATTCTTTAAAATATTATTATAAAATATGAGAAGGTAAAAGATGACTGATAATTTTGTTTTATTCTTATTATTGTTACAAAAGTTAATCATGAATATTATAATTCTAATAAAGTAAATCTTCATTTTAATTTCTTTAAGCAAGAATAAAGATTTCTATTGTAAGAATAAAAATAATAGTTTCATTCCACTCATTAGCGAAAGATAGGATGAAAATTATATGAGAGTATTTTAAAAAAAATAACAATTTTCTATGACGAGAAGTAAAATAAGGTAGAGCTCTCAAAAAGTATCCCAAACATAAAGTGTAAGCTAGGATTAAAGTAATGTAAGATCTTTCGATTGGATCATTAATTATGATTGTTATAATGTTGAATAATATACTTATGAAATATCCTATAATCATCCCTATTTAGAAAATATACTTATAAGCATCTCTTAAGCAAAATGGAACAACAATACAACTCATTAAATAAAATGCAATCTTTAATCCTTCTATTGTTAGATTCACTCCTAAATATTGCTTATATTCCATTAAAGCAAATAAAATAGGCAATTAAAAGATCATCAAATAAATAAAGAAAATTAGACAATACTAAACCATATCCTTAAATAATTTATGATTATATATCCTTATCATCTCTTTATATTTGAATTATCGAAAATATACTAAGTTTAATTTATGTTTATTTACCTCTTCTCGCTTGATTTGTACCAAAGTCACATTTGACTCTAATCAATTCTTACATAATATCTGTTTCAATCTTCTCTTAATTTCCAATTAATTATTATAATTTTGGAATCTCAATCTTTTCTTCTTATTGAAGAGTGGAATCAAATAAATGGTTGTTTTATATAGATTTTTAGCTTTTTACATTAATTTATGGGCTCTTTGGAATTTAATCATCAATATTTTTTTAAGAATCAGCTATTTTCATATTATCAAAGAGATCACCAAATTAATCTCCTAATGGATCTTCTTTCTTTTATTATTATTATTATTATTATTATTATTATTATTATTATTATTATTATTATTATTATTATTATTACTAGATCTAATCATGTGATGACATCATTTAAGGATTCACTTCTTTAAATCTAGTCACTCTACTTTTTCTATGCATAGTAATACGTCTATTAGATATATCCTCTATTACATAATATAAATAATTACATAGTAACTTATTGGCTGTGATTACATCTTATATCACTTTACCAAATTATTCAACAGGTAATTAATAAACAGATTTATTTCTTGACATAGATGATTTCCTTGCAATTTCAAATTAGAATCCTGCAGGATTAACTGCATTTGTCATTAAATCATTATTAATTGGCTTATCATTTGAATCCAATCTTTTAAATTAAATTGAACTAACCAATTTAATGATTGGTGATTTGTCAACCTTAGTTGCAAAAGTACTTTTCTTATTAATTACTAATTAATAAAGAACATAAATATTCTTTATATTGATTTCCTTAACTTAAAATTAATATTTCATTTGTCTAACTCTAATAAAGGCACTTTCAGTTAATGAAATTCTTCCTGGTTCACAGACTGTACATGTTCTACTAGTTGTATTTACTGTGTCTCCTATTAATGAGAATTATGGTTTATGTTAACCAATTACTCCTGCCATAACATTTCCATAATTAATTCCAATTTTAATAACTATTTATTTATCCTAATATTTTAAATTATTAGTTGATTCCATCATGGCAATAGCACATTCTATCATTTTTTAAGTAGAATTTTTTGATTGTTTATCAATAATATCATAGTCTTTTAATCCAGAAACACAAACATAAATTTATCCTACAGTTTCAATCTTCTAGATATTATATTAATTGCATATAGTATCAAAGGTTCTATAAATAGAATCTAGAAAACTTATAATAGACACTTTTTCAGATTCAATAATATCATCAAAGTCACATATCTCACAAAATAATATTGTGACTGGTCCTTAGTCTTCTTGTATTTATATATATCCTCTAGCCATCCTTTCTTTAATAAATCTAGGCATCAATATTCCCAAAGCATCATTCAATTTCTTCTATTCCTTTTCCAATTATTCTTATAATAAAAAGTTTTGTCTCCTTAAATATTCATTTACATAACATAAGTAATAACCACTTACAGTTGATAAACTACAAATAATTATTAAAGCCAAAACAAACATTATTTATTTCTATGGTAAGTATGGATATTTGGGTATTATAAATTTCAATACAACTCCTAAACTAATTAAACTCATAAGGATTATTGTACCTTTAAATCTTAAACTTAATTTAATTGAATAATTTAACAGGATTATCATAAATATTGATGTAAAAATTACTTAATTCATAATATAATCTTAATCTAATAAGAATATTGTAATAAATTAAAATAGAAATCTACTTAAAATACTTATCAATTATAAATTTTATTAAATTATACGAGGTGTTATTTCTAAATATTATAGAATGTATATTGTAATACTATAAAATAGTTACACACCCCATAAAATATAGATTGCTATATTATTTTCAATTTAATTAACTTAGATTAATAGATTAATGAATATAGTAGCCTCAAATATTATATATAAAATTGAATTCTAACTCATTGATTCTTGATATCTGATCTCAAATTCTTTTTAATTGAAAGTAAGATTTTTCTTTAATTCTATTTATTCATCATTATGAATATTATTATTTAATGCTTTATAAATTGAATCATCCATCTAATTATTATCTGCCAAAATAGATTTAATAAATTTCTTTCTTGATTAAATTGATAATTATAAACTTTATTTAGTAGATCTTTATTTCTTTGTCTATTCAATACATTTAAAATTTGATTCATCTGTAATCAATATATCTTGAAACATCTCCAAATTATACAATTATAATATACATGTCACTGCAAATTTAAATACAAATGCAAATATATAAACAAAGATTAAACTTCTTATTATAAATCCTGGACTATAAAACAAATCTGAGTAAGATACATCATAATCATTATAATCTGGAATAGTTAGAAATGTCACCAATGCAACTACGAATATACTTAATAATAATAATCCTAAAAGTTGTTTATATTATTATTCAAATATTTAGAAATACAATTATATTTTAACTATTAATTCTAATGTGATAATAAAAGCAAATTATGATATTGGTAAATAATTAGAATCTCCATATAAGTATTTTGTAGCAAATAATGGAATACTCACTATTGTTGCATCAATCACTCCAACTAGAAATATTTTAATTAATGAATCTCTATTAAATAAAGATTTAACTAAACATCTTTATAGTATTAATCCTTTATAATGAACTTCTGTATTTTTGAATCTTTAATTATGAGATATTAATTAAATTATCACTGTAAATGTTTGACTCAATAAAAGGAGAATGTTACAACTTTAAGTTAAGAATTATCCTTAATTTATTAAGTTAATGAGTACAAATAGAATCATTTCGTATAACCAAAAATAAAGTATCTATTAAGCCAACAAAGATGAACTTATACATTGAGTAATTAGAATAGTTTCTGCACATCTTAAAGAATTAACTAAATAACAAGGTTTAGATTGCGTATAGCATTTTGGATTGATATCAATTGATATTTAACTCATATTATAAACTCTTTGATTATTTGCACAACTTCCTATATATCCAATTTACATATTGAGTTTTTTGGCAATCTTAAATAATTTTACCTTTGAAATCTCTTAACTATCATATAATGCTAAACCTCTACTAAACCAAACTATTATTGCAAAATGATTTAAAAGATATTCATCTTTAATTATTGTTAATAAGGCTTCACAACTTAGAAGAATATATTTCTTATCAAAGTCTTAAGCTTCAAATATTCTTATATTTAATTTTAAATTTACCTTTATTATTTTATTAAATTTGAACAGGCACTCTATATTGCAAATTTCAATGTTCTTTCATCTCCAGAATTAAATTAATTTAAATCATTTTCATTTTCAATAAATTTAGCATCAAACAAAAATCTCAAAACTACAAATTGGCTTTCAGCAGATACTAACCATGTATTAAGCTATTATATTTATTTAAATAATACATTTGCTTATGAAAATGCATCTATAGTTAAAAGTGCACTTTGATCTATTTTTGTATGAGTTCCAATAATCATAAGTAATTCAGCTTAAGATTCCAATTATAAATATAATAATTCTAATTAATCTTCATCTGTTGTATATGAATTCATAATATTCATTTTATTTAACAAAAATTGTTTTGCTTCAGTTTTTTTGAGTTATTTTTTAAAATATAAAGTTGGTTATTGTCCATGTTTCAACATATAATATAAAGTGGAATTAGTTTCTAATACATTTATATTCATATTAGTATTTTCATACATTTATGAAGTTTCAATTTTAATATATAAAAGTGCACCTTCATCTTCATTGAATTCTTCTGGATCTTTTAAGAGAACTGAATAAACTCCAATTCTATTTTTTGTTTATTTATTTTCACTTAAAATTTTATATTATTTTAATTTGCCTTATATTTCAATGATTTTGAGTTAACTTTTTAGATATATATCATAAATTTAACGTTCAGTTTCAATACTACATTTAAGTTTGTATTCTAATAAATTACAAAATTCAATTAAAATATAATCTTATGGATTTTTACAATATGTTTCTATTGTTTTTTTCTATTCATTATATTTATTTTCTATTTCACATAATAATAATAAAGCAACAATTCTCTCATGATATTAATTATCAAAATCATCAAATAATTAAGTAATAAATTATTATTCATTCAATTATTATTTTTATAATTAATTAATAGATGAACTCTAATCACTTCCACTTTTTACAATTTTTGTTCTAAAAGATATAGTTTTATTTAATGAATTCTTTAATTTTTTCTATTGAGATACATCAATTGTTTTCTTTGAAAGTGAAAATTATAAATTTGTACTCATACCATAATTTTATTTTTCCTCTTAATTATGAGGTGAATAAGGATGTGATTTAATTAATTCACTATAATCTTTCTTATCTTCATCAAATATATCATTTTCTCTACCTGTATCTAATAAAGTTTTATAATAATTATCCCCAAATTAATTTTAATTACTATTCATTACTGTTACTAATTATTTATATTTGAATATATATTGTTTATCATCAATATAAATTGATTAAATCTTTCTTTTCTTTTGAAAATATTATTGATTTAATTCCAAACATACCAAATTTACTTTTGAACATTTCCAATACTAAAATAATTTATATTTTAATATTACATTTGTTTATTACATCATAATTGAAAAATCTTTAATTTCTTCATATTTTGATAATTTATTTTAAGAATATATTTCAGTCATATTCTTTACTTTATTGAATTCAATCCATATATGTTTATCATCTTAAACAACTTTATAATTTAATAATAATAATATATATACTATCTTTTCCTTAATTATTTCCTTATTCTATAGCATTCATTGGTTTCACTTTCTTTTGAATACTTGGTTATTTTATATAATGAAATATCTAAACAAATTCTTTATAGAATATAGTATATAATGGAAGTAACATAGAATTAAAACATAAATGAATTCCATAATTTGTTTTATAACTTAAATTTGCAAGCTAAAATTACTTTATCAAATACCAAACTTATAAAATATCCAAGAATTATCATTCCAATAAAAAAGAATGACTTTTATCTTTTATGTTTAATTGGTTTATAAATACGTAAACAATTATTTCCTGCTACTAATACAATTCCTAATGCCCAATCTGTATTTAATAGTTTCTCACCACTATAAATAATATTATCCTAATTAAATTTAAACACTTTTGGATCATTCTTTAATTTTATCATTCCCATCAAACTTGATTTCTTACCAAACTAATAGGAATATTAGATTTATCCATTTAAAGTTAATTTGAATTCCACTAATAAACCTTTTGTATCACTTTTTGGTTAAACTAAAATAAATATATAAATTACTAAAAGTAGATTAACAAGGTATTGTAATTTTAGGTGTTTGAATACCAAATTCATTTTAATCTATCTACACAACTTGATGACTTGATTCTAAAAGTAATACATCTGCAGGACATTCATGTGATTTTTATAAAATAACAATATCTCCGACTTTTATCTATTCTCTTAATACTTATTTTTATGGATAGAAATAAGTATTAATATCTTCAGAAGAATCTGATGCCAAAGGTTCTTTTGAATGAATAAAGTTCTCTAAAATACTATATCTCTATTCATTTAATTGTGATTCAACTATTCTAAAATTACGAAATTTAAGAACACACTTTATTACATATAGACAATAATCTAATAATAATACAATGCTTTGAAACAAAACAACTAAATTACTTTCAAATATTTGAATTTTAATTACCTAGCTGCATCATCTTAAAGAGCCCAGCTAATAATGATGTAGACCATTATCATTAGTATTTCAAATCTCCATAGAAAGGATAGTACTTCTAGAATATGTTATTTAAAAGTAAAAGATTAGACCTTATTGCCTATGTATGATTTTCCGTAACCAGTAAGAGCCTTTACTTCTCCATTCACAAGTTCAATCTTAACAAATAAATACCAAGAATTACTTTCTTCAAATTACTCTCTGTCTTTTATTGAATCAGTTTCTACACTTTTGATGATTATTTCAAGTAAAGGTACGTAATCAATGAATTTAGCCATCTCATAATTTATTACAGAAAAATATAAATTTTTAAATGTTTCATTTGGCCTGTTTTCAAAATATTGGCGCAACAGCTTTTAGATAAAAATGAACTCAAATTTTTGGGTCATACAAAGGATACACTACAATATTCATTTAACTTAAATATTGAATATAATTCCTACACTTTTTTAAGAGATAATTCAATGATCAAAACTCTTTCCTCGTTTAACTTTTTTTTAATTGGATTTACATATTATACTTTGAGCGTAACTTTGATTTTATCAGGTTATTCTTACTATAAAATGATGCATTTTCACATACAATTATAAAAGTGTCTTAATAATTCAGATATCAAATATTGTCATATTACTAATATTACCTGTCGATTTTTAATTTAGATAATGATTGAAACTTTGAAATATATTAAAAGATCATAGAATATATTTAATAAAGAATATTTATAGAATATAATTTAATCTACTTTTTAATAACACATTTAAGTTGAGAGTGTCTATTTAAGATGCATTTGTAGATTTAATGTCAGAATTAACTTTTTGATTAGGTATTAAAATTATATTTCTAATCTATTGATATAATATTCAATAAATTAAAAATATGTTTTGTAAATAATTGGATTGTTTTGCTTTGATTATTCTATATAATTTGATAGATAATAAATAAATCATTGCTCATCTATTAAATTTTATGTGAATATTTATGGTACATCCAAAATATTTGAATCAAAAATTAATTCAAATTTATTTTCAAATGAGTCATAAATAAATTTTTTAGAAGTATAAAATTAAGGAGGAGGATAAAGTGGATCTAATACAAGTTTAAATAGATCTTCAATTAATTAAGGAATTAATTTAGATAAAAGAGGACCTGAACATTCTAAACAAGGATTTGTATTTGTTTCAATTAACCAAACTTTAAATTTATCATCAATCATAAAATCTATGCCAAATAATTCAAAAGTATTTTCTTTTCTTTTAGGATCTAATTTACCATAAGTTGCTTTAAATTGATCTAATGCTATATTCTTCATTTATTTATAAATTGTTTAATAAAAATCAATTGGTAAGAAATTATTAAATTCATCAAATGAAACTTTATTTCCTTTTTCAAATTTACCATAATCCTCTGAATGCTTTTAAATAGCATCATTAGTTAGATGAATTAATCTATTTTATAAATTAATCAAACTAAATTCATAGCTAGAAGTTCTTATATATCCATTTTAATACCAATAACCTTTATGTTATCCATTAATAGAAGTAAATAAGATATAACATCTAATATCAAATTTTCTTTGATTATATAGTAATGGATTTTCAATATATTTTTAAACAATAAAAGTTTTCTAAACTCCATTCTTATGATGATGAATGTTTCTTAAAAATTATTAGACTTCATTAATTGTTTAAAATATATGAATTCCATGACCTCTATTACTAAGTTCAGCTGGTTTAACAATCCAAATAGATTAATTAGGATTTTATTGAATAAAATTATTTAAATCTTCTTTATTTTTTATATGATATGTTTAAGGCAAGAAATCAAAAACATTCAATCCTTTTTATTCATAATACTTTTTCATATTATAGAAGAGATTCTTTTTGCTACCTAAATGTGTATTATTTTAAATATGATTATGAAGTTTAGTATTATTATTTACTTCAAATATTCTTAGATTCTAAGAGAATTTCTTTGCTTGATCATATGAGATAATTTTGGAATTCTTTCCTACTTTTTTAATTAGTTTTTATAATTCAACGTTTAATTATTAAGGCAATAAATGTTGATATTAAATATTATCAATATTTAATTATTCTTAAATATAAATATCTTATTAACATATCTCTTAATTTGAATCAGGAATCAAATCTATATAAGATTCATTTCTCAATTATTACCATAAGAAGTTTACTTATTCTTTATCTTTATCTACTATCGACCACCACCATCTTCTTTTTAAAATCCATTATACTAGTTATCCATTATTACCTTTACCAATATAAGCCTTATATGAATTGATAGTAGGTTAAATATATAAGTTATTTGATAAGTTAATTGAATTATAATAGGTTCTTAAATTAGCATAATTAAGTTAAAATACAAGATCTTAAGAGTATCTTTCATCTTCAAAATAAATACCATTAAACTTATATTTTATTATTTTCTTTTTTAAAGCTTTCAAAGGAAATATGTTTGGTTGATATGAAATTTTAGGTTTTATAATTTTCTTTGGCATTTGATGTAACGAATTTCCGACTAAAAGACATTTTTCTTATTGTTCCTTTTTTTCCTTTCTTTCCTTAATTTTAAAATAAATTAAAGGTGGAAGCAGAGATTCACCAGATGAATCTGTAATTAGTTCAGTTTTATTAGAATTTTTTGTGCTTTAAACCACTAATCCATAGCAGGAATGAGGATATTCAAATTCAAATTTAGGCAATTTTATTTCTCTAGGACCAATATAATAATGTTATGAACTGGGACTGTGAGAAGTAAAACCTTTTTTCATTGTTTTTTTAAGTTTTAAAAATTCCAAAAAAATTAATCTGACAATAGGCAAAATATAATTAAAGATATTTGTTCTTTCTTTAATTATTCAAAGACCCTTTTATTTAAAGAAATTATATATAATCCATTATTAATTTATATGCATAAACTACTATCATTAATTCTAGAATTAGATTGTTTACAGAATAAACTTATTCATAAGATTAAATAGATTTAATAAAGATGATATATATAACCATATGATTGGAAAGAATAGACTTAAATTACAATTACCAAATAATTAATTGATTTGAAAAATAAGTTGATCAATGTTGAATCTGTAGACATCAAATTAAATCCATAAGTATGAATTTTCTAATTGATTATATCATTAGAAATAAATTAAATTTTATAAGGGAAATAAGTATTTAGTTGTGATTTCAATATTCAAAATATATAGGATTGCTTAAGTCTAATATTTAATTGGAGAATCAATTAAGAACCTATAAAATTAATTAGATTTCTACAATAACAGATTTAAAACAAAATTTTAGAACATTATTAAATATTTTTATTAAAAAAGATTAGAAATACGTTAATATGTTGAAGAGTTTATCGAATTTAATCTAAAGAATAAAATGAAGATTTGAAATAAAACTTAGAGATATGAAGTGAAAATAAGAATATACTTAAATTACCTCATAATGATTAAAATAAAAATTTAAAATCATAGTTTATTTAAATAGATGTAATCATTTTTATTATTATATAAATTATTAATATTTTATCCTACATATTATAGAATTTCTATCTTGTATCTATAAATATTTCTTAATAATGAGATCTATTATTTTTACAAATTCTATTTCTATATTTTAATTATTATAATTAATTTAAGTTAAATATTTGACTGGATGTTTGATTCTCATTAAATTTCACAAAAGATTATATCTTTTAATAAATAAAATACAATTATGAATAAATATAATAAAATTATTAGTATTATATAATTGATAATCAAAAGTTATGATTTTATAAAGGTTTGAATTTTTCCCCTTTGATAAGCGAACTATTAGGCAATGGCAATGGTTTTTTGGATTTATCTAAGAGTTGAGAATCATCAATAGATGAATAATAGATCTTGAGTTAATTCATTTTTTTTTCAATAGAATCTAAATCTGTATCTGATTCAAATATAATCCATCTTTCTCTATTACCACTCTTCCATTCTCCTTGTTTCCTTTAAGCTCCAGCAATAAAGAGTCCTCTACCATGTTACTTTCCTTCTAACCAATACCCAACATATTTTCTACCATCAGGCCTAGAAATAAAATAATAAAATTACCATTCAAATACTCCTTAACCATGCTTTTTATCATCTTAATATTCACCTATATATACTCTACCATCACTCCATGAGAATAAACCAGTTCCATGCATTTTGTTATTCAACCATTCTCCACAATATTTTCTGCCATCTGGCCAAACATATCTACCTACTCCATTTATTTGATTATTTAAAAACTATCCACAATAAGATGCTTTATCTGCCCATACTATTTATTATAATTATTTAAAAAAAATACCAAATCTTCCTTTTCCATGTTTAACTCCATTACTATATTCTCCTTCATGTTTTGCACCATCTGGCCATATTTCTACACCTTATCCATTTTATAAATCATTATTCCAACTTCCTTCATATCTTGCTCCATCTGAATGTATATAAACTCCTTATCCTTTAGATTTATGATCTTCCCAATCCTATTAAATTATATAATATGATATATATACTCCATCATATATATCTCCATTGGCATGATATAATCTTCCTTTTCCATTTGCCATATCTCTAATCCAGAATCCTTCATAAATTGAACCATCTTTCCATATTTGTATACCTTTTCCAAATTTCTTATCTCCTGACCATTCTCCTATATATATTGCACCATTCTCTAATAAGACTGCATTTCTAAAGAATCTATTATCATATGAATCACTTTCTGTATCTTAATATCGATACTCAGAAAATGGAAATGGGGGCATCTATAATATATTTGTTGATGTATATACTTTACTAAATTTTGACAAATGAGTTAATGAGAACTATTTCAAAATATTATTAACTTTAGTATTGTATAATTAGACTTATACATAATGATACTTTTTTCTTACAATCCAACCTCTTAAAAGTGCTTATATTTTTATTATGCTTTTCAATAGTTTAATTTCTTCATCTTCAATTGAGTTTTCCTTTCTACTTACTCTTAATCTTTTATCACTTTCAATTTGGTTATGATCAAAACTAACTGTTTTTACACATGCACAATTTGCTTAACCCATATGACGGTTAAATAATTAAATAATTATAATGCTTCTTAATAAAGAATTTTATCTTTATTTTCCAGAGGGTAATATTATTGTAATAACCAATTAGAACATGAAATTTTGATAAAGTTTAAGAAGTATGAAATAAGAAAATTCTTTGATGGTTAAATTCAATTTACATAAAGTGAAATGCACTCAATCTAATAATTTAAGCAAAAATATTAAGTTTAAAAAGAGGATTCCTTTATTTTAAGAATGTTATATGCAACTAAATTTAAGTTTGAAAAATGTTTTGATGCTATTAAAAATTTTGATGAATGGAGATAAAGTATAGATTCTAAAGTAAATCCTATGTCATAAGAATTATTGGTATTATTTAAATTCATTCAATAGAAATAAGGAGTAATATATATGCATGGAAGAGACAACAGATTTCGTCCAATTCTTGTTGTAAATGCTAGAAAAGTTGCAGGAATTAAAGAAATAGATCTCTTATTATAATCAATGACTGTATTTCTTGATTATATATTATCAAATTGTATGTTACCTGGTCAAATAGAAAATTGGTAATTATTATCTCAATATTTAGGATTGTAATTATGGATTTAGGAGGACTTGGTATTATGGGGTTGCCTAAATAAGATCTTTATAGAATAATGAATTATCTATCAAGTAATTACAGATCAAGAATGCATAAATGTTATGTTATTAATTGTAATAAAGCCTTAAGCATTACCTGGGCTATGATTAAAACATTTTTGGAAGATATCACTGTAAATCAATAAACTGAAAATAATAGGTGTATAAAATACTCTTTGAAAGTTGTCCTATTTCATTGTTATAATATGCAAATCCTTCATAATTAGAGAAGAAATATGGAGGTATAGCCAATGACAAATCAGATAATTTTTGGTAATTCATTTCATAGTAATTGTAGGCCACCTTAAGAAATAAGTCCCAATTATCAAATTGCTATAGACAATATTAAGTTGATAGATTAATTAACATATATTGAACTCTTTAAATAAGGAAGATTAAATAAAAATATAGTGTGTTAAGAATTAATCAAACTTTAGTAACTTTAATAAAATAACCAACAAATCAAATAATAACAAAAGTCTGAAGATGACTTTCAATCTTGTGAAGAAGACAATGATTTATGATGTACCAAATTATTATTCTTTGCAATTTTTTAGTTTATAGAATGATTGATCTATTTTTATTATTCTATTATTTTTATGTTAGTAATGTTCTGCAAATTATTATAACTATTATTATATATTACTTTAACATCTTTATCATTTGTTATATCAATTTATTCCAATAATTAAACCATGATAAACAATATATTTTTAAATAATTAGTTATTTTAAACTAAAAAAATGTAAAAAGGAGAATAAACAAAAACAACAGGGTGTTTATGTTTCAGTAGATAAAGTAAATCAGAATTTCCAAAAACCTTTAAAAAATCTAATAAAATATTAAAGAAATATACTAAAAACAATTCTGATGTATATTATCTTAATTCCTTTAGATTTCAGATGATGCTATTTTGGAAGTCATGATTCGTTTATATATTTCAGATAATAAAACTAAGGCAATAGAGATGCTTTAAAGATGTCGTATCAACCCCAATTTTTAAATGAATCTTATAAGAAATGATCTGGAGTATTATATACCCTAACTTATAAATTTTATGGTTTTCCATTAATAGTTATAGGATGATAGACTTATTGAATTCATAATTAAGGCTTCTTCAATAGATTTCTTTTTTGCTCATCTTGTTTATTTTTAGCTTAAAAGCCTTTCAAAAGTCATATCACCTAATAATAAAGTTGAATTCAAGATTGTTTAACAATTTGTTAAGGAATTTGAAGATAAAATGACAATGAATTATTAAGGTAATCTATTGATAGCTGCTTAATTATTAAAGATTCATTTAGAAGATTCATTTTAAGATGATGTATTAGTAAAATCAATTATGTTGTCAAACAAAAAAGATAAATAAGAATAAGCAGTTTATTAAGGATCATTAAGAATAAAGTCTTGGAAATAAAATGAAATTGTATAAACATATGGAACTGACAATTGGATTGATTATATCAAGGATAAAAATCTATAGGATTTTTTAGTAACTAAGCATGAAGAAATAGAACTATAAGATTATATTTCTATATTTTAAAATAAAGAAGACAACAATTTATAAGAAGATTATGCATTTTAATCAAATATCAATTTTTGGAATGATATCACTACAATATCAGAAGAACTTTCAAAACATTAAAAAAAAACTGAATAATTACATCAATTCTTAAATAAAATAAACTAAAATTTACCTGCTGCTGTTTATGTTCCTTTTGTTAAGAATTCTGTCAGAAATTATGCTATTTTAAATATTGTTTCTAAAGAAAGTCGTGTATTTTCAACCAAAATGAGAAGTCCTTATAGTTTAACCTTGGAAATATTTAGACCAGAAATAGAAGGTCATCATAATGAATAATAAAAGCTTGATACTCAAATTTCTAAGCCAATTAAAATTAATGTATTTTATTTACCTTATTATTTTTTTATAGATGATTAAATCTTAGTCCATATCTTAAAGTCAAATTATTATGTAAAATCAAAGCAATATTAATATTTAATTACAAAGAACTTTTTCTATAGCAGATGCTGAAATATCATTCCATAATGAATTTTAAACAATGAAATTAAATGATACAAAAATGGTAGGTTCATATGAAAATAATAATGGAATTGGTTAATTCTATAGAAATAGATTAGAAAGCAATAAAAATGAATCAGATATAGATATTTCTTCAGAAGAAATGATCGATTAATAATAAATTAAATAGACTAATTAATAATTAGCCTTTAGTTTAGAAAGTTAAAATCCTCAAACATAAAATGAATTATAGAATTCTAAGATGGATAGTAGTACTTTAAATAGTAGAGTAAGCTATCTTTAGAATGGGAAAGGTGTAATATTGACAGAAGATGAATACTTATAAATCAAAAAAACAATATTTGGAGAGAATTCAATTTCATAATAAGAAAGAATTAAAAAATCATCACCATTTTAAAAATTAAAATCATGGTAGTTAGTTCATTTAATTATAAAGACTGGTGATAATTTGAAATAAGAGCAATTTGCATTACAATTAATTTGTTAATTTGATTAAATATTTAAAAAGGAAGGATTACCTTTATAATTAAGATATTATGAAGTTTTATCTTTAGGTCCTGATTGTGGAATGATTGAAATGATAAAAAATGCAACTACAATCGATAGTTTACAAAAAAATTTATAAACTAAATATACTTAATTTTCAGATTTCTCTGATTTTTTTAGATCTTTTTTTAGAGATAATATAGAATAAGCATTATAAAATTATGTTTAATCACTTGTTGCCTATGGTTTAGTGTGTTATTTTTTATAAGTTAAAGATAGACACAATGGCAATATATTATTGGATGATTAGGGTCATTTAATACATATAGATTTTGGTTTCTTTTTATCAATAGCCCCAGGAAAAGGTATGGAGTTTGAAGGAAAAGTTCCTTTTAAATTATTATCAGACTATATAAAAGTTTTGGGTGGAGTTAAAGGTTACTTATTTTAGGATCACTTTAGAAAATTATTTTATAAGTATTTCATTTAAATTAGGTAGAGGCTTTAAAGCTTGTTAAAAACACTAAAAAGAGATTTTATTATTGGTTGAAATGATGTATACAGGTCATGGAACTACCTTGCCATGTTTTGCAAAAGGAGAATTAGCTTTGAAAGAATTAGAAGATAGATTTAACCCAAGAGTAGCTTCTGATGCTGAATTATTTGTATATGTCTAAGGATTAATCAATAAGTCTCTAGATAATTGGAGAGCAAAATGGTAATATTATATTATAATATTTCAGGTACGATAAATTTTAATATTTTGCTTAAGGAATATTTTATTGATTCATTATTTTTTTATTTATTTATAATCTAAAATCCAAGTGCTTTAATTTCTAAAAGCTATCTTTTATTTTTAGTGAGTAAAATTTATTTTTATTCTTAATCCATTAATAAAAGACAATCAAAATTAATCTTATTTAATAATTGCATATATAATATTCCTTTTTAGCCAAATAAATTTGATAGTTCTGTATAGTTTTTATACTAATTTATCTATTCATCTATCCGTTTTAATTAATTATAATTAAATATGAAATTAATAATCTTGATTCATATTTGTACAATAGTAATAGGTGCATAATTTGAATAGGGATATGTGTCTTCAGAAAAAATCTTAGCCCATAAAATATACAGATAAGTATTATAATAACTACTATGATAGGATATAAAATTTAATAATAATTTTGCTGAAATTCCAAAAATCGTTTTGAGTGTGATTGGTTACCACTCTGATTTCAATGCATTAGACTTTTTTTCAAAAGTAACTGACATTACTAATGAGGGTATTATACTTTTATTATAATTAAAGGGTTTTAGCTATAAGTTATAAGCGATTCTGATATAAATCAAATTAAATTTAACTACTTAGCAACAGAACATCAGGATGTTTAAACTATTTGCAATAATATTGAAGTTTAAAAGGATTAAATAGATATCAAATTTAATACTCCATTTGAGGAATAACCATAAGTAGCAGCCTTTTTAACAGGAATTCACAGAATAAATTAAGATGATATAATTTTAGAAATAAAATCAATTGATAAGAATTAAGTTCATTTATCTACAAAATCAAAGGCAGAAAGTTCCCTTGGTTTATGTTTACTAATAGGACCTTAGAACTTATTTAGTAAAAAGGATTTATCTATTATGCAAATATCTCAATAAATACCAAATAATTAGTTTTATGGAATTTCATCTTTAAAAGGAGTAACCAATGATGGAATTTCATTAAGTTTAAATTAAAAATCTGTTGAAAATTTGTTAGACATTGTAATGACATTTGTAGACATCAATACAGAACAAATAATCAAATAAGAAGAGGATAACAATAAAAATACGGTTACCTTAGTTGATTCTTAAGATAAGTTAAATACTTATGAATAATAAGAAAAACAAGCTGACAAATAAATAAAAATAAAAAGTCCTTAAAATGAATTGGATTAAGGATCTCAAATAAATTCTATATCTTTTATATATCCAGAATAAGAAGATTAACTGTACATTGAAAATGAAGAACAAGATCTATAATAGGTTTAAGAAAATGTTTAAGAAGTTATGACAATTAGTGAATCTTGGTTGTAGCATGATTTATCAGTATTAGATTAATCTGAAGAATCTCTTGATAGTAATTAAGCTTAAATTAATGAGGGATAGTAATTTTTGACAAATTTAATTAAACCTTAAGACTATAACACAAATTCTATGGAATAAGAAGACTTTTAATCTTAAAATATTTAACCTATGAATATTGCAATAGTTGACAGTACTTAAAAAATAATTAATGAAAACTAAAAGAAAGTTATAAATAATTAAGAATTGAATTATGATAACTCATTAACTATGGATTCAACTCTAGATTATGATATTGAAACTAAAATTGAAAATTAAATTGAAGAATAGATTGATTCTGCATAATAACAAAATGTTGTTGAAAATCTGTAAGATTAAATTATAGAAATGTAATAAGAAATGTTAAATTTCTAATAGAATTCTGAAAGTAATGTTTCATCTGAATTAGATCCATTCAAAATAATCTAATCACAATAATTTATAGTTGAATAATAAAAATAATTGGTTGAATAATAATAATAAATCATTCTTCAATATTAAAGATTATTTGAAGAATAGATTAAGATAAAATCTGAAAAATAAACCAATAATTAATTAGATTAATAAGCAGATTAAAATTAAAATTAAATTGAAGATTCAAAGCAATAGTAATTATAAAGTAAAATAAGTTAAAATTAGAGTACAGAATAAAATCTAAATCCATTATAGATTGACTAAAATTAAGAAGAAACTCAGATTTAAGAATAATTTGATTAAAATAGTAAAGATTAAAAATATGATTTATAAGATATTCCAAGCTTAAAATTAGAAAGTTAAAGTAATTTAGAAAAAGATTTGGAATCATTTAATAGAGTTAAAAAAAGAAAAGATGAAATTGATGAATAAAAAGCTAATAAATTAATATAAGAATTTACTGAAGATTTATCTAATAATAAAAAATTAGAAGTTGAATTTAATGATGTGTTATAAATCAAATAATCTAATGAAATATCATCAAATTTAGATAGTGAGATTAACTCCATAGTGACAAATAAGAGAGTAGAGTTTAGCAATATATAAAAAAACATGAAAAGTAATCATTTTCATTATTTTTTAATAGCCTCATATTTTTAAGATATTAATAATTAATTTGAAAATTTAAATTAAGAGTAAATAAGAGAAGCAATACTTCCATAAGAATATGAAATGGAATAAGCATACTTCGATTTGTCATTAGATTAAGGATTTATTGAAACTAAAAATGATCAATTAATTCGTTAAGAGTTTGTCCAAAAATCAATATCATAAAGTTAACAGAGTTAAGAAGAATTGTAATAGAAAATTGAAGAGTTATTGGAATTAGAAAATAAAGATTCGCATCACAGTGATACTATATTTTCTGATTTTCACTCATTCTTTTAGATAAATTAATAAATTACAAACAATTTAAGGAAAAGATAATTATTAAATGTTTGAATGAGTTCATTATAAAAGAAAAAGATGAAAATAATTTTTAATCATAATTTTTTTGTTATTTAATGTTAGGATTTTATGCTTTTTGTATTTTCATCTTAAATGGCTATTTTTAATTAATAAATCTATAAATTTTATGATTCATTAATTATTCATTTTTTCTAATCTTTTGATTTAGATTAATATCTGCAATTACAATATTGATCTCATTTTAAAATCAATTTCTCTATACATACTCATAATTGTATATTAGTTTAACTAAATTTTAAATTAGATAAACCTATTATATCAGGTTTATGATATAATTTAAATATTTTCATTTAAAATCTTATAGAAAAGTAAAAGGAATGTGGTTTAATCATCTCTTGTATTAAGAATAAATAATTTCAGTTTGTAGGGGTAACAAACAAATTTTTTTTCATATTATAAGTAAAATCGAGGCTGACTCAATATATGATGTGAGAAATTCATTATTTATATTTGACTTAAATATTTAATTATTTGGAAAAAATGAGAAAATTTTAAATTGATTGTGTTTAATCGATTTCTTTAGTATATTATAATGAATAACAATTAATTGAAAGTATATAAAAAGAAACTTTAAACTTCTAAAATATTTTAAAAGCAAAAACTGTAGCTTTTTACAAAAAAAATATATGGTTATTATTTTTTTTCACATGCAAAATTCAAAGCTATTAAAAACTAGTATTAATATAAAAATTTCATAAAGCAAATTTGTTTTAAATGTTAGAAAGATAGTTCAATTTTAAGTTTTATACAAAAATTTGGAACTAATTTTCTATGATTTTGAATTATTATTAATTCTATCAAAAGGAAATAAAGAAACACTAAACTTTAATAATCAGAAATGAGTTTATATAGTATTTTTAATATCATTTATTTATTAAAGATAATTATAAATTATCAATAAACTGTTCTATTATTAGAATTATATTATGGTGTAGAAATGGGATTTTATGGTATAGAAATGGGATTTTATGGTTAAATGTTAATCATAGTATATTAAAGACAAGAAGGGCAAAATCCATCTCTTTATTGTATAGATATTCCATTGTATAATTAAAATCCTCTCTAGTAATTCTACCAAATGCAAAAGAATTGACAATTATTGTTTGAACATTTCATTTGTTTTTCATAAGGTTTTAACTTTATTTATAAATTTTTTTAAAGTTAGCTAAGTTCTATTTAATTTTTTGTTTCTAAATAAGATCTTCCATAATCTTAAATCAATAAACATAGTTTGGATTATATAGAAGCTTAACAACTAATGCATTAAGCTATTTTATTGGCTCTAATTGCACTATATACTTATTATTGTATTTAAGAAATATCTAAAGAGTGGCCACATTTATTTTTGTAATTACTCTATTATTAATCTTATAGTTATTATATTTATAATACTTTAATTTTAGTAATTAGATTAGGATAATTATGAATTTTAGATAGAAAATTAATCTTTTTTAGGTTCTAATGCAGGACTTATTTATGTAATCTTCATCTTTGGCTGAGTATTTTAATTATTTCTTTGGTTATTTAATACTTCTATTTATGACTATAGGTTAAACTTAGTTTGTTTAAGTTCATTTTATAAGTATATGTTGTCATTCTTTAACTTTTGATTTTCTTCGTATAGTTTATTAATATTGTTTTGAGTTTATTCTTTAATTTAAAATTATTATATATTTTGCTTATAATTATCTATTTCCTTATTTAATACTTATATTTATGATTATAGGTTAAACTTAGTTTGTTTAAGTTCATTTTATAATGCTTAATTTTCATTCTATAATTTTTAACATTCCTACTCATATTTATTATTTAATAGCCTAAATTCGATTTACAATATATTTTACTTTTAATTATTGATTTCTTTCGTTAAATTTGATATTTCAATCTTTGATTAACTTATTTATTATTCATATACTTGTGATAAATTTCTAATAAATGATATTATTTTTACTTTATTTGAGACAAATCTTTTTATAATTAAAAGTATTATTATTCTATTTATTATTTTTCCTATTTTAATTATTATAATTCTTAAGGATATTATTATGATTGATAAATTATTTATAAATTTTAAGGATTCATTTATAATCTATATAAAATAAATAAAATACTTTGGATATTCACTATTTGATGAATTCTAAATAATTTTGTGTTTATTAATTAAATCTTATGGACTTATTAATTCTGATTTAAAATTCTATTCTGATATTTTTATTTTATTCATATAATTTTATTAAGAGGGTCCCTTTACAAAAGGACTTTATGGGGAGTGTTCTGAATTTTGTTTCCAACTATTTTGTTCTTATTAATTCTTTTGATTTATTAGTTAAAGTTAATATTCACTCTAATATTTTTTCTCATCAAAATTATTTAATTAGTTTGCAGGTTATTAAAAATTATCAAATGACCTATCATAATCAAACTTTTGGGATTTTTAGATCTAATTAGAATTTTATGGTTTAGATTTATTTTTTCTATAATAAATTGTTCTAGTTTAATATTATTTAATAATATTAACTACATAAGTATTAAGGCTTCCATCAAATTATTTATGTTTATCAAAAAATAATAAAATTTCTTCATCATCATCCAAATATTTCTTAATATATTATATGATATCCAAAACTGTTGAATTGTATTATAATCTAAATCCTTTTTAAGACTAGTTTGAAGGTAGATCTAAATCATAAAATGTAACCATCATAGTATCTGGAGAAATTCCCCTCAGCATTTCTATTAAATAAAATTAATTGATTTTTATAAATAAATTATTCACTTTTATATACAAAAAATCTATAATATCTTTTATATTATCTATATGTCCAATGTTCTAATAATGAAGGTTTATACTTCAGTGAATTTTAATACTTAATAATCTAAATTATTTAAATTAAATAAATTATAATTTGTTTATTAATCCTAAGCTATCCTAATGCTAGTTCAAATTATCATTTTATTTTATTTCTAATTATCTTAGTCCTGATAACATTTCTCTTTCTAATTCTTTTTTAGATATTTCACGATGATATTAATTTATAAATTATAACATCTAGTGTAATTTTATTAAGAATCAACACTTAGTTCAAATAAATTCTGATTAAAGTATTTTAATTATTATTATTATTAATTAAAACTACTTAATGATTATTTTATTTTAGTTATTTCTTTCTGATTATATTAATATGATTAATTAATACTTCTTTATATTTAAAATTTTTATTTTACAAATTATAATATATTATATAATATTAATCTAATTTAAAGTAAAATTTCTTATAATAATGAATTTATTTTTGTAATAGAAATTAAGTATAAATTAATACAATCACACTTTACATTTAATCAATATCATTTAAACTGTATTTTTGCTCTTCTTTATATATTTATTCTTTATATAAATTCACTTTAAATTGATACTTTATTACAATTAGGACAAAAGCTAGATATTCTTTAATTTTAAAAATTGAATTGTTTAGAATAAACAACCTGATTTTGAGAATTACAAATAGTTTTATTTTAAAAAACATAAAAGAATGGACATGAATTAGTACTACATTAAGAAAGTACAATCTCTTCTTTTTTATTAAATTATTATTTCAGTATATCTAATTATTTTTTGATTGCATATTCAATGTATTATTCACCCTATGAGTCTAATTACTTAAATTACTTTAAGGATATTATAACCTAGCATTATGGACATTTAGCAAATTCCTTTAAAATTTATGCATCTGAAGATAACCCTAATAATTTTTAAGTTGTAATCTCATGTCCACAATTAATCTAATAAAGAATATTTTAACTAGGGTGATCCATTTTAAAAGCAATCCTTTTATCACAAAAAATACAAAATCCTTATTTTAATTTAGGTTAGTTAGGATTCCATAAGGTAAAGAAGTCACATTCAGGTCCTGTACATTCAGCAATTTAAAATTATGTATTCTTAAGTATAGAGTTCTTTAAGTTTTTAATCTCTAATTATAATTTTAATTAAATATATAGTTTTGTCAAATCGATTCTTTTAATATAAGTATAACTTATTTCCCATTAACAAGAACTACAACGAGCAAGTTTTTTAAATTGTATTGCATCTTAAACTATATAAATAATCTCTTTATAGTTAAGAGTGTGATTGCATTTATTGATAACTTTTTTTGTGGAAACATCACCTATTACACTTAACATTTCACATTATTAACAATAATAATCTTGTCTATGAAATGATGTCAATATACAAAAATAATTACAATTTTCATTTTTACAATTTAAAAATAAGTATTTAGTATTGTGTAAATATATTTAATTAAGTTATTTAATAAACTTTTGTTCGCTGTTCTCAGATGAATAATTAAAAATATCTTATTGATTATGATTTATTTAATTTGAAATAATATTTTAAGAAATCTCTTATCCATTAGTTACTTCTAAAATATTTTCTAAATGTAATTGATTTTGAAAATTTGCTTAAGAAACTTTTTTTATTAAATTAAATTTTCTGGAGCTTTTTGACTTTTGTAGGGTAGTTAACGTTGAAGTATCATAAGAATCTTACTATTCAGAATTTTTAGATTATTTATTATTCTAATTGTTTTAGATAATATCATCGTTTTGATACTATGTTTATTAATTATTGGGTTCGATTTATTATATATTCCCGAATGAATTTTGAGAATTAGTTTCTTTTAATTTTGACTACTATTGAAATGAATTACAATTTCTCTTTTTGAATTCATAATTTTGATCTTCTGGATTATTGGAATTTTAATTTTTTAATAACATTTTTGTGCTTAATTATTTCCTGATACTAGTCACAGTGTAATTAGAATTGTTATTGCTGATTTAGAACTATGGATCTTATAAACTAATGTTAAATTTGTTTATTTTAGTATTTTTTATTTCTCCTTTTTATTCTGATTTTTATTGCAAATGAATATATTTTTATTCATTTTGAAGGTCTTATTAATTGAATTCTACTTCTTCAAATTCTGTTTTGTGGTGTGTCTATGGTCTGGGAGGTTTTCTACAAGGTGTTTATAATTACTATAAGGGTTGCTTTTCTTAAGTTTCTTATTAGTCTGAAAAAAATAATTTAGTATTTTTAGTAGGAGTATTCTAATTATATGATTTAAGATTAATGTTTTTAGAATCTCGTAGAGTCAATTATGAATCACAGATTGAAGTACATTTTTTATAAATAAACTTATTTGGACTTGTTTTTTAACCACTTAGAATTCTAAATTATGGTGTATCTGTCTTTTTAATTGACCTATAAGACATTTAATCAATAAAATTATTCATAAAATAATTAATAATAAAAATTCTTTGTTGTTTAATTTTATTTTAGAAAATACCTACTAAAAACTATGCTAAATATAAATATTTTATATAAACCCTTTTCATATATTAGGGCATAAAATAATTAAGAGTTATCACTTAATAAATAGAATAATTTTGCTTGAAATACTAATTTTATTATTTATAAAAATATATTAAATGTCTGAATTATAAAATAAATATAGAATTACCTCAAGGCCATTATCTGCCGACAAAATACTGATTACATTATAAAATCTAGATTAAAATACTTAATAATAAAATACACTTAGAATAAACCATTTAACAACAATTCAAGATGTTAAATAATCAATATTAAATAACCTTGAACATCTTTAAAATATAGAACTATATTTTTAACAAAATTAACTTTTTATTGGAAATCTAAATGAGTTAGTTTTAAACAAAATTAAATAAGCCAATACAAGAATAATATACTATAAGGTTGTGAAAAAAAGAAATAATTCCCAACCTTAAAATTCCAATAATTAAGAATAAAAAGTATAATAACTATAAACAGGTGTTTATTAAAAAAATATGATTACACCTTCTTAAAGTAATCCTCAAAACTTTTTACCTTAATTGTCTAATAATTAGGGTAATATTATTTTTAATACGCCAAAAAACTAACCTTTAAAGTAAATATATAATAATTAATATAAGAAATACTTTATAGAAGCTACAAATTTAGTATAATGACTTAGAAAAATAAAATCAAGAGTTGGCTAACGAAAAAAAATTAATTCAAAAGTAAATCTTAAAAAATAGTTTAAAAATTTAAGATTTAGAATAAGAAAATTTAAATTTAAGGTAATATTATTATTCATATCTTTAGTAAATTAAATTAAAAACTAACTGATGAACTTGCACTTCTTAAGTATAATTAGTCTGAATTTGAAAACCTTAAGTTTGAAAATTAATAAATTAAGTAGTTTATTTTGTTATTTTAGAGATTAAATCAATCAGATTAGACTTAACTCAGAATAAATTTTGATGGAAAAAAATAAATTATAAGAATAGATTTCGAAACTTGTTATGTATTAATTTTTATTAAATAAAGCGAAAAATGTGAGTTAGATAATCTCTAATAAGAAAATTATAAACTTAATCAAATAATAAATGATCATAAAGAATAACTAAATCTTCTTTCTTACAATTTGATATTAAGCAAAGTTCAACTAGACTTTGAATAAATAAATGCTGTAAATACTTTTCAAAATTTAGAATAATAAAATAATTCATAATATATTTAATAAATATAGATTATTACCCAAAAATTGGAAGAAAATAAGCCATCTAATTAAGATACAAATAATTAAAATTTGATAAATAAATGTGGCCATAAATTTTCAAAATAATAATTAGAATATATAATCTTTAAAGCATAATTAAATAAATATAAAGCCTTATGTGATTAGTGTCAATAACCACTACAATAGAAGCTTTGTTTAGAAAGTTAATCTTTAGGTAAAATTTATTTAGAAAATTAAGAAAAATCTGATCTTATAAGTATAAAAAATTTTATCAGCTCAAAGATCAACTCTAATTATAAATAATTAGCAAAATGCAAAAATTAAAATTGCATTTTTTTTTGTATTTGGGAATAAAAGTAAATTGAATAAAAGATCTAATAAGTAGGTAGTTTTTGTTTGATTTGTTAAGAACAAAGCGTAAGTAACCCTTTTCTTACAAATTAAGGGTAATGATAAATTATATATAAATTTTGTATATAAACTAGAAGCAATTTGAACTTTCCGATTTATATATTTTAAGATTATATATTTATTTTTAATATGTATGAGATATTTTTAAACCATGAATACAAATCTAAATAAAAATATGGAGAAGAAAATTTAAATTTCCTTTGTTAATTAATATTTGCTAGAATTATACTTATTTTTAATAAAATAAATTAAAAAATTACAAATAACACTTCTTAATAAATTAAACTTTAAAGCATTATTTTATTATGATGGAATTTAAGAGTTTAAATACCATCATAGTTTTATAAATGAGAGTATACTAATTTTGGTAAAATGGCCATTCATTAAAATTCACTAAAGTAAAATTAATTAAAATTAAGATTTTAATTTATCATATTTTTTATGCTTAACAAAATTATTCACAGTTTTGGCAATAAAATTATTAGTTCATTTTTGTTTCTTAATATTCTTCATTACTTTTAAAAATGAATATAAAGTTGCAATTTTTTGAGTTACATTTATATATTGGTAATTAAGCATTCCTTTATATTCTAATTAATGTTAATAACTATTTTTGGTATATCATTTTTAAATATTGTTCCAGAAGGATTAATAGTTACTGAAATAGATTAAGTGGTAATAATTGTTCCTTATAGCATTTGCAATGAACTTACTTTTACATTATCAAGGCACTTTCTAATACATCTTTGATTTCTCTGAAAGTTAAATTGGATATGCAATCATGATTATCTATTCTCCTTTCTAGAATCTTCTTAGTTTGAATATTCATTAAACCACATATAGTAATAAAGTTTTTTTCAAATTTTTTTAAAGATTTTCTAAGTTAAATGCATTTAATACTCTAAAAACGTATTTTAATCACGAAGATTTTAAATTTATACTTATTATTCATTATTTTACTTATCTCTTTCCTAATTTAATACTTCTAATTATGATTGTAAGTTAAACTTGGTTTCTTTAAGTTCAGTTTATAAAGAGATATTTTCATTCTTTAACTTTTGATTTTCTTCTTACAATTTATTAGTATTTTTTTAAGTTAATTTTCTAAATTTATTATTTATATTACTTTTCATTATCTCTTTCCTTTTTTAATAATTCTATTTATGATTATAAGTTAAACTTAGTTTGTTTAAATTCATTTTATAAATAGAGATTTTAATTCTTTAACTTTTGATTTTCTTCTTACAATTTATTAGTATTGTCTTAAGTTAATTATCTAAATTTATTATTTATAGTACTTTTGATTATCTAATCCCTTATTTAATACTTCTATTTATGATTATAGGTTAAACTTGGTTTCTCTAAGTTCAGTTTATAAAGAGATATTTTCATTCTTTAACTTTTGATTTTCTTCTTACAATTTATTAGTATTGTCTTAAGTTAATTATCTAAATTTATTATTTATAGTACTTTTGATTATCTAATCCCTTATTTAATACTTCTATTTATGATTATAGGTTAAACTTGGTTTCTTTAAGTTCAGTTTATAAAGAGATATTTTCATTCTTTAACTTTTGATTTTCTTCTTACAATTTATTAGTATTGTTTTAAGTTAATTTTCTAAATTTATTATTTATATTACTTTTCATTATCTCTTTCCTAATTTAATACTTTTAATTATAATAATTATGATTATAGGTTTAACTTAGTTTGTTTGAATTCATTTTATAAAGAGAGATTTTCATTATTTAAATTTTAACATTCCTTATCATATTTATTATTTAATAGCCTAAATTAGATTTACAATATATCTTACTTTAATTCATTGATTTCTTTCGTTAAATTTGAAATTTCAATCTTTGATTAACTTATTTATTATTCATATGCTTGTGATAAATTTCTAATAAATGATATTATTTTTACTTTATTTGAGACAAATCTTTTTATAATTAAAAGTATTATTATTCTATTTATTATTTTTCCTATTTTAATTATTATAATTCTTAAGGATATTATTATGATTGATAAATTTATATTCTTTATAAAATAAATAAAATACCCCGAATTCCGATAATTATGAATTTTATTTTTACCTATGATCTATTCTGATTTTTAACTTAATTCTATTTTACTTTAATCAAAATTGAAATAATTTTATGTAGTGGTTCCATTCAATATAGGAATTTATGAAGAGTGTTCTGTAGTTCGCTTCCAAATACCTTGTTCTTATTAATGTATTAGACTAATTGATAAAAGTTACTATTCACTCGAATTTGTTTCTTATTTATTCAGATGAATTTAGTTATCAAATTATTAGTTAAAGTTTATTTACTTACCTTATTCAACCGATGAGAGTTATTAGATAGTATAGGAATTTAATATTTAGGAATTAATTTTTCTATAAAAAATTTATCTGGTTTATAAATATTTCATAATATTAATTACTTAAGTGTCAAGCCTTCCATCAAATGGCTTATTTTTTTCAAATTATAATTCAATTTCTTAATCATTATTCAAACTTTTCTTAATATATGTTATGACATCCGAAACTTGTGTATTGTAGTATAATCTAAATCCTTTTTAAGGCTAGTCTGGAGGTAGATCTAAATCATAAAATGTAACCATCATAGTATCTGAAGATTATGCCCTCTGCATTTCTATTAAATAAAATTAATTGATTTTTTATAAATAAAGTATTAACTTTTATATACAAAAAATCTATAATATCTTTCATATTATCTATATTTCTAATGTTCTAAATGGATTAAAAGGCGAAATGAAACATAATTAATTTTGACAACTAGAATTATATTAAATCGATTGATAATTTTTTTATTTTTTTTTTCTAAAAAATGGTAAATTAATTTTCTAACAAAAGATTAATTTTCAATATATATCATTTCTTTTCTTTAATTCTTTTTCTCCCTTATTTTTGATATAAAATTTTCAAATTATATATTTAGTAACATTAAATGCTGTAATAAAATTTGTGAAATTTTCTATTAATTTTATGGCTATGTATAAGTAATTATAATAATATATTATCTACCAAAATAAAATTGGAGTCACTTTTGAAAAATTTAAAGAGGAATCCCTCATCCATACCTTTTAATTCAAGAATAAGGTATCTATTAAACATTAAATCTACCAAGCTTATGCTGGATATGATGGTGAAGAATTAGAAATTACTTATTCGGTTAAGGCCAAAATATGAATGAGCTGTAGTTCTGAGACGATTTAGACCAGTAATTGTAAGATTTTTTATTAAGTAAATGGTCTAAGAAACCCAATTTAATATAATGTAAGATGTTTAATTTTTAAATATTTATGTTAAAAAAAAGATGGAAATAAAATTGAACAAATCACCAGCTATAAGAATGAAAAATTTAGAAGCTCAAAATACTTTTAAAGTAAATCCTTAAAAAGATTTACCTTATGATATTGAAACATATATTCACTATAACTGCAACATTAGAAAGGAAAACAAACTTTGAAAATTGTTAATATTCTGCTATCATTATTGATGGAAATATTAAGTATTATGATAAGGTAACTAAGAAGGTCACCAGATGATAACAAGAAGGAATTAAATGAAACAGATAGACTACTTTCTGATCCTTAAAAAGATTGATTAATTATAAAGTGATACCAGAGATATGTTATAAACTTTAAGATCAAAAACTAATATCCATTTCAATTAACAAATCAAAATAAGACCTATATTATTTATTAGTATTCAATAAAAAATTACTTAATGAGTACTTAGACTCAATTATATAACCAAAAAACAATAATTAATGTATGTAAATATATAATCACCATGGATTCCATGGAGTAAAGTTCATTAAATACCTGATAATAATAAATGGAAGTATATCAAATACACTAAAGTCATCTAAATCTTTATAATTCCCCCAAAGAGCCAAAAAAATTCAAGATTTACTTTCTCATATCGAAAATCTTTAAAAATAGAAAGAACATTTAAGAATATTATTTAAATAGATGATGATAGTTTTGCTATTAAAAACAACTACTATCTATAGAAGATCTAATTAAGATATAGAAAGAATAATCAACTTTAAATATATGAAGAATCCAAAAAATCTAAGAATATATTATGAAACTGTAAATAACTTTGCCAAGAATAAGATGGCATTCTCAAATTATCTAGTAGAATAAAAAGACTAGCAACATACTTGAATAAGATCAATGCAGCCAAAATTGAATTTCTAAAAACCACGATTTCAGTTTAGTTTGAGGCTTATCCAACTGATTGCATCCTTAAATCCCTCTTATTAATAAATTCAGGCATATTATGATTATGAGTAATTTATAAAATGGATTGATTCTTCTTTGTACTAATATTTAAAGAAATTTGTACAAGTAGATCTTCTTATATTGGTTTTGTTTATAATTTAGTTTACTCCTAAAACTTTGATTAGATAATAGCAGAATTAAAATCTTTATTAAAAGGAATCATTTGAGGAAAAATAGCAATCTTTTAGATTTGCTAAATGCCTATTATTTTTTGTTTAGAGACCAAATTTTCTAAAAATTAAAGGTAGGAATAAAAGTATAAAGACAGAGGATAAGCTATATTCTCTTGAATGGATAGAAGAATAGTTATTCATATATGATCCAATATAAAAAAAGAGTTACAGTTTAATTATTATATTAAAAAATAAATATGGAATACAAAACTAGGAAAGATCAAATAAACTGATGTGAAAAGGATTCGATGAAGGAGTACATATTAGAGGTAATATAAATGAACTTATGAAAAATAGTTAAGTTTAGCTAGTTTTTGTATGATATCGGCTCAAGAATTTAAATAGAATCTTGCCTTTGAGATCTATGACAAAACTTTGTCTGTGATATATACAGCTATATTTTGATTATTTAGCATAATTGAAGAAAAGATAAACATTAAAGAATTGCAAAAATGTTAATAGATGTAAACAGGATCAATCAAAGTGATTCAAAAGTTATCCAAAGCAAGAGCTAATAAAGAGATAAAATTAGGAGATCATTTGATTCCAAACTAACTGCCTATATTGAATCTACTTCTGAATAGATAGCCAGAAGTTGTATCTTAAGAAAATCACTTAGTGAGTAAGTAATTAGAGAAATAATAGATAATAAGATCGAAATCTCACAGAAAAATAGTCTGAGATGAGAAGAGAATAAGAGAAGATCAGATAGGATAATATCAGGATTAATCAATAGATTGGCATCCCAAAAAAAATTTTCTTAAATTTAAATATTTGCCAAATTTTGGATTTCTGAGATGTACAAGTATAGCTGGAGATAATATAATTAATTTATGTGCTAAAAGTCTTTCGAAGATGTAGAAAGACATCATCCTTTATTAAAAGATTTTTTTGCAATAAAAGATTATAAATTTTTCAAATAACATTTATATTCAAATTCTTTTATTTAGCTTTGAATGATTAAGTTCAATCATAGACATAAATAATTTATTGCATTTATTTGATTTTCTACTTTTGGAACAACATTTGTACTTTTTATATTTTTAATTTAATCCATATAATAGTTAAAAGCAAATCAAATAACATTTATGTAATTATTTAATCTATTTTTTTGGTTAATTACTTGAGATAATTAGTAAAAAAACATTTAAAATTTTTATCAAACAATTAAGTATAATATGAATTTTACTTTTATCTACTCTCAATTAAAATTTTTATACATTTTAGATTTATCTCTATATTTATATATTAAATATAAACAATAAGAAATGAGTTTTTATTTATAATAATAGAATTATCATAATTTTGTGAATTGAACAAAAAGTTTTGAATCTATAAATTCATATATATAAATTAAAGATAATTATAAATTATCAATAAACTGTTATATTATTAGAAATATATTATGTGGGACTTTAGTTTAAAACGTTAAATACATTAAATTAAAGACATACAGGGCAAAATCCATTTTTTTATTGTAAAAAATTTCCATATTATGCTTACATCACTTTCTAGTTATTCTACCAAATGCAAAAGAATTGACAATTATTGTTTGAACATTTCATTAGTTTTTCATGATATTTTAACTTTATTTATAAATTTTTTTAAAGTTAGCTAAGTTCTATTTAATTTTTTGTTTCTAAATAAGATCTTCCATAATCTTAAATCAATAAACATAGTTTGGATTATATAGAAGCTTAACAACTAGTGCAATTAGCTATTGTATTGGCTCTAATTGCACTATATACATATTATTGTATTTAAGAAATATCTAAAAAGTGGCCACATTTATTTTTGTAATTACTCTATTATTAATCTTATAGTTATTATATTTATAATACTTTAATTTTAGTAATTATATTAGAATAATTATGAATTTTAGATAGAAAATTAATCTTCTTTAGGTTCTATATTTCTATTTTAAATTCTTATTTTAGGTTGAATTTTATTAACTTTTTCTTTATTTAATAAATCGACATGTGTTTATAGGTTAAAATTAGCTTCTCTAAGTGAATTTTATAATGTACTATTTTCATTCTTTAATTAATGACATTCCTCTTTTTATTTTTTAATTAATTGCCTAAATTAGATTCATAATATATTTTACTCTTAATTTTCTATTTTTAATATTAAATTTGATATATCAAACTGTAATTAGCTTATATATTGTTAATCATCTTAAGATTAAGATCTAATTTATGATATTTATTTTTCCAATTCCTAGTTTTATTATTCTATTTATTATTTTTCATGTGTTAATTATTATAATTCTTGAATTTAACCTTCTTACCTACTTATCTTATAATATTTTTTAGTAAAAACATCTATTTATTAAGATACTTCATCTCTGTTTTTCATATGATAGTTTATCTCTTAGAAATAAATTTTTCTATTTGAAAGGTTGACTCTATTAATCCTATTAATATCAATTATTTCTGATTAAGTATTGTAGAATTCAAAGTTTTTATCTCCTAATTTAGATTTTAAGATATTAATAATGGTCTATGATATGTCTTAATCCTGTAATTTAATCAATAAAATAGCACTATTAACATCATCTAAGTTATGTAATAGCAAATGAGTATTTTCATACGATGTTTGTCTTTGGAGATTACAATATTGATACATCTTTTTTTTAATTTATTTATATCGTATTTATATAGAAATCATACTTATGATTTTTAATAATCTTGATTTTATTTATAAGAAGAACTATATTTAAGAATTACAACTATGTTCAAATAATATAGAGTTTTGTTTTTAAATTGGCGATTATAACAGCATCATTGAAGACATTGATAAACTATTTAAAAATAAAAATGTTTAAAGTCATAATGTAGTTTAAATTCTATTATTCCAATCCTATCTGCTATTTATTAAACTTCTTAAAAAAATAAATAAAAAGATCAATAAATTATCTAGATCTAAAAAAGAATTAATTTAAAGAATGATTAATGAAGATAGAATGAAGAATTAAGTAATTTGTCTTAATAATTTAATTAATCATTATTAAAGACTTAAGCCATCTTTTAATGATACAATACTTGAGTCTCAAATACTTTATGATATCTGAAAAATTGTTTTAATTTATTAAGAGCTTAGATGAAAAACAAAAAATAAATTTATTATAGTTAAATGAATTATATAAGTTGAACTTATATTAAATAAACATAAAAATCACAATCTTCTTATTAAGAGTCTAATGATATTTTTCCTGTTATTCAATTTTTCATTTTCTATATCTTAACATTAATCTAACAAAGAACTCAAAATTATCTTCATCTTCATTTTAAAAGAATCATCAGATTATGTAACATTCCTTATAAATTCTTAGGATATATTCATGATAAGAAACTCAGGATATTCAATATTATTTGTTAATTGTAAATCTTACAATTTTAATCCAAATTTAAATTAAAGCTTAATTAATTCTTATTAAAAATATTCTCTGTATTGTTAAAATGAAAAATTATTTAAAAAGTCTTTAAATACTTCATCAAAGTAAGGATTATTGATTTGATAGTTTATTTCTTATTTAATTAAATGTCTAAAAGTTTCTTTATAAAAAAACTTTTCAATTATTATATTTAAAGCATTTTCTTTATCTTCTAATGGCAATAAATGTTGACTGAATAGTTTCTATAATAAGGCTTCAAGTACTATAGCTGCTTAATAGTCTTATTAAAATTTTTCAATTTTCTGAACAAAGTTCATAACTAAAATTAGAAGATTCAATACTTTTCCTAAAATTGCTTGATGAAATTATAATTCCTTTAATTTTAGTATCACAAATATCTTAATACTCCTATTCAAACTCAGTATTTTTAAGTTTTCTTAACATTTTAATAATATCTGAAATTTCTTCAAAAAAGTATAAAAATTCATCTTCAAACTTCATATCATTTGGAATATCTTCAAGTATGGTTCTGATTAACTAAAATTTGCTTTTCTAAAATTTAACTAACATAATTTAATACATATATTTCAAATTATGATCTAAGTTAATCTTATCCTTTATTTTCAAAATACAAATATAGAAAATAGGTTAAATGCTTATCATATTTTAATAAACAATTAATAATATATACATTTTCTGATCTTAACACAATTTCTCCAAATAATTACATAAGATTGTTGTTATCTTATTCAATAGGGAAATGTAATTATCTTAAATTCCTAGACATGTCTTAAGGTTTAATTTTATAATCACAAAACTAAACATAGAGCATAACAAATGAAATCCAATCTGATTTAGATTCCTTAAGAATCGATTCTATATCACCTAATAAAATTTTATTTATTTAATTTAAAGTTTGATCATCATATTATTTTAAGTTTTCTTTTACTCTTTTAAAACTTTCTTATTATTATAAAGTATCAATTTTTGGAAAAAAATTATGCTTTTTAATAGCTTCAAAAGCATTGCGGGATAAATTTTATTCAAAATTTTAGATGCATTCATGAACAAAACCATTTTTTAATAAATCAATAGCTGATTTTTAATTAAAAACTTTATGTTGTTATACCCATTGTTTAAATCTATATCCCAAGAATTCTTCATTATTTTACCAAATTTTGATCAAAAATAAAATTAAGTATCGATCATTTTAAGCATTTTATCTACAAGATGCAATCATATCATCTAAATAGTTTTCATCAAACTAATTTTTATGTTATTTTGCTATTTCAATTAGATGAAGTAAACTTTAATTCATTATTTTAAATAATAATAAAAATTATTTAAAATTATGAAAAGTCTTTCTAAATTTTGGGTTATAATTTATATATAAATATCATTCTGGTTCTATTATTAGTATATATTCTGCTATTTTTATGACTCTCCTTCTACATAAAGGTACACTTAAAGATTAAACACCAGATTTGCTTAATCTCATCCAAGTTCTAATTCAATCTAAAATTTATACCCACTAGAAGTTTTTTAATCCTCTATACTTATACCTTCACTAGTGAATTATAACAAAGCATGATTATATGCCATAGTTTAATCACCAAATGTTTAGGATCCAATCATTTTTGATTTTCCAATTGATAAAGTAAATTAGACTGATCCCATTTGAGAAGTTAAGACAATATTGCATTCTTAAACAATTTTAATATTATTTTACATTAACCATTTTGTTAAAGACTTTATATAACTACTTCAGTTGATCCCATTTCTATAATATATCCTTAAACAATTTATGTTTTAGTTTCTAAGAGAATAAATGTTCCAATTAAACTTCCTCTATCTTATAAGTAAAACTATTTTTCTTTAAAAGTGAGCTAAATTAATATATTTGATTACCCAAACATGAGTTCTACTTACAGATTCATGATTTAACTAAATATCATTTTCTGGATTTCTTCCTATAGTAGCATTTTTAGTTATTAACTTTTTTTATGTTGGAAATCCTTCTTTTTTTATTTTAATATTTAATTAATTTTATAGTTAGTTTGGTGATTAAATTAATTGTTATTGTTATTATTATTAATTATTTGAGTGAATTTCCTCGATTTCTCTCTTTTCTTATCTATCAAATCTAGGAGTACCAAATTCAGGTAAATGATATTCAGATTCTTATAATTATTATTTCTTTTGAGGACTTAATAGAATTGGCTTTTAAATTTGTTATAACTATAATTCACCAAATATATTCTAATATTTAAATAAAGACTCACTTTTTTATTGGTTTATTAAACTTATCTTGCTAAGTCTTCTTCAGTTATTTTCAATTGAGATTTTGGTACCTGAAATATAAATTATTGTTTTTGTCTTCCTCCAGGTGATGGTAAAGGTTCAATTGGGATCTATCCCATAGTTGTTTTCTCATCTATTTCAATGTCATATTCATGTCTGGATTATAATATTCTATCTTGAATGACTTTCAAAGGTAACCTATCTTGTTGTGGTATTTCAACCCTGGGTGATGAAATTAATTAAACTTCCATGAATGGTTGAACCATTTGAGAAGTAACTTCATTTTTTATATGGGATTTACAATAATTTGTAAATTCTTTCAATCCAATTTGAATCCCTATATTTAATTGTTGATTAGATTTACATTACAATAGTTTCTTTCTTTATAATGGAGATGAGATTCCTATATCTAATAGATCTTAATCTGTTAAGATCTCTAAACATGAACCATCTACACATTCATTTACTAAAGAATTATTTAAATTTGTACCAAAATAAGTATCTAATTAACTATATCCTATATATTTTAACCAGACTAGAACTTCTTAGGTAGTCCATTTTTTTGGAGGCTTAGGCAATAAACGAAATAAATCATCATAATCCATTGATCGTTAAAATAAAAAAAATTGAATATAATAATTACATCATATATAAATTAATAAAAGTAATAAGGTTTGATAACAATAATATTTCATATAAGTAATTATTCTTCAAGAAGTTAAGTTAATTAATTTATTAAATTAGGGTCTAATCTATTATCTTTGATAAATTTCTCTGCTAATTTTCTTGGTTAATCTCCTTAATAAATTGCAATTTTTTTAGTAGTATTATTCTCTAGTGCTACATTAATATACATAATTGGTTATTAAATTAATTTATTTATTTCTTCCTGATAAAGTTATTGTTCAATATTTTTTCTTTTTTTTTAATAACAAGTTCCTTAAGATATAATTATCTAATTCAATTATTTTTCAACTCGACCTTTCACCATTCTTTTTATAGCTTCTCTTTATTCAGGTAATGGAATTTAATCATTCAAATAAGACAATTAAGATTTATTTAAATTTGGTTAGAATGTTGGAGTTTCTTCTTATTTTGGTGAAAGTACTTTCTTTTTATTCAAATGATATCTGGGACTAGTTTAAGTTGAATTTATTTTTGGTGAAAAAGGACATTATTATTTGATATTAGTATCAATTTCTTATTTTAATTACTCTTTCTTTATATGATAATAGTGATCATAGTCATTCAAATTGATTGGTTTAGTTTCTGTTATCTATGATTATACTCTTGCTCTATATTTATTAGCTAATTCATTAGTTTATGAATTAGATTTATTTTATAATTAAAATTATTAATTAGAATCTTATTCTTAAAGTTTTTTGTTTTGTTTTTTATATGCTAAATAATTTAAATATAATTAATTAAACTATTTGGATATTGTTTCTTAATTTTAAATTATAACATTTCCATCTTCAAATTCAACAAGATCATTTTTATATTGTTTTGGAAATTAAATACTATAATTATTATTATATTTAGGTAATAATTAAAAATCTACATGAAATCCTTACATAGCTAATAAAAATGTTAATAAATTTCTAGATAATATAAGATCTAAATCATCAGGACATTATAATACTCTAAATATTCTGAAAACAATATTATCTTAATTAGTATGATCATAAGTTTAATATGGAGCAAATCCAAGATGATCTAATGTTATTGCTAATTCATCTATAGTCAATAAACAAAGATCATTTTCTATTTCAAACTTAAAGTCAATTTTATTAAGGTTTTCATCTAAATGATCTAAAGTCCAAATTCTTGCATTTGTTATACTTTCATAAAATTGTTTGACAAAATGTCTTACCAAATGTTTTTCTGATCGTTAAGTTTAAGTCGCAGTTTTTGGTGATGCAACTAGAATCTCTTAGTAATTAAATTTAAATTTCTTAGGTTGAAAAGCTTCCTCATAAAGTCGATTACTAACAGCTTCTACTCTTTCAGGAGTATGCCTTTAAGATGTCCTTGTTGATTGTGGTTATAATTAAAAAGACTATGGAGTTTGACGACTTTCTTTTTATTTTGATAATCTATCCCATACATTTGAAGGATTGTTTTCTTTATTACTTTTCCTGTTAGATGGTTTTATTTCTTTATTTTAAGGGAGAAATGTTTATGTTTAAAAAGATTTTGGTGACATATAACGAGGAGAAGAACCAAAATAAGATCCTATTTACTTACTCTTATTACTAATTGATGGTTAGAATGAACATTATTATAATTCTAACTATTAATAATTAACCTTTAATAATTCTTTCTTTTGTTATAGTTCATTGTATTCTTCATTTAATCTTAAATGGATATTTGTTCTCCATTTAAGATGTTTTTGTTCTGGCTTATTTGTTTCAGCTTTGCGAATTAATTCTTCATATAGATCCTGATGTTTGAAAAGCTATGGTTTGAAGGATGAATGAGATTAAACAGTTTCCATTAAGTTTTGGTTAGTGTAGAGGGGATATTTATATTCATCAATTGATTAATCTGTTAAGGGATTTATAGGTATATCACCTTTTGGTAATTGTTTCATTGAATCGTTAATAATTTTATAATTGGAAATTTTATTAATAAAAATTAACAATTGAAATTCTTACAAATCAATGTCTTTACTTCAATAGTTATAAAAATATTCAGAAATCCTCATTATCTTCTAATTTATGAATGTTTAATCTTAATGCTTTTAAAGTTATTTTCTTAAATATTAAAGAAAATAAATTTATTTTTGTGATATCAATCTTAATAATAATTAAATGTCAGATAATCTCATAACTTTGTAATTTTATGATTTCCCCTTTTATAAGAAATCATATTCCTTAAATAGACTTTGAACAGTTTAAAACTCATATTTAGTGATAATACTATAATAATTTAATAGAACCAAATCATATATAACTATCTATTCGTATTGTCATTTTAAAGTGATATGTAAGAAAATAATTGCTAAAAAGAATTATTAACTTTAAATTTTGTTTATTTTATAAATTAATAAATATAATATAATTTTATGGAAGAGTGCTTTCATAGTAGGGGGAGTTCCATAAAAACAAAAGGTGTTTGATTTTCAGGATAAATTTAAAGGATTACAATTACAAATGAGAGTGATTTTAAAGACAGTTCAAAAATAATATAACTCAGTTTTAATTGAGAATTAAATGATGGATAATATATTTTGAAGATAAGGTCTAATTTCTTAGGCATAAGTAAAATTAGGATAATAGCCTGAGAGTATAGAAAAAAAATATATCTATAATAAATTTTGATAGTAAATTGAGATAGATAAAAGAATATGAATGTTAGGAAAGATCTTTAGAATATCTGAAGAACATAGAAGAAATAGTAAATTAACAGATTTATTGTAGAGAGTAATTCATAAAAAAATAATCTATGACCTTAGTGATATTGTTCTTAGAGAATCTATGAATTTTTCTATAAAAAGAAAAACATGATTACTATAATAAATAAAAATTTTTGATTAATGAATAAACCTCTTTTGGATGACAAGAGTTCAATGGAATTTAGCATTAGAGCAAGTGCAAGACGTAAATCATAAATCTTGTATGATATTCCACCTATTGCTTAAATTTAACTTTTTGATGTTAGTCAGGATTTTGATCCTCTGTTTGAGAATTATATTCCTTAGTAAATGCTGTCTAAAGAAATCTAAATGTTCAAAGCAGAACCAAGAAGAAGCTATTGCTCTAGAATTTTAAATGCTATTCCTGTATTTCATCCAGAATCAAGTGGATTATTGATTTGGCAACTAATTGTCGTAATCATAATTTTCACTTATCTATTCTATATTCCTTTTAAAGTATTCGAAGATTGGTATTTTAGATAGCTTTCACGGATGAGACAGATGGTCTCAACCCAAATGATACTACTGGAGTGAAAGCTTATTTAATCTTCTCAATAATAATGCTTGGTGCTGACTTGTTAGTTAGTTTTAATTCAGGTATAAAAAAGCAAGGAGAAGTAATATTGGATCGTAAAGTGATAGCAGAGAAATATGTTGTTTGGGTATTGCATGTAGAATGATATAAATATTAGGAATTTGAATTAGATTTGATAGGAGTAATATCATTAATGTTATCATTGTTGCTTTAAAATGATTATTATCGTATTCTATTTTATTTAAGATCGTATTACATAATAAGATTTAGTGAGAAGATTGATCATTCTTTATAATTAAGAAGCAGTAATTATGCAAAAGTTTATTATAGATTGGAAGGCAGCTTACACAGTATTAAAATTGATAATTGTTGTTTTGTTTGTGAATCATTTAATGGCTTGTTTTTTCTTTGGTGTTTCTTATAAGGAATTTTAAAGAGATGAAGCAGGAACATCTAATCTTCCAACTTGGATTGAATATAATGGTTATGTTGAGAATGATTAAACAATTTAGTAATTGTCATATTGGTCAAGATATGTAGTTTCTTTTTATTGGGCTACTACAACTGTTTCAACTGTTGGATATGGTGATATTACACCTAAAAATGATTATGAAATTGGGATTACATTAATTACAATGAGTAAAATATTTAATTTGAAATTAGTTATTGCTGGAATGGTATTTGCATTTAATGTAGCTTCTATTAGAGATGTAATTGTTGAAATGAATTCCTAAGAAATTAGATATAATAGTTATGAAGCAGTTATTAATCGTTATATGAAAATCAAGAATATTTCAATATCAACTTAAGCAAAAATTATTGATTATTATCAATATATTTGGTAAGATGAAAAGAATAGAAATAGACCAATAGAACAATTACTTATATCTAAACTTGCACCAGAATTAAGACAATAATTATAATATGAGACATATATCAATTTTGTTAAATGCAAAATATTTTGGAATCTTGATTTTTCTGAAATGTTCATTCGTTCCCTTGTTTAATATATGCAAGAAGAAAGCTATGGACCTGGAGAAAATATACATTTTGATATCCTCAATCCTTAATTGTTGTTTCTCTAAAATGGAGAAATTTTAATTGTACTTTACTTTTCAATAATTAGTATGTAGATACTTCTCACAATTCTATTAATATAAAGACAAGAATAGATTTAATTAAATCTGGACAATGTATAGGCCAATTGTTATTCTTTACAGAATAAAGATTTCCATATAAGGCACAAACTTAATAATGTTGTAATATGTATAAATTGGCTAAAAGTGATTTCTTATAAGAGATTGTAAATTTTCCTAAAGATTTTGAAATTTATCATTTACTCATTTCAAAATAATACACTGATTAGTCTTAACTTTTTAATTAATTAGAATTAAAATGTTACACATGTTAATCTGAAGATCATTTAGCAGATTAATGTGATATAACTCATTATTATCCTAAACATATCTTATCTCATATCAAAGTTAAAGATGATAGATAAAAAAGAGAAGAATTTGAAAGAAAAAAACGATCATAATTTAATTCAGTATTCATTTCTAAAAAAGTTTAATTTTCAATATTGGATTATAATATTAGAGAACGAAAGTTAAAGAGAATATCTATGAAATAATAAATTTAATTTGAAATAATAGAGGAAATTGAAGAAGAAGAAAATCAAGAATAATATCAAGATGATATAGGTGAAATTAAAAATATGCTTAATTTAATTATGAATAAAATGGGTATTAAATAATAATAACAATTCAAAGCATAAAATGTATTTATTCCATAAAGTAATTTTATTTTTAATTATATCTTTAATAGAACCCAAGTTTGATCCTTATGAAACATCATATGAAATTGATCAAGTTAAAAATTATGAATACTTTTATCCAAAATATAACTTGGATAATATCATAAATAGGATATTTTGATTTTACATTATTTATTATCCACTTAATTTTGATCAAATATTCAATCATATAATTTATTAATTTATTGTTATTCATTATATTCAACTTATTACATATATATCTAAATATTTTAATATATTAAATTAATGCATATCACCTAGAAGTGGAAATAAATTATAATTTAATATTAAAAGATCAAAAAAAAAAGTATGAAAATTGAGACAAATAGAATCAATCATTCTATAAAAGAATAAATATTATAATATACAAAATAACAAAATAATATAAATAAAGAAAGTTTGAAAATAGAGATAGAATGAAATATATTTATTTATTAATAATTTATTAACGAATATAAAATTTTGCTTGTAAATGAAACCTATTAAAATAAAAAATAACGAAAATGAAAATCCATTGGGTTTAAGATCTAAGATAAAAAGAATCAATGTATAAGAATAATTTTAGTTTAGATCACTTCAGAATTATTTGAGAATCCTGTATAATTTAACATCTCTCCTTTAAGGTTGAAAGTTGAGAATGATGCACAATAATATCTGGAAGCTATTAGTGCATTTTAAACAGTAGAAATATCGAATCCAATAGTAAAAGAAAGAGCTAAAAGTGTTAGTAATTCAATAGATATTTATAATAATAGTGGAAGACACTGATTTTGGGGCGTGGTAAGATTAAAAATACATTTAACCAAATTCTAATTAATATCGATAATCTTATAAAAGAGAATAAAAGAATTGTTAGTTTAAGATTAGATAGCAATCACCTAAAATTTAATAATAAAATAAAATAACTAATAAGATTATACAATATCCATTAACAGGTTATTTAGAAAGGAATTTAAATCAGTTTTTTTAAAAGGACAAATATTTTAAAATTATTTAGAATATGACTGGAGCAACTCATAGAAAAAAAACAAAGAAAATAATGCCAAGTAGCACTTAAAATAGTCGAGCATAATCATCATTATCATTTTAATTGTGATAAGTACTTTATTATTATTAATTGCTTGTTTTCAATAATAAAGCATTATATATATACATCAATATTAAGTCAAGGTGCTATAGCTTATTTTCTCCTAAACCATTTTAAAACTTCTTCATCATCATGAAATAATTTAATTCCTTTGAATTCATCACAATCATCAAATTTATATAATTCAAAAGCTTTATCAATTATATATTACTTATATATTTCCTTAATTTAAGATTCAGAATATTCATAAGTTAATTGAGGAAATTATTATTTCAATTAAATAAGCATAATATCTGATTATTCATAAAATTAAAAATAGTCTTTCATTTCTTCTTTACTAAATAAAATCTTTATACATTATTCCTCCAAAACTTTTTATTTGATCTATAAAATAAAATTAATTAATTACTATTCTTATTAATTCTTATCTATCATAATAAATTTGAATGTTATAATAAGATTAAATTAATTCAGCAACTTGAATCACAACTCTTTCCCAATGTTATTATTCTAAAATAACTAATTTTGGCTAGAAATTTATTCTCCTTTCATTAGCATATAGATTTTTTATCTCTAATATTTTTCTCCAGGATAAATCAAGCACTGCATTATTAAAGTATATTCGATTTGTCAATATTTTTACTTTCAATTCTTTATGAGAATCTAAATAACTTTTAATGTAATCATCATCTAATTTCTATATACTAAATTACATTATTATTTAGATTCTTCAGGAGTCATATCTTATTTATTATTTTATTATTATGTTTCTTCTTTTGAAGAAAAAAGTCCTTTAGCTAACTGAGTTGTTGCATTTTTAATTGAAGAAAAGAGCTTTTTCATTAAATTAATATTTTAATTATATATGATAAAATTAATATTTATGGGATAATAATATTCAAACTATGAATAGAAAATTTATATTAATTAGTCTTTATTCATTATAAATAACCCATAATTAATTCATATTAATAATTATTTTATGTATTGTTAATTTTATAAAATTATGCATTTAAATGTTAAAATTTAATGAAAATAATAATATATTTACCTATTTTCCTACAATTATCAATAACATAAGAATAAATTCCAAAATTTTAACCCAAATCCATATTTTTAAAAACTAATTCAAATGATTTGAATATGCTTTTATTTATTACCATAGATGTAATTTTAATTAATTAAAAACTATTTAGCATTAATAAAAAAATGATGTTTTTTTAAGTGCAAATATAAATGAAGATAAATGTTTATAATGAATTTAAATGAACAATTTCATTTTACCACTGTTTTCTTTCTCTTAAGATCCTTTTAGCTTAAGCTTAATGGAATATTGAGGCAATCTTCACAAGAACATTAATCTCCACATATTTATCCTCTCTTAAAGCATTCACAATACTTTTTTTAACATCCAGTAGATTTACATTTACATCCATAACTCAATTATAAAGATAGTAATTCATTTACTGGTACCTTTTTATCACGATGACATTTTTTATAAACATGATTTATAGCTTCATCTCTTTCCTCAGCAAATTCAGTACAATTTTTACAATCTTTACATTAACATTCATCTAAACACATTCTTCCACTATGAAAACAAGCACAATATCTCTTAAGACAATTACTCTATGAACAATTACATGGTTAGACTTCTAAGTCTTTGATATTGTCTACATTTCTTTTAAATTTATTTTGATCTTTTTGCTTTTTACTCCTTGATTTTTCATTATTCTTATTTGAATTAGCCTCCTAGAATTATTATGATTGCTAAGGTTATGGAATTTCTTCATCATCTTCTATTTTAATAGGTATATCTGGGTTGAAGGATGGGGGTTTATGAATAAATTGAGAAAAGTTAGATATTTGTGGAAAGAAAGGATCGTTTTGCATTACAGGATGACAGACAAACCAACCATTTAATTGATCATTTGGAAGTTATTATATATTAGTATGAATTGACTAACTAAAAATGATAAAGGAGAAATTAATACTTATTCTGTTTTATATAGAAAATAGGGTAATATTAGATTCTATCTTGGTTTGTAAGAGGAGGTACAGAATATGGTATTTGCTAAGGATCCTATTCTAATTTTGGTTATTGAGAAAATTATGAATTCATTTTACAAACTAATTAAATCAATTGACTATGATAATCAATTTAATTCAAATATAAATGAGTGAAAAAAAATATTGAATAAGGAAGATGATAAAAATTCAAAATTTTAAATGTTATTTGTGCATTTATAAAAATATTCATAATTGTTCATTTCAATCTCTGTCAAATAATCTATCCAAAAAGCTCTTTGGTTTGTTCTATTATTAGGCTGGTTGATTAGGACCCTAAAGATTAGATAAGTATAAAAAATTACTTATGTTTTATCCAAAGGTTTAGCTGGGACTGTATTACCAGGGAGTCTTGGTGAAACAGTCTAGCCCAATGGAAGAGTTGTAGTTGGAGCATAAGCAGGTGGGCGAACAGTTTAAACAGGGATTGATTAGACCAAAGGTTATTAAACAATTGGTTATTAGTAAACTTGAACTGGTTATGGTTGAACAACTTAGACTGGTTATGGTTAAACAACTTAAACTGGTTATTAAACAACTTAGACTGGTTATTAAACAACCTAGACTTGTTATTAAACAACTGGTTATGCTACAACTTATTAGACTTATTGGACTTATTAATGAACAACTTATCTTTCGACTGGATAATATTCAACTCTTTCTTAATATCTATCAACAGGTACGTATTCTAATTTAAATATTATTTAATTACCTGTATATTTTTCTTAGAATACTTATGGTACATATTCAGTTTAGTATTCCACTGCGTAATAGTCTGTAACATATTTTTCTCTTGGAACTTAAATTCTTTATCTGACTTCTTCATATTCAACAACAGTCTTTTCATATGGGACATATTCGATTCTGCTTTCTCCTTAGATTGGTTATGGTGCAACAACTGGTTGAGCAACAACTTATTAAGTAACAACTGGTTGAGCAACGACTGATTATGTGACAATAGGTTGTTAGACAACTGGTTAAGCATATACTGGTTATTGAACAACTGGTTGAGCATATACTGGTTGTTAAACAACTGGTTGAGTATACACTGGTTATTAAACAACTGGAGCTTGATAAAGTGGTTGTGAATATCTCAATGGTGATGATGTAAGAGGAGGTCCATAAGTAACTGGAGCAGGAGCATATTAAGGAGCGAATCCTGGTTAGAATGTTGGTTATTAGTATGGACCAGGTTATGGAGCTTAAGGTGGATGTTGAGAGGGTGGAATGTTGCTCATTTTTGTTTTTTGATAAATAAATTTATTTTGAGATTAAAAAAGATATAATTTTTATGAATAAAAATAAATAGCGTCACTTTTATTTAATTAATAATTATCAATCATGAAGAATATTATTTATTATATGTCCAATCCCTTCTTTTGTTCCTTTAAATAATTCCAGTTTTAAAATAAAATCACTTATCTTTATTTCATCATTATGATGAATTTCGATCAAATTTGATTCAATTTTCTATTCTGATTATTCAGCAGTTTATAAACTAATCCAAGTACCATTAGCAGAATCTCTATCATACAATCCATCATTTATTATCCATGCTGAAAATCTAATTAAAATTATACCCTTACTTTTGAGAATACTTTATACGACATTATTTTCTTGATATTGTATTTGAATTGATCTTTATATCATTTTCACCTCCTCTTCCTACAAAAAAATCCATAGTATCTGTCTAAATTGTCCCTAAAAATAAGTTAATGGACCTATTAAAGAATACTCCTTGACCAAAGAATTTAACAATTAGTATAGGTATTTAGTATTCACTTAACTTTTTATAAAGTTCATCAATCTAGAGATTCTTTATTGATTCAAGAGGTTCTTCAATACCGGGGAAAAGTTAATCATCACTAATATGAATTTCATGTTTTTAGGGTATTTCAAAGTAGATAAATGTTTGATTATACTATACCATTATTCATCTATTTATTTTAATTTAAGATTCTATCTATGATTGAAAATAATATTGAAGCAAGTATCACTTCCAATACTAAATTTTTGATCTTATTATAACAAAAAAGGTTTTTATCTAAAGATTCTTAAGTATGTGCCACAAATACTACCAAGATCTTATATTTAAACAATTTTAGGTTATCTATTTATGATAGTAATATATTCTACTCAAAAAATTAGCTAATTCTAAACTTTATGGAGGATGGAAGATTAATTACTTTTAAGATTTTTGCATATAATGGATCTAGTATTTAATCTTTTCTGAAATAATCATTGCAGACAATTTTACAATGAAGTCGAGATATGACTCTATCTTCAGGTAAAACTATTTTAGTATTAAAATTTTATACTTACTTATATCATTAGGAATGATATCCTTATTTTATCGATATTATCTGCCAATTAAAATGTCTATAGAATTAGTATTTTTTTGTGAATCTATTAATCTATAATAATGATGAAATTTGATATACCCAAACTCATTAATAAAATATTGATGGTTTTTGTTTATATTACGAAGTTAAGTTACTTTGATATGAGGTTGTCTTGGATCAAATTTATAGTTTTATATTGGGATGGTACGCTTTTGAAGGTATTTCTAAATATTTTGAGCTTATTCTCTAAATCTTGAACTCAAATATACCTTGGGGATAGTCTATCCCTTCCTAATTAAAGTCTTGTCAAAGGGAAAAGTCTTGAGTTATCTTCTTCTTCAAAGAAAGTATCATTTCTTATTAAAGGAATATTATCCAAAATTAAATTGAATTGTTCAATCCCTAATTATAAAAATGACAAAATTTGTCTATTAATAGGCAATTCTAATTCATTTAGATTTTCTTAATTTTCTTAATTTTCTTCATCAAAATTGCTCATTTTTTATTATATTAAAATAAGTAGAAAATATAATGATATTTAAAGTTAAATTAGAATTTCTAATATGGATTAAAAATGAAATGTAATTTATTAGATATAAGAATTTATTTTATTAAATCAACTTCTTCTCATTCTTCTATCTCTTTTTGGGGGATCTTAAGCTTTTCCAACACAATTATCATCTTAATATGTGTATAAATTTGGAAATGGTTATTTTTCTGTTGCTTTTCTATTTTCTTCTGTCAAATCATCTGCAAATTTCTAATTTTATATTATTAATATACAGTTAAATGTTTTCTAGCTTAATTGGCAGCAGTTTCTTCTTTTTTCTATCCACTTAAATTAGTTGTTGGTAAACAAGCATCTCCAGGTTTCATTGCTAAGTTATGTCCAACATCTGATTTAGTTGGTCTCAGTCTATGATGTCTAGATTGGATAGCTACTATAAGAATCAAAAGCAAAACAATTTTTTTTAACATTATTATATTAAAAACGAAAATGTGTTCATATTCAATTAATTAATAAATTAATGCAACAACTATAAAATTGTTTGCTTGATAAAGAAATGATTCTGTAAAGTGATGGTACTCTATATATTGGATCTTTTTATTAATAACACTTTGAGGGATATAGTTTGGTAATCAATCCAGATGGATGTAATTCTGATCTAAATTATTAGCATATTATTATGGATTATTTAAGAAATCTAAACCTAAAGAAGTAGGTGTATATAAATTGAAAAATTCATGTTTAAAGATATTCTGGGGAGATGATAATTAAATTAAGAATGTTAAAGATATTGGAAATATTGGTTTTTTACAAAAAATTATTTCATTTAAGAATAATTGTTATGGTAATAAAATATTCATTAAAATCAATCCATTAAGTTATGGATAGGCTAAAAATTAAAAATATGATGGATTTACAGTTATGCATTATAAAAATGGAGATATTTATTATGGAAATATCTACAAAGGAAAATAGGATGGAGAAGGCATTTATTATAATAATAATATTTAGGAATGGTAATGGAATAAGTATTCTAATGGTAAATTGATATCTCATTAACTTTATGGAAAAAATCTTGTACCAAGAGAATTAATTAGTAATTATATGTAATCATTAATTAGGTAAACTTTTTAACAAATTAAACTTTAAGTCTTACTAAATAACTATGGTATCTCTCTCAAATATACAATAATTAATAATAAATTAATTGTTAATCAATAATTAATAAAATCATTTATCTTTAGCATCAACAGTGTAAAGCTCTCATCCTGCTCATCGAGAGAATCTTTCATAAATTTTGATTGATGATGTAGATAATAGTAATAATGAAATATTAGAAATTTTATAAAGTTCCTAAATTGAATCAATTGATTAAGAACTTCACATTTACAATTAAAATAATTAAAAAGATGAAATAGAAATTAAGTTATCAAAATGTTAAAAATAAAAAGCATAATAAAGAATTGAGAAATAAAGATAAAATAAATTTTTAACATAGCCTTCTNTTTTCCAACACAATTATCATCTTAATATGTGTATAAATTTGGAAATGGTTATTTTTCTGTTGCTTTTCTATTTTCTTCTGTCAAATCATCTGCAAATTTCTAATTTTATATTATTAATATACAGTTAAATGTTTTCTAGCTTAATTGGCAGCAGTTTCTTCTTTTTTCTATCCACTTAAATTAGTTGTTGGTAAACAAGCATCTCCAGGTTTCATTGCTAAGTTATGTCCAACATCTGATTTAGTTGGTCTCAGTCTATGATGTCTAGATTGGATAGCTACTATAAGAATCAAAAGCAAAACAATTTTTTTTAACATTATTATATTAAAAACGAAAATGTGTTCATATTCAATTAATTAATAAATTAATGCAACAACTATAAAATTGTTTGCTTGATAAAGAAATGATTCTGTAAAGTGATGGTACTCTATATATTGGATCTTTTTATTAATAACACTTTGAGGGATATAGTTTGGTAATCAATCCAGATGGATGTAATTCTGATCTAAATTATTAGCATATTATTATGGATTATTTAAGAAATCTAAACCTAAAGAAGTAGGTGTATATAAATTGAAAAATTCATGTTTAAAGATATTCTGGGGAGATGATAATTAAATTAAGAATGTTAAAGATATTGGAAATATTGGTTTTTTACAAAAAATTATTTCATTTAAGAATAATTGTTATGGTAATAAAATATTCATTAAAATCAATCCATTAAGTTATGGATAGGCTAAAAATTAAAAATATGATGGATTTACAGTTATGCATTATAAAAATGGAGATATTTATTATGGAAATATCTACAAAGGAAAATAGGATGGAGAAGGCATTTATTATAATAATAATATTTAGGAATGGTAATGGAATAAGTATTCTAATGGTAAATTGATATCTCATTAACTTTATGGAAAAAATCTTGTACAATAATTAATAATAAATTAATTGTTAATCAATAATTAATAAAATCATTTATCTTTAGCATCAACAGTGTAAAGCTCTCATCCTGCTCATCGAGAGAATCTTTCATAAATTTTGATTGATGATGTAGATAATAGTAATAATGAAATATTAGAAATTTTATAAAGTTCCTAAATTGAATCAATTGATTAAGAACTTCACATTTACAATTAAAATAATTAAAAAGATGAAATAGAAATTAAGTTATCAAAATGTTAAAAATAAAAAGCATAATAAAGAATTGAGAAATAAAGATAAAATAAATTTTTAACATAGCCTTCTCAAACAAAATCTCCAAAAAATAGTAGATAATAATAAATGACTTTAAGTACAATGTAATCTACACAAAAAACTACAATATATAAGAGATCTGTTTCACCTATTTTTACAACTGTTCGTCACTTATTTTCAGTAATCAAAATTTGATTTTATGATATTTATTAAAAATATTTAATTAAATAATGGCTCAAGCTGATAGAAAAGCAGTTGTAAAAAATGCTGATATGTCTGAAGAAATGTAACAAGATGCCATTGATTGTGCTAATCAAGCTTTAGAGAAATTCAATATTGAGAAGGATATTGCTGTATATAACTTTATAGATTGAATAGGCATTCATCAAGAAAGAATTTGATAAGAAATATAATCCAACTTGGCATTGTATTGTGGGTAGAAACTTTGGATCTTATGTTACACATGAAACCAAGCATTTCATCTATTTCTATATGGGATAGGTAGCAATTCTTTTGTTCAAGAGTGGATGAGATATAAAAATTTAAATTATTATGGAAGATAATTAATGTTTAGCTTCTCTCTTTGCTGACCTCTTATAAATTGTCAAGCCCTAATCAGCTGATGTATAACAGTTTAAAGAAGTCTCTAATGAAAGATTAAGAAAATGTATCCTTGAATTAGTTCGAGAACTCACAACTCTTGTTTAGAATCTCAAGGAGCAGTTAGAAGAATTCATTGACAATAAATATGAATAAGAGATTCAAAGACTAGAAAATACTATTCGATAACATATTAGAGTAGAATAATAATAACGATTACATATAGAAGCACTTACTTAAAAACTAGAGGAAGAATAGTAGAAATATGAAACAGAAATCAAAAATTAAAATGATAAAATTAAGCAATTAGAAAATATGTGTTCGTAAATATCAATAAATAAAGTCTAAAATCTCAATTAAACTAATTTTATTATAGATCCTAATAAGAAATCACCAACTGCTTATGATAGATTAAATTAATTGGTAAGTGCAAAAACTAAATAATATACTTAATCAGCAACAACTATCAATTCATAATAGCTATTAAAAATTTATTCAAATCCATAACAATTACTTAAAAAAATGTAAGATTAGAAAAATATTGAATAAATGAATATAAGAGTTGATACACAATAATCTGAAAAGGAATAAAGTCTCTTAAAATTAAGAAGATGTGCTGAAGATAATAAAAATGAAATGTTTCAATCTTAAAGAGTTGAATCTTCTAGTCTTGAAAAATATAATAGAAATTCGAAATTGATGAGAAACTCAACTAGATAATCATAAATTATGGGGAATAGCTTTGATATTGTTTCGAAAACAATGCAACATTATAAGAAATAGCAGAAAAGTTTAAGTACTTTAAGATAATCATGGAAGAAATGATTACTATCTCCTTTATTTTACAATATTAAAAATATAACATGAGTTAGTTTTGTTGTTCTTTTTGTTTAATTAATTTTCCATAAGAACCAACCTATAAGGATCATTATAAAACAGATTTTAATAGATATAATATAGCTAGAAAAATGATTAATTTAGATCCTATCTCATATGAAGTTTTATAAAGAATGTATTTAATTAAATCATTTTATTAGAAGTTGATAAAATTTCAGAGTAGAATATCATAATTCCTATTAAATCTTAAACATTTAAATGTTGCAATAAAGATTTCAAATCAAGTTAAAAATATTAAGGTCATTTGATATCAAAAAGCCATTAATTAAAATAATTAAAATCACCTATCACAACAAATAGAAGTTAAACAGGAAATTCTTTATTAAATAGTAATGTATGCTTATTTTGTGATGAATTATGCGATAATATTGAAGATTGTTTAAAACATATGAGTAATTATGGATATTTATTCGTGAATAAAAGCATTGTATAAATATTGAGGGATTGTTAAAAGCATTATTAGAACAAATAAATAAGAATAATACTTGTTTACATTGTTTTCTAAACATTCATAAATAGTCATGCTACACATTGCTTAATGTCTTAATAAGAATATAAAGTTTTATCAAAATATTACAATTTTGTAGAAAAATTATTAGCAATTTTGGTAGAGTAAAAGGAATAACAATTATAAATTGAAGCTAAAAATAATAATTATCATAAAAATAAGATTAAAAAGAAGATGAAAATAAAAATGAAAAGAAAATTAAGCTGAAGGAGATTGGGAAGATGATGAAGATGAAGATATTAATTCAGATGATGATTATGAAGATGAAGAGGAATTAACATTAAAATAAACTGATAATTTAAAAACTGATGAAGAATTAAGATAAAAGAGATTAAAATAATTATTAAAATAAATTAGTAAGCATAAAGCTACGTTAACAAAAATTGGTGAATTATTGTTATCAGATGGAAAATTGTTATCATATTTAATTTAATATTAGATTAGGCCACAAAGATTAAAGAAAATATTATAAATAGAATCATATTCCATTTAAAGTTTAAGAAAATGAATAAATTAAGTAATGTAAATTATTTATTAATTAATATAGTGGATATTGCTGATGAAAAGTAATTAGCATTATTAAGTAATGAACTTATTGTTGGTCATTTAAGAAATTTCTATTATCAAAAGACCAGAACATTAGCATATGGACAAACATAAATTGGATAAAGAAACAATTTAATTTAGATAAGATGGTTAAGAAAATCTTGTTGATTAATATTTATTTATATTGTATTATAATATCAATTATTATAAAAATAATTACTTTTAAATTAATTTTAAATGATAGATCTGATATTTTAGATTAAATAATTATTAAATAATAAAGATTTATAAATATTTATGTGAAATAAAAATAATTATAAATATATATTTATTATATTAATTGACTATTTATTCATTTGCTATTTTGCAATTTGACATTATCTTATTATTATTCCAACTTTAAAAATCTTGTAGGAGGTATTTTTAATTCATGATTAATCTAATTTAAATATCATGAGATACTTATAAATATTAATTGAGTAGATTTTTTAATTCTTCATTATGATTATGAATTTATCCTGTTTCTTCTACTAATTTAGATCTTTTTAGAAGTAATTCATAATATTTGCTTAGTTATTTATCTAGAATTCTCCAAACTCTAAATGTTTTTTCAGGGAGAACTTGAGTTAATTTTTCCCAATACTTTTTGCCTTCTTTTGCTATTCTTTCTTTTTTTTATCTTTCAGTTTCTTATTTAGCTGCTCTTCTTGATGACATTTTTTCAATTTGTTTTTTTCTCTATTCATTAGTTTTCATCCAATGCATCAAAAAGTTAATTATGCTATTTTAATTTAAAATAAATGTTTCATAATTAATTTTAGGAGCTTCATCTGGAACAGTTTAAGGTTATTCAATTTAAACCTTTTTAATAGCTTCAGTAACAGCTTCTTATTATGGTTATTCTTCTTATACTTTTAATTCACAATTTTTAATTAATTCATCAATAAATATAAGCATTTCATCTATTGAATCAATATTAAGACATTTCTTTATAACTCCTAATTTAACACTAGAAATCTCTTATTATTCTGCTTTTTCTAAAGTTTCTCTCATTTTATCATCAATCAAGAAATCAACTTCTTCTATTAATATTTCAACTATTTCTTATAATTTTTCTTCACTTAAAGGCAATTAAACTTCTTCTTCTGCCATAATTTAAGATTTTTCTATAAATTAATATATATAAAGAGAAATACCTTAAGTTTCTTTTTAGTCTTATGGTTCTTCCCAATCAACTCCTAATTATTAAATATGTATAGTTTTATCACATTTAAGAATCTTTGCTTTAAGTTTTCTAACTTCTAATTCATTCATGGAATGTATATCAGCATAAGCTTTTTAATCAGCTTTATCAAAATGTTTAAATTTTCTTTATAACTCTTTAAATTATCTAGTTATACGTTTGTATTCTTAAGTTAATTCTTTATTTGTTTATTTAAATTTAGTATCAAATTCATTATAATCTTTAATTAAACTTCTTAATCTATTATTTAAATTTTAATCTTTTCTTTTTAGATCATCATGTGTATGTGTATGTGATATTTATTTTTCTTTTAATACTTTAAGATTATAATCTAATTTTTCAGTATTCAATTAATATAATGCTTTCATATCTTCATAACACTTTTCTAAATTTTAAATTTCTGTTTCCATAGAGATTTTAAGTTCAGCATAAGATTTCAATCCTTAAATTCTTAATTTTTCTATATCTTTTGTATATTCTTCTTCTTTTCTTTCTCTTTCATCAACAAATGATTTTTCTTTTTCAGTTCTTTTATCAAATAAATTTCTTATTTCAGTTTAATAATTATTCAATAAATTAGCTCTCTAATTTAATTATTATTATATATTTATACTTCTTCTATATATTCATTTTCTATAGATTCAAGATCTTCATGTATACATTCTCTTAATTAAAAAAATTATGATCTCATTTTCTAAATTAATGTTTATATATCAATAGCTTATTCTTTTATCATTTTACCAAAATCATCATCTTTCTTATTTAATTCATCTAAAAATTATTTAATTAATTCATCTTTAGCATGCATTATTTATCCAAATTTATCTTTCTATTAATTTATCAATTTATTAAGTTCTTCACATTCATCTTTCTCTTATAAATTACACCATTCTTATTCCAATTCAGCATTTTTAGAATTAGCTTTTTTACTTTCATCTTCTATTTTATTTGCCCTTTCTGCTCTTTTAAATTCTTCTTATGCTCTTGTTTCCTTTTATTTTTAATCATTTTTCTATTTGATAGTATATAATTCCTCTTTTTTTGTACGAATCAACATATCAATATTACCTCTACTCTTTTAAACTTATTCTGATCCTTTTGCTTATTTTTTAGAATCCATCAGTTATATAAATATATTAATATTAATGTCAATTGGATAAAAAATCAATTAAAAATTTCTTAGCTTTCTCTTTGTTTTAACATTTCTGTTTTTGACTCTCTTAAATTCTTTCTAGTATTTTAGCAAAGGTTGGTCTTTATGAAGAATCTCTTTATAGACAATCCTTAGCTAAAATAGCCAAAATAGGTGGATTACTAAATTAAGGGATCTCAACTTAAGTATGTCCCCATCCAACTGTTCCAATAATTTATGTAATAGAAAGATTTTCATAAGGTATTTTACCAGTTATAATTTCCCATAGAATCATTCCAAAAGAATATACATCAGATTTTTCAGTATAAGGTTCTCCTCTCATAATTTCAGGTGCCATCCAATGTGGTGTTCCAATCATACTTTTAGTTTTCTTGCTTTTAATTCTTGAAAGTCCAAAATCACATAATTTGACATTCCAATTTTAATCAATCAAAACATTAGATGATTTCAAATCACAATGCATTATTCTTCTACCATGAAGATTATTCATTCCTAAAGTAATATCTTCAATAATTTATATAAAATTAAGATTTTTAGTTTTCCTTTTATGAATATGATCATATAAACTCCCATTTTCCATATATCTAAAAATTATATCGTTAATTACTCAGTAATTAAGTAAAAATTATGTCTCTTTATACAAACACCCATATACAGAACTATATTAGGATGTCTTAAATTAGAAATAACTTAAACTTCTTTTAGAAAATCAGCCATTAATTATTTATGTTTTTATTCATCTTTCCTTTTACAATAAGATTTAATAGCTACATCTTAACCAAGCCAAATTCCTTTAAAAACAATTCCATAACTACCTTTTCCAATCTAAGATCCTTATTTAATTTCTTAATAATTAATCAACAATTTCTCATTGATTCCTAAATTTTTCAATAAACTCATAAGTTTCTCTTAATGTTTCTATTATAGATTCTTCTCTTATAATATATTATATTTGCTAGGTGAATTATTTTCTTATTACTATTCCTATTATTTTTCATTAGAACTGCAAGAACTTACATCTGAATATTCTGAACCAGAAGCATTATTAAAATTAAAATTACTTACTACCTTATTAGATTCTACTTTTAAACTTTAACCTTAATTCCCTTATTTTGGTGAGAATTTTGCAGTCTCTTATTATTATTCTTATTATTCAGGTGATGTCTATTTATCATCTGATCCTGATGATCTTTTACGTTTTGATTTCTTTTATTTTAAAACTTCCATTCCAGGACTTTCTACTGCTGTAGGTTCAATCTTTTGGATTATAGAATACAGTTAATCATATTTTGATGATTAATCACCTGAATTTTCACTATCAGCTCTATGGATTTACCCTGCCATTTTTTTGATATAATATTTCTTATGTATATTAATTTACTGAAGTATTAGTTTTCTGTGTCCCAATATCTCAATACCTAATTCTTCTTTTAATTCAACATCTGTTAGATCGTGTAAAATCTCTCCGATCATGTGATTTTTAATAAAATTTTCTTTATATTATGATAATCCTAAACAATCTAACCAAGTACAAACCTCATCTATATTCCATTCTTACACTATTAAATTAAAATATAATATAAGATTTAAATACTTTTCTTTTTCCCTTTCAAAGTCACTGTCTCATTCAATGCCTATAAAGTTTCGAATCCATGTGTTTCCTGCTAGATTTAGTGTATTTCCTCTTATTTACTATTGGGTAATGGTTGAGGATATAATTTATAATTATCTATCACTAAATAAGCAGAAAACACGTTTTCAAAATCACAAGGAACTTAATCAACTACTTTTTACTCTTTTAATTTATCATTATCATATAATTAATAAGTCAGCTCTCTAGTAATTGAATTGTAAAAATAGCCAGGACCATGCTTCTTATTGTCTTAAAATTCACCTACATTGATACTTGTATATAAATACCTGAGTATATTGAGTTCTCAGCATAATAAATAGTACCTCGTCCATGTTTACAATTATTGATCCATTGTCCAACATATCTATCACCATAAACTCCAAAATGTTGTCCATGTCCATTCTTCTTGTTATGTTACCATTATCCAATATATAATTCTCCACTATTGTAATAATATTTTCCAGTTCCATGTTTTTTATTTTAATACCATTCCCCTTCATAACGGTTACCATTAGCAAACTTATACATTCCTTTACCATGTTTCATGTTGTCTTTCATCTCTCCTTTACAAATTAATAAAAAGCAAATACCAAGATATTCATCATTATTTGAGTAAATAACATGATGTTAATTATTTGTTTGTCTTTTCAAAAAACCAAACAATTTCATTTCTAAAATTTATATTATTAATATATATCATTTATCTTATTGTATGAATTCATCTATAAATATTCAATCATATATCTTTTTATTAAAAATTATTTATAATATCTCTCATTATTATAAAATTAGTTAAATTGCATCTTATATATATTTTTATTGAATCCTCATTAAAATCATATCTCTAATCCTAATCAATTATTTTTTATTCAATGAATTCAAAATAGACTCAATTTATATATAATACATTCTATCAATTAAATAATTGATCTTTTGAATTATTAATTTTTCTTTGTTATAAATTATAACAAAAATATTAAGCAATGAATATTAAGGAACTGAATCAATTTATACTTGATTATGAACTCAAACCTTCATAAAAACTAATTAAATACCTTGTAATTATTGGAATATCAGCAATGAAAAACAAAACTTAAGACATTTCTATTGAAACCATTAAACTAATTGCAAGTTATAATTTCAAATTTTCATTTTTGTTTAGGTTCTTGTAAATAGCAAAAACTAAGAGATGGAATGGCAGAACTAAAAGAAAAAGTCATGAATATATAATAATCTATATCAACAAAAAGTGGAAACTTAATTTTTTCTCAAAATAAATCAAATTAGAAATATAAGGATTAATTAATGGATTCATAATTTTCACCAATCCTTAAGAAAAAGGATGATTTATAAAATAGATCTAAAAAGACTCATATAAAATAAGATGTTGATATCAATCTTAAATCATTAAATTAGAATAAAAAAGAAAATAATCCATAAAACAATCAATTTTAATACTAAACTTAATCAAATCAATAAGTTTAATAATCTAACAATTATTTTATATAAAAAAAGGTAAGTCTTGATCAAATTGCAAATAATTTTCTTAGTTCCCCATTGGTAAAGAATCCTATATCAGCCAGAAATATTACATAGTAAGAAAGTGAACTTAAATGTAATTATTCATTATATATTCAATAGTTTTTTTTAGAATTCATGGAAATTGATTTGAAATTTGTTGATTTTACATTTTATATTTATAAACACTTAGTGATATTTTTAATTTTGAACTTTTAATTATTTCTTTATAGAATTATTAAAAAATTATGTCTTATATACTTTATACTATGGAAGAGTAATTATTATTATTAATATTTATTCTTACTTTTTAATATCATATAATATAATTATCATATCATAATCTAATATAATTAATAACTAATTATTATTTTACATTATCATTATTAATTAAAAATATTAAATTTTTTGTATAGTAAAGGGATTTAGATTGTATATTTGATTAATATTTAAGAGATGTTCTTTTTTAATTTATCTAAAGTAAATAAGAAATGAAAAATGCTTTTTAAGAAATTTCAACATTTAATTATGAATAAGTGAATATTATTATTTAATAGATTTAATATAAATATACAACAATATATATATTTTCTGTGTAGATTATTTATGTATTATTAACTTTAATATATTTAAATCAAAATTTTTATTTACAGATATTATGTTGAATTCCAATGTTCAAGAGATTAAATAATCAAGTTATAATGATTATATTTTTGATTCATGGGCTAAAACTATTGAAACATCAAGAGTTTAAACTCATTAATAAACTCAACTGAAAATATAGAGTTAAAGATAAAAAAAATTTAAATACAGTAATATATTGTATTAAAATAATGATTAAATAATTACAACTAAATCTCAGGTTCATTAAAAATATTAAGATGTATAGCTTAATTCATTTAGCAATAATCTTGATGAATTGAAATAAAAGGAATAATATGTAATAAATTTATTTATAAAGAGAGTTTCCAAAAATACTAAAAAGTTAGATCTACCAATAGAAATCATTCTATATGTAGGAATTAAAATGAAGATTTAGAAATAAAATATGAAAGTATAGTTAATTATTCAACAATATTTTCTTAACGGATTAAAAATAGTTAAAAACAATCATTGAAATATTCTTAGAATTGCAAATTAATACTTCCAAAAATTAAATAGAAATAAACTTAAAAAATATTAATAAATAAATTTCTAGTTATTTGTAGAGTTATTGGAAAAATTATCATTTTATATTTCAAAACATTGTCTAATACAAATCCATTAAAAATAACAAATTATCTTAAATTATAAAAAGTGTTAAATCTAAGGAAAATCTTTAAATATGATAGAAATATAAATGATTCATTATCAAAATCTATTAGAGAATGGGTTTAACCCTCACTATAAAAAATATTTTATCATCTCTAAAATACATTAATTTATACTTAAGATGAAAAAGTATTAGATTTAAGAAAATTGAAAGATTAAGAATAAATTTGGACTTTAAACTTTGCAAAATTTCTATTTCAAAATTTAGAATTAATCACTAGAAAAGGTAATATTCCAAAAGAAATTATAAAAGCTATGTCAAATGCCTTATACTAAGAAAATAATTAATATGTATAATTGTTTCTTGCTTAAAGAACTAAATTTTATAACTATCCTTTTAGTATATTAGAAATGTAATTAATATGTTCTGAATATATTTTATTTAATGCTATTGTAATTGAATTATTTGATTAAGCTAATAATTTAAAATATCAATCTTTCAATCATAATCTTAATTGTAAAATTTAAGTATTAAAATTGACAAGCATAATTAATGTGTTTTACATAAATATTTTTAAAGATATGCCAATAATTAATTTTGATTATAAAGAAGAATAAATATATTCTAGAAAATTATATATCACTAATGATTAAGAGTAACTTTTATAACTGGTGGATACAAAAGAAATCAATAACTCAGAAACTCTAATTTTAGGATTAAAACATTAAGAGTATATTTAACGTATACTATAATAAAGGGAGAAATGGAAATAAAAGTTAGAATTAATTTTCAACAAATTTATAAATAATCTATCCTCTTAAATAGATATATCTGAGTGATCTAATTATTTTCATCTTCTTAAACTTCTAAATCAATCAACAAATTAATGTGTAATTATATTTTATTTTCAAGTTAATTTTGATTAATTAGCCTTAAATATAAGAATTATGATCAAGAAAGATATAAATATAGATGAATCATATTCAAAAATAAAGTACTTTTAAAAATTAGAGTCTGATTAACGTTTATAAAAAATAGAATTTCTGTATTTAATGAAAGTCAGATTTAATCTGCATTTATAGTTATTCTTTTTTTATTTTTTAATTTATTTGATTTTTATAGTTCTAATTCTTATAAATTCATAAAAGATCTTTATAAATTTATCTGAAATCTTTCATGATCCAAATAATAATCCCAACATTCTAAAATTGAGAATTATAGTGTTTAAATTGAAAAATAAATTCAAAACATACAATCATTCCAACAGGCAAAGAAATTAAAAGTATAAAAATGCAATTAAGTGTAATTTCATAAGTCGAGCTAACACTACAAATTAAATAATGTATGTATAAATAAGAATAATTTTATAGGGGTTACTTTAAACATGATTCTTTAGATATATAATGAGAAAGTTTATCCGAATCCTTTTAAATTTTAAATTACTTTGTACTTTAATATAATAAGAATTTAAATTTAATTTACTTTAAAAGCTTTTTGGGAATATCAAATATTTCTTTAAAAAATATTCAAATTTATAGTTCATGCAGATTTAGATAAAAAAATACAAAATTTAGGTCTTACATTAAACTTAAAAATAATGATAATGAAGATATCAAAAATAATTGAATTTATTTTAAAATGGTTACACAGACTAAAATTATTAATTCACTCAAATTGTATTTTATATATTTGGAATATTGCTAAATTTATTTAGTTATTCTGAATTTTAAGATTTTATATTCTAAATTTAAATAATGGAGTTTTAAAATTATTAGAATGATATTTTATAGAAGATTATGTTATTATTGAATGGTTTAGCTATGAAAAAATATTTTAAATTATCCTCAAAACTTGAATTTTAGATTGTTTATCCTAATTAAAAGTTTTATGGATTAACTATAATATTTTTTTGAATTATGGCTTAATTAAATTATGAAGAATATAATAGTCAAAATCATAGTTGAATTAAACCAGATTTAAGAGGAATGAATTATTTACATGAAAATTTTAATTTAAAGATTCAGAGATGATTAATTTATCATTAGCAAAACATTTAAATATGTAATAATTACTATGAATTTAATTGATTATAAAAAAAAGAAGTGATTACATTGATGTATGGTGAATAATGTAAAAATGAAACACCTTCAATATATATTCTAAGAGATTATGATATTGATATTCTTAATTATGAATTTGATTTTATTTTGATGTGACACCCTGATATAAATTTATTTAAAATTATTTAAGAGGGAATGTCACAACCTAGTATGTCGTTCTTTCAAACTCGTTAAAGGGCTATTTACTCAGAAGTGATTAACCCTGAAAATTCGGTTATGTACTAAGTAATGTCGTAAAATTATAATAGGACATGTCATATTTACCAGATATAACTTTGAATACGACTATGAAATAAAGAGTTCCTAAGGCTTATTCATTAAAGAAAACTACAAATACATCTAGACTATCTGGGGCACATTCAATTTAAAAGAGTAATAGAATCAATAATTAATTAAGTATCTGAGGAATTGGTGGTGGAACCTAAAGTGCTTGAACCATATGAGCCTATCGGAGATAATATTCCAAGAAAAGTAGCAATCAATAGAAAATAGAAACTTTATGCATCATTCAATATACTGCAGTTATTAGATTAAGAAGTATGAATATAAATTTGAAATTTATAGGGTATCGATTTAAATATGACAAACCCATAAGTCTAATGGTTACCACTTGAATTATTTGATGATAATTCAAATGATGATTATCCAAATGAAGATTGGATAAAGAGAAAAGTAGATGAAGAAGGAAGAAATAGAAAACTATATGCAACTTGTTTATTGAAGGAAGATGGTATTTATGAAGCAAGAAGATGTGAAATTTTGGAGTATTTAGATGGCTTATTTCATGGAAAATTAAAAGAAAAAGATGGAAGAGATTTTAAGACTCATAGATTATATATTTGTTTTGATGCTGAAGATCCTCGTAAATTTGTAAAAAGATTGGGAACAGCATTAAAAAATAGAGAACATGCTGATAGCAGAGTTAGATATAATTATTTTATTGATGGTATGCCAATATAAGATTTAAGTGAATTGGATACAGAATAAAAAAGAAGATTAGAATAATTAGCAAAGACTAAAAAATTAGAAAATTTAGATACTACAGCTTTGATTGCAGAAGTTAATTATGATTATATGAGAACAATGAATAAAATTATTTTTGATAGATATTTAGAATATGAAGATGAAGAATTAAATTTATAAATAGATGAAGATATATCTAAATAAGTACCTTATTATGGGATGTTCTAAGTTAGTAAGGAGAAATAATTAGAAATGTATAATCCAAGAGAAATAACTTAAATTGATCCTAAAAATTTTAGAGAAACCTTTAAGGATTTTTGTTTTAGCACTTTATTTATTAAAACTGAAGTTATTAGAGCATTATAAGAAATTAGATATGAATGTAATAAGATGTAAGAATTTGAAATCTTCAATTATCAAATAGATAAAGTAATGGTTTTAGAAGAATTTAAACATGTATAAGAGAGTTCAATTTCATAAATGCTTTATTCTTTAAGAGGATCTTGGATTTAAGATTTATTAAAAATAATGAAGACTTACTTTTCAGGAGTAGGTAAAGGATGGTTTAATATGAAGGAATCAAATAAAATAACTTATGATTTTGGTAAATTGAAAAGATTCTTAACTGTTGTAAGATTAATGATGTAAGATACTGTATAGAGTTTAGTTGAAAACAATTATAAAAGATTTGTTAATTATTTGAAATAATTCATTCCTGATGAAGTCAATGTAGATGATCCATCAAATATTATCAATAAATTTAAAACAGTAGGAGTTAAACCTATATTTACTATTGATATGATTAAAACTAATGATGATAAAGAATTTCTTTATTCAACATCTCCCATGAATTTTGTTAATATGATCATACAATTATTTGACAAAACTCTTGATGAAATTACAAAAGTACCTGATTTGGAACCTAAATTACTTACTGATCTTTATAAATAGAAAACAGATTCTTTTATTAAAACTCCAGTCAAACCAAAAGAAAGACCTTAAACTCCAAATCCTAATGAAAGACCTAAAAAGTATCCAGATGAAAATAAATGGATATGGTTGTTAATTGAACATATTAGAGATGAATTAATTAGAGGAATTAAACCTTTATAGGATTATTTACAAATATTTGAGAAATTCAAACCTATTTTATAAATGAATCCTGATGATGAGATTAGAAGAATTGAAATGGATGATAATCCTTGGGAAATAGATTAAATTAAAGAAGAGATATTTAAATATAATAAAATGGAAGAAGAACTTAAAACTTAAATTCCTGATATTGTAGAAGTTTCAATATTTTAAGTTTAATGTAGAGAAATAAAAATGTATTTATGTGAGAAATATTCAATGATTAGCAAATTATTAGTTGATATGATAGCAAGAAAGGCAAGAAAGAAGACAATGGAAATATTTTAAGATTATTAGAGAATATAAAATAAAATTAAAGAAAATCCTAATAATATTGAAAAATTAACTGATATTAAAGAATTTATGTAAAATTTACCTAATGAAGTTGACAAATTAAAAGTTGAAACTTAGAAATGCTTTGATATATATAAAATATTAGATGAATTTAGTTATAGAGGATTTTAAAAAGAAGATTTAGATAGAAAATGGTATGTATTTGGATGTCCCAAAGATACTTTTGATTTGGTTGCAAAAAGATAAAAGGATATGGAAAAAGAGAAAGTTAAATTTTAAGATGAAATGAAAGTATCATAAGAAGAATTTAAAGAAAGTATTGATAATTTAGAAAGAACTATACAAAATTTTAATTAACATTAAACTTTAAAAAGTCATGCAGAAATTGCATAAACTGCATAAGATGTTAATAAATACTTAGCAGAATTTTAAGAATAAGCACGTAAGTTTAATTCTAGAGAAGCCTTATTTGATTAAGAATAAACAGATTATAATAAAATTACTTTACTCTAAAGAGAATTTTTACCCTATAGTAATTTATGGATTACTACTAATTAATGGTTTACTAACTCTGAATCTTGGATGAAGGATGAATTACCTACAATTGATGCTGTTGCTGCTGAAAAATGGGTTGAAGAGGCTATCAGAATTTTAACAGGAGTTTGCAGATTTTTTAAAGAAAAAGAATTATAAGGAGTCTTAAGAATTGCAACTTCTATTAAATAATAAATTGAAGAATTTAAACCAAAAGTTCCATTATTGGTTGCACTTCGTAAATAAGGAATGAAGGAGAGACATTGGTTAGAATTAAAAAATAGAATTGGATTTGTTAAACCTTAACCAGAGAGTGAATTCACATTTACAAAGGTATTAGAAATGGGTTTAATGTAAAATGTTGACATTTGTGTTGAAGTAGGAGAAAAAGCATAAAAAGAATATATGATTGAAACAATGTTAGATTAAATGGAAACTATGTGGGAAGGAATCAATTTCCAAATGTTACCATACAAATCAATTACATTTATAATTCGAGGTTATGATGAAATTCAATAAGTACTTGATGAACATATTGTAAATACTTAAGCTATGTCTTTTTCTCCTTTCAAAGGTCCATTTGAAGATAGAATCAATAATTGGAATACTACTCTTAAAATGACATCTGATGTCTTAGAAGAATGGTGTAAATGTTAAGGATAATGGATGTATCTATAACCTATTTTTGATTCACCAGATATTGCAAAACAATTACCTGCAGAAACTAAGAAATTCAAAACAGTAGATTAAACTTGGAAACATACTATGACATAAGCTAAAACTTATGCTCAAGTCTTAAGAGTTTGCACTTAAGAAGGTTTATTAGAAAGATTATAAGAGGCAAATAAAAATTTAGAAATTATTTAAAAAGAACTCAATAATTATTTGGAAAAGAAAAGAGAAAAATTTGCAAGATTCTATTTTCTTTCTAATGATGATTTATTAGAAATCTTATCATAAACTAAAGAACCAACAGCAGTTTAACCACATTTAAGAAAGGTATTTGAAAATATCAATTCAATTGAATTTGATGATGCTAAAAAAATTCATGCTATGTATTCAGCTGAAGGTGAAAAAGTAGGTTTTGTTAAACTATTAGATCCAAATAAAAAAAATGTAGAAGATTGGATGGGAGAAGTTGAAGATATGATGAAATCAAGTGTTAGATAGGCATTAGTTAATAGTGTTTCTGATTACTTAGTCAAACCAAGACATGAATGGGTATTATTACATCCTGGATAATGTGTATTAAATGGTTCTCAAATCTTATGGACAAAGGAAGTAGAACAAGCTATTAAAAGTAATAGTGTTATGGAATATTGGGAGAAAACATTGAAAACATAGATTAATAAATTGGTTGAATTAGTAAGAACCAAATTAACAAAGTAATAATAAACTACTATAAATGCATTAATTGTTATTGATGTTCATGCGAAGGATGTTGTTGAAAAATTATTTAAGGAAAATGTTACTGATGTCAGTGCTTTTGAATGGATTAGTTAATTACGTTATTATTGGGAAAATGAGGATTGCTTTGTTAAATGTGTTTAAACTAATTTCCCTTATGGTTATGAGTATTTAGGAAACACTTTAAGATTAGTGATTACACCTTTAACAGATAAATGTTATATGACTTTGATGGGTGCCTTAAAATTAAATTTAGGAGGTGCTCCTGCAGGACCAGCTGGTACTGGAAAAACAGAATCAACTAAGGATTTAGCAAAAGCTTTAGCAAAATAATGTGTTGTATTTAATTGTTCTGATTCAATGGATTATTTGATGGTTGGTAAATTCTTTAAAGGTTTAGCAAGTGCTGGTGCATGGTGTTGTTTTGATGAATTCAATAGAATTAATATTGAAGTACTATCAGTGATTGCATAATAATTATTAATATTATTTGGAGAAAAAGCTAAAGGAACTCCATAAATAGAATTTGAAGGATCAATT